CTGTGAACGTGGGTGGTGGACAGGGGGAGGGAGGGAGGAAGGGAGGGAGGGAGGGTAGGAGGAAGGGTCCCGTTGGTTTGGTTTGGTATGATACTCGAGCATTGGATGGGGTGGTGGTGCACGCGGGGGGAGGTCGGGAGTCGGTTTGGATTGGGGGATTTCTTGGTTGAGCGAATTGGGGGAACTTTTATTTTATTTTTATTCGGGGGGGAGGAGGGGTTCGGAGTTCGGATGGTGGGTTTGGCTGTGCACTGGACGAGCACTGTACTCTAGGAGCGCACAGTAGCGTATGATATTATGATACCAGTTTATGGGGGGCTTATCGTTGCGCGTGTTTTGTTCTATCGGTACGAGTGCTGTACCCAAAGCACTTACCCACCTATGATATATATCTACCCTACTATCTACCTCCCTACCTCCCTACCTCCCTACCTACCTATCCACTTGTACCCTCGTGTTGGATGGGTTGATTTGATGTGATGGTTTGGATGGTTTGCTTTGCCTTGCCTTGCCTTTTTTTTCTTCTTTTGTCCCCAACTTTCCTTCTGGTCCGTGGTTCGTCGGATGGAAGGATTGGATGGGTGTTATATAGTATGTGCTGTGTTGTGCTATGCTGTGCTGTGCTTTTCCGTGCTATGATCGCTGTACAATGGTGTAATCATGAGCGGTCGACTTCAGCCTACGGATCTCTCTCTGGTTGTCTGACCGTCGTGTGCTCGTGCAATTCTGTGGACATTTGGACGGACGGAGGAGCAGGAAGGGAAGGGAAGTTCTTTGGGGATTCTATCGCGGTCGTGGGATATCGTATTCTGCTCACCGTACAAGTAGCTACTTTGCTGTCAGCGGTAAGGTATCATACTCGTACTTGTACTGTACGGTAGCGTGCCGTGCTGGCTGGCTGACTTGCTCGCCTGCTGGCTCGGGGTGTAGACTATTTTCCCTGGCGTGGTACCGTACGGTAGAAATGTGCTGTGGCGTCGGCATCTTGGGAGTGCTGTCAAGGTCGCGGATTGCCCGAATTGCTCGCTGGTTGGTTGGTTGGGTTAGTCTAGCCTTCTCACTCGGCCGATCCTCTCGGCCGATTCTCTCGGAATGTCTAGAATTTAGGGGCTGATATCGTGTTGTACTTGTATCACGATGATCGGGTGGTTAAATTAATTTATACTCGAGCAGTAGCAATTGTGAAGATTGGGTATGATACACGCCAGTAGCCCCGAGGGTGTGGTTCTGTCGGGAACCCATGGCGCTGCGTACGGGGTAACTTAGTACGGTATCATGCTTGGCGGGTGGTGATGATGCTCGAACCTCGGGTTGGTCCGTCCGGTAGCCGCAGGGCAGTGGGGGAAGAGAGAGAGAGGGATGGATGGAAAGGGGGAAACAGGGCGGGAGGGAGCCAGCAAGAATATACGAGTACGATAAGCTATGATACGAGTAGAGTGCAGTACCGGTAGCCGCAGCGAACCGTCGATGCGCTTACCGTATGATGGACTGGAGGTCCGACTGCGCGAAGAGTTAACCTTTCCCACTCCTCTCCTTTGGGCCTGGCTGCTGGATGATTGGGTGCCGCGAGCACTTGTACCCTGTACGAGTACCTGTACGAGTATAATACAGCATGACACGATACTTGTACCGTAAAAGCTGGAATGATTGGACCCGGCACCAGGACGTTGAAGTTGCCTCTCCTGGTAAGGTCAGTCAGTCGTATTTTACTTTTCTCGACGGAAGGCCCCTTATGGTAGCGCAGCGGTAATCCAAAGGAGGGAGCTCTGGCTGTCCGAACCCGGGGTCCAACTGTTCCATACCGTTCCGTCCGGGCACGGAGTTACTTGATCGGCTTCCTCCCCCCCGTGCAGGGGGTTTCGCTCGGATGGTGCGAGTTTGCTCTACTCGTACATGTCCGCGGTGGTGGCCGCCAATGCCCCCACTGGCACATTGTGTTGGGATACGGGATTGTCTCGTGTTCAATGGTCATGGATGGAGGTGTCTATACCCAGTATCGCACTTTGCTATAGCGGTGATGCAGTGGTCGTAGGGTGTCACGGGAGCATTACGGCGATTGTCGTGCTTTCTCATCGCGGGGTCGCCGTGAGCCAACTTACGGTGTTCCGGCGGTATATAATTTGGGGCTTTCCCCCTGAATCGGTGGGAACCGTCCATCACACCCTTTGTTCGTCACTTTGTGCGGTTTCATGGTCCCTACCTACCCCCCCATTGACTTGCTCCACGATACTCCAACACTGCACTTGGCGCTGCTGGTCAGGACAGTGTTATGATACCGGCCCGGCAGGTCACACAAATCGTGGAATGGTTCCGCGATATTCAATTCTTCATAAATCGTTTCATCTTCGGAAACTAAAATTGAGGGAAGGAAAAAAATAAATAAAAGATAAAGGAAGAGCCCCAGGAGCACGGCAGCTTCCTGTTACTGGAGGGCTAATATGAACCGGATTGATATGTTGCTGCTGGATAACTACCGGCAGTGTCGCTTTTGCCGGAATTGGTATTCCTGAGATACCGTACCGTATCACGTCTGCAAGGTGGATGGGGGCTTGCAAGCATCACGACAACGAAGCCCACGGCAAATTTAATACCATTTTCGACGGAGCCGAGCGTGTGTATTTGATATTGTGTTGTTTTGGCTCCCATCGGGTACTTTGGAACGTCAGATGACCATCGGCCAGCCAGGTTTGCACATTGCACGACAGCTGTTTGCTGGCAGCGACTACTCAGAGGGATGAACGACGGCTACCCCATTGCTTCGGTTCCGTCCGTCCCCTTCAACATGGCCAGAGGGGCTCGCCCGGCTTGTGTGGCCCCTCTTGCTGTCCGTCCTTCCGGGCGTTTGGAGTTGCTCATAAAGTCTTTGACTGCGTCTCGCGAGGGTCCGATCAAGTTTTTCTTCTCGCACTCAACACTCCGGCCAACCACGGCAGAAATCCACCCATACCGAAGCACGGTATCGACAGGGCGTGCCATCTCCCCTGTCGCTGGTCAACCCTTACCCCCGCCGGACTGCGACTGCCTCTTTCGGTGCCGGCATCGCCTTGAATCGCGATGGTGATATTTCCTGGCTTTGCTACTCCGGCTTCGCGAGCTGACAAAGGTTACAATGGAATGGGTGATCGGGTAAGCGCATAAGCGCCTATTATCCGTGCTTCCAATTGGTGTCTCGCACGGAGCCCGTGGGATTGGGGATTGATTGTTGTGCGAGTAAGTGGCTTCTCACCGTTTGATGGATGGAACCCACATTTTGGGCCGTAGTGACGCTGCACCACGCCAACCGGACGCATGAAGGGCTCAAGCGTAAGTTAGCGAGGGAGGGAACGTGGCGTCACGGAATTCCTGCAGTGAGATCATGGATATGGGGGGAGTCACCCAAGCTTTTGGTTATTCACTCCATCCGTATTACACTGTTCGTGGGGCATGTCTGACGAAAGAGCGGGGCGAGGGAGAAGGTTCGTCAGTAGGCATAGACTACTCGAGTGTAATAAAGTCGATATTAGTATTTTGGACACGTGCTCCGGTTCCTCTTCGTCTCCTTGTGACTGCGCGCTCGTCCGGTAAAAGTCTGTCCGGATGGGGAGAGGGGAAAAGAATGCAAAGCACCGCCCCCCCCTCCCGTGCTTCCCACAGTGCCGGTGCCGGCCGGTACTGTTCGCTGGGGTGGGAGGGGCGGAGGAGCGCACTCGGGTGTTCATGAGAATCGGAAGACACAAGCCTTGCCTCCGTCGGGATTCGTACGGGATAAGCAGACACACTTTTCCGGTTCTTGCTAACGCACCCGAGTGCTCGAGTACTCGAGTACATATGAGTACTGCAGGGTGGGTTGTCGAGAAATGATGCCGCTTCGCCTATTCGTACCCGTACGCCAGCTTCCAGGGTTTTGGACGGAGGAGCATTCACCTGGGCAACCACTTTAGCCGACCAGCGGACCAATCCCGGTTTGTCTCTCATCTTCCGGTCGCCCGGGTGCCCACAAACGTCATAGGGAAAACAGAAAGCGGGGGAAAGGAGGAAACACCAACTCTTCCATCGTAGAGTAAACCTGATGGTGACAATGGGGTGACAATGAAGTTTGCCGGCTTCGTCCTCGGTTCCCCCGCCCTATCGGTGATTTGTCGAGATAGATAAGCCGCAAGATTCGGCGGGTCAGCAGGGTGTGGGTATGTCTTTTGGCCCCGGAAAGTGCCGGATGAAGTGGTATATATCCCCCTCACCATCCTTTTTCAACAGGTTTGGGCGTGATTCCCTGAAACACCACCAAAATGACGTCGAACGACGTAGTTGGATCGGCAACAGTAAACAAATTCCCTGATTTCAGTTGGATTTTGATGGGCTTATGTTGATTCCAGGCAACCGCGAGGCGCCGAACGGGTCAACCTAAACCCGTTGAACTGCATCCCGGCGCGATGGCAAAGGATTGAGGTACTGTGCAGTACGCACGATGCGCACCGGGCCGATGGAAGAAATGATGGCCAGGTCTTCCCTTCCCCTGCGCCCACCCGCATGTTGGTTGGGGCAGCACCAGCAGCAGCAGAAAGCGGCTGTTCTGGGGAATGGGGCGGGAGGCCGATATGTGGTAGCGGCGAACCTGAGCATTATGAGTCCAGGCGCCAAAGGTCCTAATTCGCACATGATGCTCATTCCATCGTGGGATACCGAGGGAATTCTCCGACGAACAGTGCGTGTTTCCTCACTTTACTGTGAACCGGTTTGATGATGCGGGATTCGTGTTGGGCAGTAGCTCTAGATCCCTTCGCCCCTGGACTTGGATGCATGTGAGCTCTTCACTATTAGCTTCTAGAACAAGCAGGGAAGGGAGCTTAGGGTTGTTCACACGGGTCATTTCCATTCCTCACCCCTGCCCATCAGGTTTCGTCAGGTTATCGATCTGGTTGATCTACAAAACATTTTCTTTTTTGAGATTATGGTTCGTTATTATCATGCACCTTTGTGATAATGGTACCAGCCCCAGAAGAACACCGGGCTTTGACTTTGAGGGACCAACTCGCCCACTTGTGGTCACTGGTGCCCCCGGTAGCCAACCAGTGACGGCCGGCCGGATGGCTGTCTTCTGTATGGATCGCGGTTTCTTCTGGGGCCCCGTGGGAGTGCGCTCGCACCTGAGACGCTAGGGCGTGCCCTAGGTTTGGGAGGAGGAAACCGGGGACGGTGATTAGGCGGTGGGGAAAGTTATAAAGTCAGCTGTTGCGGCCCTGGCTCACCCCCTCCCTTGTAGCAAGCTCAAGGGAAAAAAAAAAATCAAAATTTCTCACCTACCACGCATCACGATGCTCACTCCTTCTGGCACCTCTCCAAGTCCCACACCTTCCCTCACTTCCGCCCCTTCGCCCCCTACCAACCTGCTCGAGCACAACAGTGCAACATCCGCTATGGGAGTCAATCCCGGGTTCTACGATTCTCAGTCAGGCACGGATAGCACTGATGGGGGAGTATCGGGTCCGGAAATGCTTCAAAAAAGGTAAATATTCAAAACTATCATCCCTACGTTGAATATCTTAACAAACAAACAAAACAACACGACAGAGACTCCGCTCGAATTGGTCCATTCGTCGTCTCCGGCTTTGATCTTAGCCAATACCTCCAATATACCCCGACGGCAGAATTATCGCCTCTTGAGCGCTTTAGAAGAGAGCCTGCAGAAGAAAACAGAATACCAGGACTAGTCCAGTTCTGCATCCCCCCCATAGCCGCATTTGAGTCTTGTGAGCTCCGAGGAACAACCGGGGAGGGTTCGCGGGGAAGGGAAGTTCGGAATGACCGCTATTTGCGCCGCGTACGCAGGCGGCGGGCTAGGCGGAGAAGAGCACTCGAGCTACGAGCGCCCCCTCCTCCGCACCCGAATCATTATCAGCTGGGGATAGGCTTGCGAGAGACCTAGGCAAGGAGATAGTGGTGTCAAGTGTGGCCAACAGTGACTTGTTTGGTATGTCATGATCTTGGAGCTAGAGCGTGGCGTCTGCTAACAGGTGCAGTCAGATGTACGAGCAAAATGTGAGACGGCCAAGGAAAAACAATTTTATGGATTTAACTCATTTTCTTATCCAAACTTTACTTTTCTTCCAACTCACCTTTGTTTTTGTTTTTTTTTGCGCTGCCTTTTCTTTCCTGCATGTATTGAGCGACATCACCGGACTGGCATATCTCCTTACCAGAATTGACGAATTTTACGCTATCCACGAATCCTATGAAGCCACAATCACCGGTCACCGGTGATACAGTACAGGTGCTAGCAAAAGTGCATGCAATTGTGATTGATCATGGGTTATCACTCGCTAGGCTCAGTGATGGAATTGCCGGGTTGCTGCGCTGTGACTATATTTGTGGGCAGCGCTGGTGTCCCAAGAATATTTTTTTAACTATTTTTTTTTTCCCGCATTTCTGTTGCGAACGGGCCGCTAAAGATTAAGGGAAAAGAGTCTGATCACGTGACTCGTTTAGCAATACTCGTTCTTTTTAGCCGTGTATGATCGGTTGAGGCTCTTACCATACTCGGGACGAGTACTTGTCATACAATACAAAAGAGCACACAGGAAAAAAGAAAAAAAGGGAAAAAGGGAAAAAGGCCACTTTGCTGGTTACATTTTTACCGGTACGATACCTTTATCAAGAAAGAATGAAAAAACGCAAACAAAATTCAACATGACTTGATTGCTGGTATTGCAATCTGGCCGTTATCTTTTTTTAACCCTTTCCTGCTTTCTTTCTTTCTTTTTCACCGACAGCGTTTAGACTAGTTGTTGCTCCCTTTTGTTCGCTGGCCTGCTCACCCTCTTGAGCCAATAGGGCTTCGCCGCCTTTGCCAGCTCGCGTTCTCCATCACTCGCATTTTCTTCATCTCTCTCCATGCTCCACCTACTCGTGGCGTTTGAATAGTGGTTTGCCGAGGTTTTTTTCTCTTTTTTTTTTTTCAGGCTGCAACAAGGCGCGCTGTGAAAGAATTTTCTTCCGTGTAGTTTGCCTACTTGCATGAGCACTGTACTATCGTATGGATTGCGATCGGGCAAGTTATGGTAACCGGGTAGCTATCATTGATGGGGGAAGAGAGGAGGGGGAATAATAATAATCAATCAATCCAGGTGGGTTCCAGGCTTTCCGCACGGCTGACTGGGCCGGTTTGGAAGTCTATGTGGATTTTGGATGGCGAGTGATGTGGAAGGGGGGCGGGTATTTCCTTGGGTGTATCGTGGAAAGGTATCGTGGGGCTATGGTTCGCCCGACGGGGGAGGGAGGGAGAATGGAGTCGAGTTGAGTGGAGTAGGTAGGGTGAGGTAAGGAAGTTAAGTCAGAGATGGTGAGAGGAGGGGGGGGGGGGGTAGGGACGGGAATGGGGAGAGAAGGAAGGGAAGGAAGGAAGGGAAGGAAGAGGGAAAGATCGGTGAGGGGGCGGGGAAATCCGAGTTGAAACGGAGGGGCGATTTAACAAACTAAGAAAAAAAGATACCAAATCTTAAGATCTAGCGTTGGGCATGCAGCATCTCCGGTACGCTTTGTCCCCTTTGAGGATGCCGAAGGTGAAGTTAAGGGCTAATTTGTTGCCCTTCTGCTGGTCGAGTGACTGCCCTAGGTGCTGTATAACTTAGGTGAGTTATTTACTATTCACTCATCTGCTCAATAGTTCATTTGCTCGGCATGAATTGTCGTAATGGGTCGGGTGATGTCTCGTGAATGGCCGGGTTGGGAGTTCTCCCTGGGATGCAGTGGGGATTGCGAGGCGTGTGGAAGAATGGAAGTGGGTGAGTACGCCTTGCGAAGGTATTCGGTTTGGGAATAAAATAAAACAAAAATATTCCTTGTTTTATCTTGTCACCTTGAATGTGCAATTTCAGGGCTTGAGCACTGTATCTGTTGGCATGATCGGTAAGCGTAGATCGGACGGGTGGATGGAAAGATGGTGAAGATGGTGGTGGTGATGGTGGTGATGGTGGTGATGGTGGTGATGGTGGTGATGGTGGTGATGGTGGTGATGGTGGTGATGGTGGGATGGTGGTGATGGTGGGATGGTGGTGATGGTGGGATGGTGGTGATGGTGGGATGGTGGTGATGGTGGTGATGGTGATGGTGGCGACGGTGATAATAGTGCCAGCGGTGGCTGCGGTGCGCAGGGGTGCCGTGTCTCAAAGTATCGTACCGCAACTATGGTACCATATTTGGAGCTCTCAAGTCATTGGGCAAGGCTGGAAATGATTATGGTGGGTGAATCGATTGGCGGAATGAAGATAGATGGAAGGCGGGAGGGAAGAAGAGGGAATAGTGAGCAGGGAGAGGGAAGAAGATAAGGGGGCGGATGAAACTGGGATAAATCCTCGTCTCAAAAACATAGTTTCGGAATCATTACCTCGAGTCGTCTCAAGCACATCATGGAGACGAAGCAGGCCACTTCATCGGCTGGTCGCTCGGTGGCTGATTCCGTGCTCTCACCTCCTTCGCCTGCTTTCGAATCCCAGGCAACAATACCGCCATCACCATCTCCCCTCAATCAACCTGGCCCCTCCCCTCCCCCATACCCTCGCCCCAGGGGTTTCACTCCCCCCTCCATCACCTCAATCTCCTTGGCCCTCCACCCCTCCGCAAGTTCCGCTATGTCATAAATCCTCACACCGCTCCCTGCAAAGTTTACTCTCCGGCGACCTCTCGCGGTAGAACTCACTGTCGAACCGGCGCTTGCGACTCGACGCCTTGCGTGGGGAGGTCATGTAGCTCTTCAGTGAACGGTGAGTATCTGCAAATCGCGGGTCTGAGTGAAAGGGTTTTCGCGAGTGGTATGGCTGCAAGAGGAGTTTTGGCGGGATAGGGGGACGTTGTCTAGTTTCACGCCGTCGTGGCACTTGTAAAAGGTTAGCCTGCAGGGGGGAAAGGGGGAAAGGGGGAAAGGGGGCGGAGTCTCCATCCTGATGCGTTCCCCGTAAAGCATGCATGCCCCGCGAACCTCCCACGGAACAACTTGTCTAGCACCTCGGGCCGATATCCAAGTGCGTAATCAGCCCGGTCAAATCCTTCATCGTCCCGCGCTCAAAAAACGGCGTGACAAGCTTCCACCCTCCACCCCGGAACTTCCCGCCTTCCAGGATGAAGTGGTCCTGCTTGTCCATCTCTATCTAAAGTATTCGAACACCTTAGGCATTACTGGCGCCGGTCTGGGTGACAAGAGTCCGGACGCTTTATGGCCAAGTACGTAGTGATGTGCAGCCGTGTTCTTAAGGCTCTTATACAATTCCGAGGCCCCCGAGCCACTGGGAGCGCCTCGCTAGCCCTCTATTTCTTATTATTTAGTAGGATAAATTGGGACAGGGGTTTACGGTATTCCTGCTGTTCTTTCGCTGCCGATAGGTATCGTCATTGAGGTGCAAGAAAGGGTACGAGAGCTTTACGGGCGTGGCTGTACCACTCCTTCTCTGCCTCGCCGCGGGAATTTGGTAACGTTGCCGGAATATCCAGGGGCCATTTCCCCCGACTGTGCCTGGACCACGTGGATTTTCTGCTGCCCAGGGAGAAGCTAGCCACCATTTACTCGGCGCTGAGTGGAGCTTTATATCGAGCGGCCCGGGGATTACCGTTTGTCGGCTGGGTCGTCTAAGAACGAGCTTCGGCTACGACTACGCCCTCCCTGCGGGGGTCTTTGCACAGCCCTGCTTCACCTTTGCAGTCACACCGATGCCTCCTGACTCACTGTTCCGAAAGCCTTGGGGGTCGGGGAGTTAGTGAGTGGGCTGGGTGGAAAGCGGTTGGCTGGATGCGTGGGTGGCAGGGAGGTATGATGATGAGCGGGTGGTGGAGAAGGTGGGGAGGAGCACCGGGAGAGCTATGAATAAGTGAGGAGTTAAGGACGGGTGATGAAGTCCTAGCCTTCCCGTCAAAAGTTAATAGTGGCGATTGGAGAGTGATTGGGGGTGGATCGAGGGTACTTTTGTATGCCGTATTTTCATCTCATTCAAGAGCAATTCACGTGCTTGGGCCCACGGGATTGCCTCGTCCCATTGTCTCTCGTGAAAGGCTTCTCCGGGGTTTACCGGTTTTCCGGATTTTCTCTGGATGGTTAATTCTGCTGGGGTATGACTGGCATTTTCTTGGAGGACTCCTGTGCCCTGATACTCGTAGTGATGTCACACCCGTTCTTGAGTGGGGAGCTGGACAACCCCCGCAGATGTCCGACGCCATTGTAGGGTTGGTGGGGAGAAGCCCTGGACTGCTGGTATCATACTAGTAAGATAAGGGACTGTTTCCTAATCAGTTGTTTAGGACCAATGTTGGTGAGGGTCAGCTGGATCAGTGGAGGCGGCTCGAGAGATAGGTGGCGATAGTGGTCACTTGGGGTTGGTAGAGGCACTGGAGTTCAAAGCTTGGCCGGTTGTGAGGGGTCCCAGCCCAGGCAAGGCTATCGAGGTCATGATATCCTGCCGATAAGTCTAGCGATATTGTGGACAAGGTTGTTGGTATTTTATTTCGGGGTTGTACGAGTAGTAAGGCTGTGGAAAAAAAAGTAAGGCTGTCAAGGTAGCTAACCTATACAGAGGGCAGTTATTAATATCGATAAACCTTGAACCCATGCAGCGTAGCCGCAGTGACCGAGGTACCCCTCCTGGGGACGGTAGTCAACGCTTTCCCGTCAATATCTGCAAATCTGGTGGAGTGATGCTTGACTAATCGAAAGAGCCGCGAGTGATACAGAAATGATCAAGTTCCGAACAACCTATAACACACCCATGCCGACCAGTACACCGCCAAAGAATCACTACCCGCACCGTCCTTTGGATTTGGTCTAGGGCACAGGCTAAAATCTGTTTATATCCCTTCCCAGCACCCAATTTGTAAACCTGCGGAACAAAGTCAGTATCGACCCACTCTCGCTCTCGTGTAGGCCGAGCGGGGAAAGGGGCTCAATATCCTACCAAAGAGTGGGTATCAAGATCTTATTCCTCCAACTAACGCTTTTAGTCAGGTAGGCTGTCCTCCAGAGAACCCACGCCATGCGTCTGCGGCGCCTAATGTTAGCCGAGTATACTTCATAGCAGCCACTCTTCCCCTATGAAATTTCTAACGTGTGGCGAAATACGAGTCGCACGTACCCTGTAAGCTCTGCGCTACCACTTTGGGTTATAGCCCTCCAGCCGCCAAGATATGCCATTATTCCAAGACTTTTGAATTTAAATTTCTTTTCATCCTGTATCTTAACGGGCCCGGCTTTCCCTTCTGCAGCTTTGCGGACCGCTGCCTTGTTCAGGGTCTTCCCAAGCCAGATTGCTTGCTGATCTGCTACCTGTGCTGTAGCGGGTAATTCCTGCCCGCCAATAAGAGCGCAGTCTCCTATGGCAAAAACGTCGTCCAATGGCCAGGGCGTGCTGCCTTTTTCGTCCACGGACGAAGCCCGTAGGTGATCGTCCACGACGATTTTGGAGCCTCGCTCATCTAGATGTAGTTTGCCTTTTAGTCCCTTCGTCAGGAATGGGTTGGGCGCCAGGCCCGTGCTCCAGACAACACAGCCAACCGGAACTTCGCCGTCCTCTTGCGTGTGGACCGCTTCGGAAGTTACTTTGTGCACGTGGTGGCTTGTTTTTATTGTGATTTTCTGTCGCGAGAATACCCTTTCGGCGTACTTCGCTAGGGAGGTATCAAACATGGAAAGAATTCTTGGGGCTACATCGTATACCGTGATGCGATGGTACTTCGCGAGAGATGGATACAGCTTCGCGAGATCGTCCGACAAGAGATCGTGTAATTCAGCAGAAAATTCAATTCCGGTAGCTATGTCTCGTTTAGCGCATCTCACGACTAATAGATATAATAGGATGGACTCACGTCCGCCCCCCACAACAGCAAAATGTAGAAGTTGTTTCTTCCGCGCCTCACTCGCGGTTGGTAGGGCTGCTTCTTCGAAACCTGTTGAGCAGTTTTAACCAGTAAGCCCATATGATCGCTCCACAAATGGTTTGCGGGTATTCACATTCGAGTATCCTCCTCCGAATGGCCCGAGCATCTGCCACGTCTTTCAGGAAAAACGCATGGTCCTTAACCCCTTCGACCCCGAAAGTCTGACTGAAAGCTCCCACGGCAACAACAGCTTTATCCCATCCCACCTCAAACTTCTTCCCATCACCGACGATACCCCCCACCTCATCCTTGCTCTGTACAGCGCCTTCAACAGTAACCGTCTTTTTCGTGAGATCAATCTGCTCTGCCCAAGCGCGGATAACTTCGACGCCGGGCCGGGAACGCGAATGCTCCATTGCCAGCCGGAACTCCAGCGTCCCGACGGTGGTGGAAGCGAGCAGCGGAGTGAAGACGAAGTATGTCCTTGGAGTGATAATTAGGGGTTGGTAGTGCTTTAGATCGAGCTGTCGGGCAAGCCCGAAGCCACCCCATCCGGAGCCAAGTATTAAAACGCGCTCCCGGCCTATAAGCTGTCAGCCATGATACCTTGTCACAATTATATTGTATAAGCATGACGACTACGGTAGCTCAGGGGCTCCCATACTCCCCCTCCTCTCGTCCAACTCTTGGAGCGAGAAAGTTCTTCGCTGGATTATACTCCCTCCGCCAATTGCTGCCCGTCGACTCATTCCTCGAACAAATGTATCCCCCCGCAATACCGCCGCCATACTGCAGAAGTAGCGTGTAACCTACGAGTTAATATATGGCACGGTAACTTTTCCTCGGAATTGGCAAGAAAAAGGGTGCTTGTGGCAGCAAAGCTAAAAGTTGTCGGGTAGAAGAGAACTGATTGATAGGAAAAAGAGCAGCAAAGGACCGATGTCAACTCTGAGGTGATGTGGGTTAGGTTTTTATTCTAAATCGGGAACTAGTATTCGGAGGGGTTGTGTTTATCTGGTAGCCTCCAGATGATCACTTTCCTGCGGGTCCGGGGCCAGGGTAAGAGGGATGGAGATACCGGTATAAAGGCTTGTATTTTGTATGCTATTCCCGGGTTATAATGTAGTGAATTGGTAAGTTGAGAAAAGGCTATTGCTGTAGAACGCATCCTCCGGGACCAGAGTTTCATGGCCTCCGGTCCCGGCGGGGTACTGCGGGGCCCGGAGTGGTGGACCAGACCTGTAAACTCCGAAGAGTGCCTGCCTTTAAACAGATCGCGATAACACACCGGCGATTACTATAGGCTGGGATGGAATTAGACAATCTATGCTCCCCAGTTTTTCCTCTAGGGCACTTCAGGGGATAGTATCATTCCGAACACATATCTTTCCGTTTCCGCCTCTCCGTAAATTGGTCCCAAAAGGCCCAATTCGACCCCACTCCCCCCATCACCAGCAAACCGGTATGGTGCAGTACAAAGCACACTCCACCCCGCACACCCCGCTCCACACACCCACATGTGCCCACTACACCGCCCTGTACCCAGCCGCCTATCCGCTCAAAAGGCGATATGCGGCAAGGAAAAAATAAAATAAAAATAAAAATGACTGAATGAATGAATGAAGAAAGGTATAGCGAGAAGTTTCATTCATGTGGCACAAAGTTTTTTTTCTCACCCCGCACTATATTTAGTGAGCCCTTCTGACGACAAACGTGTCAGTCAGCCAGACAAAGCAGGCAGGAATGAAGTGTAGGAATCCTGCTATCACGAATGGGAGTGATCCAATCAGGGTTCTGAGGCCTCCGGAGAGGGAGGGGAGAAAAGAGTTCCTTGCAAAAGGCGGTGAGGTGAGTTGGGGTGAGGTTTTGTTATGTTAGGTTGGAGGTTTGTGCTCGTACCGGCGCGATGAAGGTCTGGAACCGTTATGATTTCTAAAATGTTGGTATGATAGTATGATATTACTCTAAGAGGATGTCGGAGTCGAGGCCCTACCCAAATGGCAGGTGGGTTAACCGCAAACCCCAGTAACCCATCCGCCATCATTTAGGCTAGACAGACTCATCGGCGCTGGAGTTGGGGTTGGCCTTTCGGTTGGAGACCACAGGTGGATCCAGGCATCCACCTATCGAGTGCTGCTGTGGAGAACCGGGGTGATGCTGAGGGAATACGGGCATAGTGAAACACCGAACGAGAAACATGTTCTCAGCTTGGGCGTCATGGGCTGGTCTTGTCACAAGATGCCATACAAATGCTATCAACTGCCATGGTTTAATGTTGGCTCGGTTGAGCCGGAGCGACACTAGCCGCCAATCTCCCACCCGCTCTCCTCGAAAGGGCAGCAGTTTTATCACTCGGCGCGAGCCGAGCATTACGGGAGGCTCGGGTTGCCGTCTGGATTGACCAGATGCAGGAAGGAGAGGATGGAGGGAATCGTGACAGGGGAGGTTCCAGTGTCTTGTTCTAACGCCGGTATATGATATCGTATAAGATCCAGGCCTACATTATTGTGCTGGTACCTTACTGAGCGTGGCGGAGTCGCGGGGTGTCAAGGAGTGCAGTAAAGAAGACCCATTGACGCATCCACCCTGCCGTCGCACCTCCACCGCTCTCCGGCAAACTCCTCGCAATGAAGAAACCAAGCAGGAGCTGTCCATGAGATCACGTTTTATCACTCGATATCATGACCTCACGCCTTGAATTCATCACATAGCACGTGGCCATTGTCGAAGGCGCGTTGCCGTATAACGCGCGATAAATTCACCTGGTGGAGATATTGTAGTGTTTCCGCATCGCCATGCTTTCCAGATCGTTAGAACACAGCCCTTATGAAACCCGAACCTGCGGTATAGCCCGCTATGAAAGATGTAAATTCTTGTAGAGAATAAAAATAAAAAATAAAAATGCGACCTCCCGTGGTGGTTAACCCACCCCCTTCTAAGGCCCCCAACTCTATTCCCGAGATACGTCCTCCCATCTACGATTAGTCCCGTGTCATTGTTACTCCCATGGTCTGAAAGGTCCTATACCTCATTAGCTTTTGCAGAGGGCTCCCGCCGGGCGGGAACACACCTTTAGGCCTTGCTGGTGCTTCTTGTGGAATCTCGGGGACATTAGAGACTATGAGCAAATTTAGTGGGAGCGATCATGAGCATTCTTATCCATGGAGAAATAACCTTTGCTGTGTTCCGCCGGTGGTTCCACTCCTTCCTCGGGCGCTGGATTACTGTTATTTAGCCCTGCGGGAGTGACATTTTAGTGAGGGCAGAAAATAGGCTGGTAGGTGGAAAAGGATGTACCTCTTGTTCTCCGACTTTTTCTTCGTGCTAATGATTTCCAAGCTCGCGCCATTCTCCAGCTAGCGTATTTTTGGGAGGCAAACTGTGGATATCTCGTTAACATCCATGCGTAGAGTTCGTCTTCTGCGGGTCGCTTGATTTCGTCTGGGATCCGACTGTATGTGCGATCTTGCCCGCCCAAATTATATTTTTCGTAGAGATTCCTCGCTTCTGCCTGTATTCGATCTCCTCGTTGAGGAATTAATTAGCCATCTATAGGTGACATTCCGATAGAAAGGTTTCCCATCGGGTTCTCTTTTTTTTTTTTTTTCCTCTCCGTTCAGCTGATCCCCCCTTTTCCACTAGACTTTTTCCTCTCTTACCTTTATCTCATCACCAGCTCTTTTTCCAATTCCCATGGCTTCGTCGACATCCCGCGGCTGTTCCGAATGTTCTGCGAGTATCTTCTCAACATCCTCATCCGATATTCCTGTCATGGGCTATAGGTTTCCTTATGAAAAATACAAGAGAACTCGGGGTGACCCTGGGTGAATTAAACAGTGTGGATCAAGTGGGTCGGGCCGAAAAAACAAGGTCTATCGTTCCATAAGCAGCGGGCGGCGCGATAGGTTTTTATAAATACATCTATTAATAGACGTCTTTACCAATGCAGGTTTCAGCCTCTACCACTGTGAGCGCTTAGCAACAGGCATTGGCGGCCTTGGTTTTGGTGGAAAGGAGCTGAGATGGGCCAAGGGATGGCTGCCGTGAAGCGTGATGGTGGTAGGGGGGTAAGGCCCGGGCTTGCTGAATCCAAGGGATACGCACTTGAGAATACATCTTGCTGGCGGCCAATAGACCTTTGGAAGTCAAGCTACCGAGCACTAACCTAACCACAGGAGTGCTTAGTTTCAGGAGAAAGATCGAGGGACCTTGTCTTGCTCTGCGCAGAGAGCTGCGGTGCACAGCAGACCATTCCCCCCCCCCACCATCCCAATGGAGAGGTAAATGCCTTCCTCTCCGCTCTCACCGCACAATGGCAGGTGTGAAACAAGGCCTATGAACCAAGGAATGTATGGGATGATCACTGAATCATAGGATGTCACTCACTAGAATGATAATCGCTGAGGGTTTTACCAGTTTATTTTACTTTAAAGCTCAACCGTGATGGTGTCCCCGAACATATGAACATGGGGTGCGAATTGCGCTGTACAGTAACGTAAGAACTCTTGGAGTCCGCTACTAGATTAGCGGCGGACCCCGGCCAGTCAGCCCACGATAGGTCTGGTTTGACAGGTTAAGAGATTTGCGGGTACCGGTTAATGGGATCCAACACATCCAATGGGCTGATCCTATACCGCGTCAGGAAGTGCGAATGCTTCTTAGGAGCTTTTGTCTCTGAATCCGGAGGTTGCAGGGCTGGCGGAGATAGCGGGTCTCGGGAATTTTTACGGCGCTGTATGGCTTTCTTCTGGATCAGTACCGAGCTGGCGGTCGCCTATCACCCGTGGCCATCCCTCCTGCTCTTCCCCCTCGAGCACATTTATTGATTGCGTATATAATGAGGAATCATTTTCTTGCAGGGCAGGATCTGTTGGAGCGATCAATACCCCCCGCATGACGCATTACGGGATGCGACAATAAGAGATCATAAGAGATCTGGTTGTACAAGATCATGGAAGCCAGGCGTAGCGCTCTCTCCTGAACTCTAACCTTTTTTTTTCTCTAGACTTTACTTTTTGTTCATGGAGAAAGAAAAATGAGAAAGAAAGCTGTGTAGATGTCCTAGGGTTTGTCAGTTCTCGATCTTGCAAGAGAAAAAAAGTAGAATAGGTGCAACATCCTTGACGCCCCATTCCATGTAAAAAATGCTCTCACATTCAGGGATCATCGAGCACAGCATCTTAGGTCGATGTGCTTGTACTAACCGAATCACTGGGCTGCCAAGCTTGCGATTGGAGGAAAGAAAAATTTCTAATACGGTACCCAAGTAGCAAGCACATCTTCTGCCAAACTTATAATTGGAGGAAGGAAATTTTTCCAATACCCAAGTAGCAGTGACCGGGGCCGCCCGGCTCCGTGTTGTATTCAAGCATGCTTCCTTGATTGAAATACGTCTCAGCCAACTCATCGCATTTCGATTGGAAGTTCACTCGCCAGCGCCTTTATTGCCTCAAGTACCAACAGATCTCTTTCTTTTTTGTTGTCCTATGAGACGGGAGGTGTGGAAGGTGGATCCGCTGCCGATACGGTAAGGCAGGCTTTGTCAGGTGATTTGCTCCAGGAGATTTGAACTGGTAGGCCGGCGGAAGGACGGCTTTGGGTTTCTCTGAGAACGATTGGTATCTGCGGTGGGGGACGAATTACCCGCACGGGAAGGACCCCCGGCTCCACAAGACTAGGGATTTGGTTGCCACGCCTCAACCATAACTTAGGTCAAGCAAGCTTTATTTCATCCCGCCCAACGCCTTGCAATTCTTGGCTCCCGGGGGGCTGGTTGAGGAGACTGCTAATTATCGGGAAAAGTATCAAGCAAATGATAGCAAAGAGAATGCCCAGTCTTCCAGATCCCCGGCTCCAGGTTCTGTAATAGCACAAAGTACGCAGCCGGTGTTTGTTTGTTTCTCAGTTCAATCTTCAAAATCCATTTGAGTCATGAGCGAGTAATGCTAATGCACATATAGGAGCCGAGGGCCCCCGGACTGGTGCCGGCAGTTAGACGTATGGATCTAATCATTTCAATGATTTGGGGTGTTTGCGGACCAAATTTTGCTCCAACCATTACCTGTCCTGTCCTGCGGTATGGTGTTGGGAAGGGGGGTTTTTTTTTCTTCCCAACGCACCAACCCGAATTTCGCGTACCTGACTTGGACCCAAAACCAATTGGAGAACGGCGTGGGTCACTACCAAGCATGTGAGTGACATATCGTGATGGGTTTCACTCGTACTGACTTCCATACGGTGTAATATTCGATTTCCGCAAACCTTCCGCTCGTTCACCTTGTTTAGCTTGAGCATCTAGTCCCGCACTTGCCTTAAGTTTTCCTGCATCGCTTGATGGTGCCCATTTGGCTACTCCACTCGGAGAGCGAGAAACCCCGTTGTCTAATACTATGCCTCTGCTTCTGCAAGCTCATCATGCCAGCTTAAGCCATGTGAAATGTTTGGATGAGGTGAGGCGCGATTGATCAAACATCGATATTTTTGAGGTAGTTTCAAAATAGATGTGAGGGGAAGTGCGAATCAATGAATGGGGTGACGTCGAATGTGTCTGTAGGAGGGGGGCATACTCGAGTACGTGTAAGTCATCATCTACTGCGAGTGATGAGAAGCGCTGCCATCGCAGCACATTCGAGAATTAAGGTAAGCGATTGCTTACGCTCCCCTTCGCTATATGCCATGGGATGGAGCAAAGACATTCCCGGCTATAACTTGATCTTTCCCCTTTCTCGAGTTCCTCCCTAGGTTTTACTTTTTCCCTACCTCTATTTTGTCTCTGCATTTACTGACGGAATTAGGATCGACTGATATACTCTCAATCTGATACACAGGCCTTTGGAGTTTGCCGGGCTTCGACCAGAAGGCCTCGAGGTTCACCGAATATGCCGGCATTTAATGGTTTCTGGGTATGGGATAGCAATCGGCTTTTTTCCAGAGCGAGCGGTGCTTATCACGAACAATACACTGTCGAATCATAGTATCAGATGTAGGTTGTATCTCCCGACACTCTGGAAACTTTGACAAATGAGAATCTGAATATTCACTAATGCGATACCCCGGCGAGTTGATGTGAGCCGGGTATAGCCCGGGAGAGAAATCCCCTTCGACACTACCGGTATATCACATTGATGAGGTCAAGACTGAAATACTTCCGATGTTTGGTACGGTGCCGGGCTGATCTTAGGGCTCCTACAAGCCATGGTTCCTTGGGACTGATCAAAGATCGAATCACATCAGCTGGAATGTGGGGAACCATGCATAAGAGATTTCCGTGTCCTCTATGGGACAATGCTCGAACTGGGATATTGCCGGTGCCAATTCTCGATATCATGACTCGAGTGGCACTACCTTTACCGGGATGCAAGAGGAACTGGCTAGGCTGTGAGAGAGCGTGGGGTCTGAAATAGACCCTATCACATCCGGGGCTAATGCTGTAGTTATAACTGGCCCTGGGCACGGGATACGGCTGCATTGCTTGTGAGTTTGTCCGCGATGACACTGGTTCCCGAGATGGGTGCTTGCGGCAGCACCCTCTTCACAAGAGGTGAGTTTTTTTTTTTCTACTTTTTTTTCTTTTTCTTTCCTTCTCCTGTATCATGCACTCCTTGCCTGGGAAATGCCTGTTTCATGCTGAGGTCAAGTTCAACTGGAGATATTAGTGCATAAATCCACGCATGCAAGCATCGACTTTGGTAAGGATGCAAACCTATGTGGCCACCCATGACTTGGTTTGGTGTTCTGTGGCTTCCACCATAGATAAACAATAGGTCCGGTCCGCACACTGCCGGCATGAGCTTTGTTTTTCTGACATCGGGGTCTTCGCTTGCCTTATCTTATCATACATATGTTCTGAGAAGGCGAGAAGTCAGTTTTTTTTTTTTGCGGAATACAGAATTAGGAGTTTCTGTCGCACTCGGAGTGTTCAGTACGATCTACATGCTCCCATGGACTGGTAGCTAAAGGATTTATCATCGAAGCTCGGTTGTCAATTCCAGTGAACAAGGATTAGACCATACAAGTAACAAGGCGGAGATGCATGTTGTGTTTTCACTTGGCCGACACAATAAAGGCGAACCTTGCCCCGAGCCAACGCACCACCTTCCCTTCAATTAGCATACTCAAGAATCACATATTTTTAGGCCACTATCATTCGGGGATTATTTCTCGACGCTCGCTATGTAAAAACCGACAAAATGAACGAGCATGTGCACCGGGCATTGCCGCGGGCGCTTTGAAGAACAGTCGGCGGGATTTGGGGGGTCAACACCCACTTTCCTTCCAGGCATCATACAAGCTTCCAGACCGCTGATACTTGTTAAGCCCTTACTGGTGCTATATGCTTGCTGCCAGCAGAATCATCGGTCATCACTCGAAGCACTTCAACCCCTGTCATGCACGACACATAGCGACTCGAGTTGAATTCGTGTGCGCCCGATCGCTAGCGGCCCAAGGGCGATATAGGCGGGATAAGATCAATGGGACCGATGGATTAGGATCCGAATCGGGCGCAGTACTTGAGCCTCTCCGGAATCTGGAACTGGCCCACTGGGAAATGGAGGGGGCTAGCAGGGTGTGGGGTGCTTCAATCAGCGACGACTGTCTCCGGGACAAACCGAGTTAGTCTCGAAAGAGCCCTTGCCCCCGGCAAGGCATACAAGGGTGTCACCCAGGAACACTACCGTATTGCCCTGACCCAGACTGATGCACAGCAACAATTAGCTTCCATGGGTTGAGCTCTCTTCGGGGTCTCGCTAGGACTCGAATTACGTCGGCGCAAAGCACAATGCTTCAAGGGAGACACTTTCGCGAACTGCTCCAAGCCAAAAGGCCTGCGGACCTGGTGGCGATGGCGCACCAGGCGTGAATACTTCATCAGAAGCGCGTATCAAAGCTTCATCGCATACCGGTAGCTGTAGTCTACGCCGCCCACCACATTCAGCCGGTTGTAGCACATGTATTCAGCTCCAGCGCTCCCGGAAAAAAAAAAATCGAACAGCTGTAGCGTCCACCAGGATCTATTCGTCGGCGGAGGCTTAACCCATCCAGACAATTTAACCTGCGCACCCTCATCGCCAATCATTGTAGTATGCGGTCCAAGTCGCGGCGAATCAGCACCGCAAGGGGAAAAAACTCTGGGTGTGGTTGCAAATGCGGTTCTGGACCAACCAGATCCCTAGGATTTGACTCTGGGTGGGAAATGGCAAGGTCCCTAATATGTCATTTTGCCACCGTCGGTGCTTCAGTGCCGGTGGCACTCATCAGATAATTCACCGTGCATAGCGGTCTACTCGAGTACTCGTACAGTACCTAGGTACTCGAGTAGTCCACCGGTAAGCTGGCGGCAACTTAACCCTCGCACCTTCAAGCGCAATGAGACACGGTGCTCAAGGACACTGAAGGCCCAGTAAACTCTGGATAAATGTTAATTGGATTTGGTGTATCCGTGCGAGTACTGTAAAATCTCGTGAAAATCACCATCTCCGTCGGGCCTCCAATCTCCGCGTCGGGATGCCAAACATCTCTGGAGGGAATATTGTTTACCCGAGGCAGTATAGCCAGACCGAGCGACCCTGCTTGGATCTGGTTAACATGATTCGTAATTTGATTAACCTGTTCAGCTAAGCCTATCGTAGTTTAGCCCGGTTGCTTATCTAGCGGCTGATTATACGAGCAAATGTGGTGGAAGATCGGGGGATCTGTTTGGTGGCACACTTCACTCAAGATCAACCCCTCGGCGAACCATTCCTCCAACCATCGACATGGCACATTGTCGTGCACAGTACTGTACGAGCATAGTACTCGAGTATCTACTGCATCGTAGAGCGCTCCGACATTCGGCAGATAGCACACAGGTACAAAACCCCACTTCTGACCTCCCTTCCCTTCCCTGCCCGGTAGTTTACCGAAAAAATAGCATCCTCTGAGACCACCGAAGAAGGGGAGGGGAAAGGAGAAAAAAAAAGAAAAAAAAGGTAAGGTGAGTGGGGGGTTGACTTGCACCTTACGCTACGAGCCCCACCCACGCCTCCACATACCAGCATTGGATCATGCTGGTGGATGGCCATACTGTACCGTACTCGCACAGTACGAGTACGTTAGCAAAGTAGCACAGGCACAATCAATGGAGAAACTCGCTAACTCGACGCACCCCAATTTGCCCCGATTCATAATCCTTTCCCCTCAAAGGTCGTCGTCGATTTGTCGGCCATCTATCTACGCCACAGATTGGTTCTCGAACTGGGAGAGGTACTCGAGTACTTTACTTGTTTGTGCTAGCCGGGTTGTGAGAATTTGAAAGTGCGTTTCCTCTCTTTCCCCCCCCCCCCCTCATCGGGGACAAAAGAAGAAGGGGGAGGAAGGAGTGAAAACTTTTGAGAAATTTCTGCGCCTAAAGGCCATTTCGAAATCGATAATACTGCACACTACCTCACATAATCCCTCCCTCCTTCCTCCACTAGCGTCGGCGACGACGATGTCCCGCGGGCGGGAGAACAAGTAGGCAGGGTCATGCGGGGCCGACCCGAGCCGAAGGAATAAACAGACAAACAAAACAAAAACGGAAACAAACAATTATCAATCATGCAAACTCACCGTGCAGTTACGGTGTTTATTCACTGCACGAGGACATAAACACAATCACGAGGTCAACCTGCTGGGATCGAGGCGTTCAATTCCTTACAGTAGGGGTGAAAGTGCCGTGCCGTACCGTGCCATGCTGTACCATACCATACCACACATACTGTACTGTATGAGTACTGTGTAGTGCTGTACTTACAGCAATCGGACTGCAGGGGGGAATGGGGGGAACGGGAGTATGGTAAGTGTGCTCGAACACAGTACGAGTACAGTACGTGCCGTACCGTACCGTGCGCTTACTGTCGGTAGGTGCGGTAGCTGAGTGGGGAAGGGTTGTGATGAGGTGCGTCGTTCGGATAGGCTAGCCGGCCGTCCCCCAAGGGTCCCAAGGGTGGGTTGTGCGGGGACGTGACGAGTATAGTACTCAGTACAGTATATAGTACGCTATTGTGGCCAAGGGTCGGGGAGATGACTGCGCCGCCGATGGGACGAGGGGGCGGGAGGGTGGGCCCGCTGCCCCCGGGTTCAATTTGTGAAATTAGATGTATCGTGATTATGAAATCGATCGCACCACAAGTTGTGATACCGCTCACCTATTTATGATGCCTACTCTGCGTGACTCCCCCCCCCCCTTTTTCGACATTCGCGGTCTTTTAAGAACAGGGCGTTATGCTGTACGGTACCGGAGAAGAAGGAAATGCCTTTTATAGGTTCTTTAAAGGAACTGCTCGGAAGTCACGGGGAGTGTCGGGGGGGCAAACTCTTTCAGTTCCTTGTGACTTTGTCCTACTACCAAAAAACTGGACATCTGTGGTCCTTCTTTGGTACCAGTTTGTACTGCATCATACTCCGAAAAAAGGTCTCACGTTCGACATCGAATGAAGGGATTTAAATGTAGTCATCGAGACAAAAACATGAAAAGCATATCATAACCGGAAACACCCATCTGCCCTAGAAGCCCTGTAGAATATGACGGCGAAAAAAAAGCTACAATAAAGGGAAACGTCAAGGGTAAAAAGAGGAAAGAACGGAATAAAATAAAAGAATAGAAAGAAAGGAAGGAAGAGGGAACAGGGTTAAAAAAAGAAAGGGATAAAAATAGAACACAATCACAGATAATCACTCGTCCTTCATCCCCCGCGTTCCCTTCATGGTTCATCTCAAAACTTACCAATTCGTGGGGAAGAGGAAAAAAAGGCATATAGAAACCTTGGATCTCACAAAAAAATCCACATAACGCCCATGGCCCCCCCGCATCTGTAAGCACACGCAAGAGCGTTTCTATCAGCGAAAAAAGCAACTTATCCCATTCACTCCCTCCCCCCCAACTTCCCCTTTTGGTGGTGGATCATGATCAGCACGTACGCTCCAATCGTGAGTGCCGCGGGTACCTGCATCTCCGGCTTCCTGTCAAGGATCCACCCCCCCACGGCCGATATGCCAAACGAGATTAGAGTCGCCCAGATTTTGGCGGTGCGCGAGAGTGTTGGGGTGGGGGATGGTAGCAATGGCTTGGGTAATTAGTCTTGTCTTTTTTTTGGTTTGGTTCATGCGGGGAGGCGGTAGTGTGGGTTTGAAGAAAGAGATACCTCTTTTGGTATTGGTTCGGGAGAAGTGGGCTGTGTGTCTTCCACTGTTGGCTCGTTTGGCTCCTCCGGCAGTGTGTTTTCATGGGACTCTGGCTGCGATCGTGGTGGTGGTGGTGATTGCGATTGTGCTGGCTGCGGTGTAGGGGTAGGGATGACTAGAAAGTTTGGCTTTGGTGTCTTTCGTAAGGATATCAGGTCTTCTCGGCTCTCGAGAAACCTGGCCTCGGTCTCAACCAAGGGTCTCTCGCTATCAAGCCATTTCCTGTATGCCGTTATTTCGTCCTCTCGTGCCATCTCTAAAGTGTCTGCGACATCTGCAAAGTTTTTCAATGCCGTGTCTGTGCGTGATCAGCGTAAGGGGTCCTGATACGGGAGGGGGGGAGGTAGTGGGACTTACTGTACTCCCTGAGTTTCCATGCGACAGCTCCCATGACCTGTATTCTCTTTGCACCACCACCACTTCCGACGCGCCGCGAACGTAGTCCAAGCCCAGCATTAGAAAGATATTCGGCAGTGTCTAATTCCACGAGGATTGATTCTAATTCCGAGATTTCATCTTGTAAATGTAAAAGCACTAGATGGTTTAGCGTTGAGAAGCGACGGTAAAGCGCTAGTGAGGGGTGGTTAGTGAGTGTTTGCGCCACGTATGGATAACCTGTTCTGCGAGATGGGGGAGGAGAGCCACGGCCTGATTTCTGGGAATTTTGTGAAGTCTGGGATTGCGGTATATCTGGAGGAGGTGCTGAGCTGGTCCATTAGTAGGGAAGAGAAAACCGGGGAATGGCCTCTGTACCCAATGGCGGTGTTTTCCTGCGGAACTTTGTTCCTACTGATGGCGTCCTCCTACCCCCCGACCCGCTCTCACCTGCTCTACCCTTCCCTTTATCCCTCCCCTCTCTCCTTCCATCCTCGGTCTGATCGTCCTCCGATCCTGAATACCACTCGCCCTCTTCCAGATCGTCTTCACTACTAATCAATATTTGTGGGATGTCCTGGCGGCCTTGCTCGTAGTACTCGCTATTTAGTCCTTTGGGACCCATTTTTGTACCCTCAATTTTCATCGGCCCCGAAGCCCATGGCCCATTGTAAGACCCTTCAAAATCTACTCTCTGTCGTTGATAAGACATTCCTATAGATTGCGGTGAAGGAAGGGGAGGAGGAAACGGGAGAGGGGGAGGAGGGGCAGTCGGAAAACCGCTATTATAATAGCCATATTGGATGGGCGTTCTATATACTGGGGGGTGAGCTACATTAGCATTATAGGGTACTACCGGTATGTGGGGTGAAGGATGTCTGGTGCTTTTTGGTGTAGTGGGGTCCTCGTGCTCCCCAGACGGCGTGCTGGAATGTGAGGCAGAGATAGTAGAGATAGAAAATGCTCTTGGTCTTCTCTTCTTCCCCCTGGGAGAGCTGGAAGACGCATCGGATCGGTTTCTGCGATGTGATTTTCCCGGAGGTGTTTTTGGCGGGGGAATTGCTGGTGATAATTGCGATTTTTGGTCCGCGCTTGTATTGTCATCTTCAAGGGAGGCCATCATTCGTTCGGTGTGGGAACGGGAAGGAGCGTAGGAACGCATACCGGTAAGTATAACCTTATATGACCGACAGACGCCACGGGGTTTTCGCTTAGTCTCTGCGCATGCTCTAGATGTTAATTTCCGGTGATATCGGATTTGTTTAGGTACCAGCTGAATTTGGGCATGTGGTCCTCCAATAGATTGCGGTTGCCGCGACTGGTTGTTGCCGTTGCGAGCTGAAGCGAACCAGGATCCAGCTGAGAAGGTAACCGTAGTGAAAACGGAAGATCTTAGAAGATTCAAGCAGGGAGAAGTGGAACTTATTAACCCTGGATGCCAGCGAAGGAATTCCAAAGAATAGTCGATAATCCACGTCAATCTGACGGGCTTGGTGGGATATATTAGTCCGTTAGGTTGTGGGTATCTGACTGCCAACGTCATCCGAAGTCACTCGGATTAGCAAAATACTAGTGCCAAAATAGGGGTCCGGTAGGCCAACGCGCTGCGGATACTGTGGAGGGTCAGTGCTACGGCTGGAATATCGGATTCGGAGCTCACGCAGGAGGGAGCGTCAGAAGTTACGTTATTCTCTCATTCAGGGGTGTAATATAAGAACAGGTGGTGTGCACGTATTGTGCCTCATGTTATGGGAGTTCCCGCAGTGTGCTAGTCGGAGTCTGTCCGTAATTGTGATTGCTAGAAATCAACAGGTCGCAAGAGATAGACCGTGTGATTTCTTTGAGACAACATGTCACGGGTCTGCCTGCGCTCAGAAGTATTGATGGTGGGGACTTATGGAACTGGTGGGGAAAGCGCGATAAGATTTGGGCAAAATATTCTTTTGAAGTTAGTGCATGATCATAGATCAACGAGTGCCGCTCCAGCTGGGGAATTAATGGAGAGAACCCTTTGTCTTCCACCCATGGCTATCACGAACCCTTGATACATACGGTAGTTCGAAATCTAGCTGCAGTTACCTAAACCCGTAATAGTTCGGGTTCTATTTCGGAAAAAGAGAGAATTAAGTACCGGTAAGTTAGCTATGACCGAACAGTAAGGCTCCCGACGGGCTTGATGTGTGCGTCATAGAGTAATTTCGATTAATTTGCTTCAGCCAGTGACCTGCTGAGAGGCCCCCCGCAGATCGTGTTGACCACGGGTGTTCTAAACTGGTCATCGTGTGTGCGCTGCGAGGTCGGATTAAGCTGTGGCAAAAGGAGGTTGTTTTCGCCACCCGGGGGTCTTCAAGCACAAACTACTGATGCTCCATTCAGAGAGATAGCTCCAACTTGAACCTTCTGCGTTTCATGTCAGCGCCGCGGATTGAGCTAGAAGAAAGCATGAGGAAACAGAAACACTATAGAAGCATAGCTATACTTACGGCTGTTGAACAGCTTGGTGAACTTGAAAAAACAAGCCGACGTGGCAGAAGGAGGAGCCTATGGCAAGACATTAAAGAAGCAAATAAGGAGGTATATACGGATTTGCCAGTACGGTATCTGCAGGGCTCATTCGATGCTTGCCGAGTATTGATAAGGGGTATTCGCATACACATTCCGTGGCCCCGCCTAGATTTGCAGGTGGGGGTGGCCTCCTGGAAGAAATCCGATCCAACCAGATCCCTCACAGGAACTCTGCAGGCGAAGTTCTCTCCAGTGCTAGTACTGGGGGGTATGCGATAGGGTCGGTGTGTCTAGTGAGGCTATAGTGCTCTAGAAGTGACCCATTTAGTCCTAGAACACGAATTCACACTTAGGAAATCCCTCAAAATAGAACCACGAACCACACTAACATTTCTACACGTCTCTCCCCCACAGGGCATATATTGCGTTCCTGTCTTGATCCCCGGATAGTCTTCAAATGTCCATTTCGCCCCGGAAACGTTACAGGAACTCAGAATCACTTCCAATCACTCGCTGGAGAGTTATCCACGTAAGTTTTAACTTTAGACGCCTTCTGCACATGGGCGAAGGCGACGGGATTTGGCTGTGATAGGCTGTGGACAATATCCACGTTTCTAGACAATAACCGAAGGATTCTCAGGCTTCACGGCTCATACTTCCAATCCTGAGGCCAACATCGTAACCTGTAAGCAAGGGGATTCTGCGGTCTGGTTTATAACTGTCAAATATTGGATCGGGGAGGGGTGCAAAAGTCGAGGAGGTGTGAGTGAGGTATGCGGAAAAGTAGTGATACCTAGATCGATAGGTATGATGCGTCACACTTTTCTCTTGTATCGGGGAGTAAAATAATGTGAACCGAGGGAAGAACAACCACCAGGGGGTTCCATTTTCCTAACGAGGGTCGGCACCTACCTGTAGGCTAGTGAATAGTAAAACTAGAAACGTTTCTATAAACCACTGCCATCACTCATAGAAACTTTCCAATCCTGCTGGCTGGAACGAGTGCCTCACAACTAATGTTTCCTGGATAGGAGGTATCAAGTACCGTACGGCATTTCACTACGGCACGCGTCTCTCTGGTTAGCTAGGAGTATGATATAATTCCCTTAACGTATGATTGGTTCAGTTCCTCTAAGGTGAATACCGCCCTGACCCTAGAACCAGGGGAGAGGACCTACAAGGGAATGACGCTGATAGGAAATTCTCTCCAGGGAGCCGGATGGCTCTAGTCCTCCAATTTGGGCGTTTAAAGGTACTGTAACACTAGGTACCGTGCTTTTTTTTTATTCAAAGCAGTTTACCTTAGCAGTTCTTGGGAGCATAAGTGCTGCTACCGGTTTGATTTCGGCGATGACAAAGGCTGGAACGGTTCTCAATGTCTTCAGGAACACACCACCGTAACCCGTTAATACCCAATAGCAACTTGACCCGATATCGGTTGGTACTCACAGAATAGGATCTCTGGAAACACCCGCACAATTCAGAGAAGAAAAGAGAAAGAAAAGCCAGAAAGTTGGTGCTTGCAAGCTTCCTGAACCTATGCAAGGTACCAGAACCGGAAAAACTCTCGAAAATCTACCACCTCCGCCGGCCTTGCGAGCTCCGGTTTCAGAGATAAAAAGCTCCTGGGAAGGATTAGCGTTTTTCCTGATACAGTATAAGATTAGTATCCATGATCCTGCTAACCTGTCACCGTCAGCCTATCATGGGCTGATGGGCTGATTTCCGCTGATAATCTGGGGGTGGACTCAAGAGTCTTCATGGCATTGGGCTATAAATGCCAAGACATGGCATGCTATCTCCCCATGATGCAGGCATTTCCCCGATTCCCCTGTTGCCCCCTCTTGGCCCTCCGCATCTCTACCCTACCCATCCTGTATGCCAAAGCTTACGGAGAGTTATTCCCATTGTATTCGTGGGTCTTTGAGAGTGGCTTCGTGCTAAAGGTCATGTTTACGTATTGTCCAAGGCCCCCAAACCTCGCTGTTCAGCCGCTCGCGCAAGTAGGGGTGCATTTTATGTGAATCGCGGACACTTGTGGTTGGATGCAGCCGCCAATATTGAACATAAAGGATTTGTGTTATTTCGTAAGATGGCGCTTTGGGATGATGGATACAGCCCCCACCGAACTACGGTACCTGTAAGGGAACGGATACTGGCTTCCTCTATTGGTTCCGGCACTGCACTCACTCAGAGTGGAGCAGTACCTCTCTCAATCCATTCCATCTACAATATTACAGACACACCACAAATCGAGAAATAATTCTGCTAAAGAGAATGGAAATGTCCCTCCCAGGTGATAATTGAGGATGCAGCCAGACTTAACCCCAAGGGAAGTGAGGCGGATGCGGGCATCCTACCCGCTGCCTCAGCCCCAAGGATTGAACACAGAGCATTAAAGTCCTTCATACTACAGTATCCTAAAAGTCGCCCCCCAGGTATAATCCGCAGGACCGGGTGCCAAAAAAAAAGCCCCCATATGATCACTGCCAATGTTTTCTTTCAGGTGGCTGAGTCAACTTTTTGTGGTAAGTGTTGTTGTTTTATTCCGCAGTGATTCCTCGTCCCAAGATTTTCATCTACAGCCTTCTCGGGCGGCCACATGCCAGGGTGGAGCCCTTCATACTGGATAGTTAGCAGCGTCTAACAGAGTTCAGACCCGGCAGTGGCTGGGATATATATGCCATATTGACATCCCTGAAATATTCGGTCTCGACTGCCCGATCACTGGCGGGCCAGCACGGGTGGATAAACCCACTAACGAGTGATTGGCTCTTGGTATTGGCCGGCTAGGAATCCGGTATGTGGCATTGTATGCATCGCTAGTGGTGAACATGAATTCCTCGTCAGCGGTGCCTTTACCACTTATACTCGTGGTGGCAGTTTCTAGAAATCGCTCAGAGACATTCGATAACCAGTACGCTGCCGGTACTCGCCCTTGCGTGCCAGACCGTGTTACCTGCCATCCAGCCAAGAGGGGGTCTCACTCGAGCACACAAGAACTCCCTTGAAAATCCAACGAGCCAGGTTGTGCTATCGGTAATACCATACTTGGTAGTTTACCTGCTGTCCCCATTTGATAATCCCTACACTTAAGGCGGTACTCAAGTGCAGGTACAGTTCGCTGGGCGGTAGGGGAAAATAGTTTACACCAAGGAAAACGAGTCTTTCGGCCCAACAGAGTTCAATAACTTTAGGTCTCGACGAAGGATTTACTAAAAAGTCAAGGGCATTCATGATACCGGCGCCGGTAGTTTATGACTTTTCTCCAATTGCCTAGGTCACCGTAGGATAGGGTAATGCCAGATGGCCTGTGGCTACCGTAAATTTATTTTGACTGCACCCTATCACTCTTGTAACCAATTCACTATAGGTAGACTCATGATACTATTGCAGCAGTTTTTGTGTGCGGATATTAATACCTTCCCCTCCATCTATGAGACAAAAAGGGCACATTCTAAGTTGGCAATACATGGGGAATGAATGCTATAACAGCAGAGTAGGACAGCAAGTGGTGTGGTTCTCGGACATGGCTCATCACAGCTTGCCCATTCTGCGGTGTCACAGCAAAGAGGGAGTCCGATGTGTCGACCTCACAAATCTCCACAAGGTTAACTTATACGGGACATTCGGTAGGCGGAATCTACTCGAGTAGGGGTCGATATTTCACTACCGGTACGGCACTCGTGTTACTCGTACTGATAGGCCCTCGGAATCCCTTGCAGTGGAGCCACTCGTGCAGAACGGTTCGGGAATTCGGTCTAAGAGCTAGGAACTCACGGCTCACCCGAAAGATCACCCAACTTACCGGTATTCGGAAAACCCCTTGTTCTGGTTCACATAAGCTCTAAAAATATAACCAAATTACTTTCCTCAAATCTCGGCACGCTCGGCACAAGTGCGCAATGGATAAGCCCCGTCCTTGAGGCCGATAGCGGTGCTACAAGTATCATACCTGTACGAGTACAGTACGGTACGGTGCGCGCAGGGTTCGTTGCTGGTTTAAACTTGATTCCGGATACCGGCATACCAGTGCCATTCCACGCAGCGAGGCACTTTGAGGCTCGAACCGGTAGTCTATGATGCTAAGCCATTCCAAAGCCCCAACGACCAGGATGCTAATTTAATTCGCAGATGTGCGAACTCCGGCCCATCGCCAATCTCAGCTACTCGTACATAATCGCACTCGGGCGCCCATGCTCACCATCGCTGAAGGGTGCCGGTGCCTCAGTCGTCCCTCTCTCAGGTATGACGCGGGCGGCACAAAATTCTCCACCGTCTCAGCGGTTCAGGAGATGCCGTACAATAGGAATCATACCGGCACTCGAGCAGGATCGTCCAGCTGCAAGGATTCGACGCTTGTGTCTGGCTGGCGGTGCGCAACGCCTCCAACACAGCCCGCCGCTTTGCGCGCGGGGGGGAATGGGGGAGAATATCTCTTGCGGCAGCTGCTCTCCTTGTGGGCAAACATTAAAGCCGAAACAGCCTCCGCCGTTGCCTGTTTACACTGCGCGTGGCCCTTTTCGCCTTTTATCGCGGGGAGAACTGATCCATAATGGTGGTCGAGGTAAAACCGTTCACCCCCTCGCTTGCTGTTTACGATGTCGGGGGCGCGCATCGCCTATTCGATACTGGCGCTCTCTTGAGTCTGTATCTTCAGAATACTCCCTATCCTGAGGTGGGACCCCATGGTAAGCTGAGGCTACCTTTTAACTGTGCTGACGGGATTTATAGAACGATCAAGGGGCTAGGCTATTCACGTATTTTATTATTTATTCCTAGTCTGGGTTTTCCAGCAAATCTAACTAACCGACCTCCCTCCAGATATAATAGATACACTTCGAGTGATATATTATTAGCCCTTTCCCGTTCATTCGATTTCAACAGGTTTTCAAGCTATCTTCGTGGACTGGCGTGGGAGAACCGTCTGACCCCTACGGCTAAAGTAGCCTCTCTGGCGTGTCAGTGTCACGACTGTGAAAGTGGTTCTGGTTGCGGTGCGGTCGGTCCTACTCAAGGATAGGATCCTTTGCTGATGGTCCCAGGTCAACACCTATTTACCTTTAGCGTCCCCATATTCCAGAGGGCGGGTAGAGACGAACCCTCCGAATGGCACGGTGGGATCAAGGAAGTTAGGGAGGATGGAAATCTCTTCATGATACCCAATGTTTACCAGTGAGTGGCCAACCAGTCTCAAGGCAACCACATGCTTACGACAATCAAAGAGGTCGGCCGGAGGAGTTCATGTTATCTTCGGCTCATGCTCAGGTGTTTCTGTATCCCTTTGGGAATTGGCAGCACAGAACCTCCCGCATTGAAGCCCTCATCTGCAGGGATGGTGTCGCCTCGGGTCAGCTACACTCTGTACCGGCAAACTACGTCCTTGACTTGTTGACCGCTGCTTGCGCGGGGTGGGAGGACTTGATTGAGTGTTCCAGAAAGTTTCTCTCTCAGATGGTGTGAATCCCGGATCAGCTGCTGATTCCCGCGAAGCCATTAACCTGAATGTTCGCCATCCAGAAACACGAGATACTCGGGGAATCGACAGTGAATGACAGACAAATAATTAGACGGTTGGCACGAAACGCTCAGCAATGGGAAAGGCTGCGAAGTCTTCACAGGGATCACCTTCAAGGTCTATCGGGATTGGAAACCCTGAGTACCGAAGCACGATGGTTTGCTGGGAGCGACGACGAAGGTGGGGTGGCCACTTACTCAAACATTCTAGAAGCTGTCAAGAGCCTAGAGGATATTGGCGGGAGAATCGAGCACTTGGTGCAAGAGACAAACTCGCTAATCCAAACCGTACGTGGAGTTCCTGGACATCGTGTGTGTGTGGACTTTTAGTGACATTCGTCCAGACGTCGAATTTAATTACCATCGAAGGGGGGTACAGATCGAGGGACCAAGGCGAGAGCATCAGGCGCATCACTTGGATCACTGTATGATTCCGCCCCCACGAGCGTGGTCTGGGAACCATGGAAACTGATTTTGCATTGGGGGTTTTAAAAGTTTATCTTTCTACCGCTCCTATTTGTCGCGGTTTGTCAACGTTCCTACGAGATACTCTTCCCTTCTAATACATTTCTTTGTAGAGTCTGTTCGGCATGAATGTGGACGTTCTGGAAGACAATCCCTCATGGCTATACTTCGTTTACCTATCGATACCCATGATACTCGCGATATTACTCGCTACAGCAATCTTGAAGCACTCCAAGAGGCAGGTAAAATGGATCCTCGATACGTATGGGCTGCGAAAAAAGGCCGCCGAAGCCCCGAAACCAGAACTACTTTCCGTCAAGATTGACAGGGACGATGGCTGCCAAAGCCCTAATTTGATATGGGCAGCAAAGACAGGCCAGGAGGCCCTTGTCCGTTTGCTGCTGGATACGAACGTTGAAATTGACGCGAAGCAGGATGGACTTACCGCCCTGCACTGGGCAACACGATATGCGCATGGCCGCGTGGCAGATATGATAGCATCGCGGGCAAAGTGCGTCAATACGATCGACGAGCTCGGATGCACTCCTCTTCACTGGGTTGCTCGTAATGGCCTAGCAGACCTCGCCCCAGTTCTTCTCGAGAAAGGAGCGGATCACAACGTCTTGGATAACGAAGGGATGAGTCCTTTGGAGTGGGCAATACTGAATGGAAATTTGAATATCTACACCATTATTTCAGAGCTTGATGAGGATGATGGGCCTGTGAAGACGGAATTGCACTCAGCGATAGGAATGGGATCCCTCCATGAGGTTCTGCGACTACTGAGCCTCGGGGTTTCCCTTGAGGTAAAGGATGACGAAGGCAGAACGCCCCTCCACCTTGCGATAGACCTTAAGAGCCGTCCAATCGTTGAAGCCCTGCTTCAGAGAGGTGCAGATATAGAAGCGGCAGATCTCGATGGGCACACCGCATTACATTTGGCAGTTATGAATGGTGATGTAGACCTGGTCCGTGTTTTAACATCCTTCATGGCAAATGTGGAAGCGAAAGGCACACGCATGAGGCGTCCGATGCACCTCGCAGCGCAAAACGGCTCGGAATCAATTGTCGATGCCCTAATACAGCGCGGCGCAATGCCACACCCAGCGGACAGCGAAGGCAACCTACCGCTCCATCTTGCAGCCGGACACGGCCACCACAAAGTGGTGAAGCAATTGATAGATATAGCGCCCAGCGGGTCATTGTCGAGTGTAATTAACACCCGGAACTCCTTCCAACACACGCCACTCCACCTCGCGGCAAATCAGAACATCGAAACGGTGGCCGAGCTACTAAAAGCTGGAGCGAACGTCGACACTGCCTCAGGTCCCGAAAATGCCACCCCATCCATGCTCGCAGCGCGGTCCGGAAAGGGCGACATCCTGGAAATGCTGCTACATCACATGCCAGCCCCAACAGACGCCCTCCTCTCCGATCTCTTGAGAATCGGCTTCGAGCACAGCCACGCAGGGGTAGTCAGCGCCCTGCAAAACCGCGGCGTGCGCATCGGGCAGACAGCCTTGGACAGCGGCACCACCTGGCAAACCTTCAAATCCGGCAACCTCGAACTCTCAAAAATCTTCCTGGCAAACGGCTTCGACGTGAACACCATCGGGCCCCTCGGCATGACGGCACTGCACTTTGCGGCTGGAAGTGGCAGCCTATCAATGGTGCACCAACTCCTCAACCATGGAGCGGACATCTCCATCGCCGACGAGTGGGGCTGGACCCCGCTGCACGCTGCCTCCTCCGCCGGCCACGACAAGGTGGTTGCCCTGCTGTTGATGCATGGCGCGGATAAGGATGCCAAGGATGTGTACAAGTGGTTGCCCGTCCATCTTGCGGCAGCCTCTATGCACGATGCAGTTGTCAGGGTCTTGACCAACGGGTTGATGGAGAGTCGGGATGTTAGGGACTACCCGAAGGAGGAGAAGGTTGTCACTGCTCCACCAGCGCCGGAGGTCCGCGAGTCGGAAGGGTTTGTGATCAGCGAGTTGATGTCTGGCATGTAATCTATTGTGCGTAGGTTCCAGTCTTTCGGGGGACCGGGAGGTCTAGGGGGAGGGGCTGTATATTTCGGCATAATAGGTGGCGTATGGAATGGATACATGGTGCATTGCTCCACTGTGTGCATCGACCAAAATTAGCTCTAGCCCTCGGACTCGGCTATGCGTTCCTCATGGGACCGGGGGAGATAATAAAAGAAAAGCGAGTGATCTTTTATGATGGTGCGTATCTGCGATCCGCTTCTTGATAAACCGTCGCGTATATGAGTGCCGGAGGGGTCTCCGTAGTGGTGGCCTCGCTATTGCCCAAGCGCAGCGGGCGCTATCTGGGCACACGATAGTGTCGTCATCACCAGCGTGGAGTCGGGTTACCGCCATCGCGAATCTACTCCCATCACGTATGATAGTACCGGCATCTCAGGGGAACTCGGCATCACCGATCCGGTATGGTAGTGCGAGGTGGTCATTCTGCACTTTTGCGCTACCATCTCGTGGCTGGGTGCTCCGTTCCATCACCCCTAGAGATGCCCGCGAGGTCGTGTGGCATCGTACGACATAATCCTCACGCCAGGCCCCGTGACAAGGCACTCGGCACTGCCCAAGCGCCATGGCGTGTGTTTGTCCCCATACCGGTAGTACCGGATCTCCCCTTCTCTCCCCTTGTCCACCTCATCACACCACCATCACTCGTTCTAACCCGTAGCATGCGGCTCGCGAGAAGTCTGCGGCAATACCAGCGAGATAATGGTGGATCCTCACAAGACCATCGTTCCGCGAAAACCTTCGAGATCTATTCCGGAACCCGCCTCCTGGAGTATTTGTGCATGGGTGGCCTCTTTATCTAGCTATGCGAGTTGGAACTTTTTTGACACGTTATATATCAGAAGGTAGCTTGGGTTCAGCTACCGTACTCGAGTATACCGTAGACTTATAGTGCCGCATGACGTAGTACGACACTTGTGATCTCTCCCCGGGGCCCTTGAATCTTTACGTTAGAGGTACAGTATTTTCCTATTATAGCTCCGCTAAACAGGTTTTGAGTGTGGAGGGAGCCGATGCAACGGTACGGTAATATCTCTTTCAACCTAGCACCCCCCCAAGATACCCCGCATAGATTTGCACAGGCATCGGTAATATACTTGAGCACATCCCACGGTACGATACAGGACCCCAGGGAGCGGAGCAGAGCCCGAACCACAGGTACGCTAGACAGACAGGCAGGCAGGCAGAGCTGAAACCTATGGTCCAGAGAACCTCACCCGAAACCCCGAAACCCATCATTTCCCATCGAGTACATCACCCCACCACGGACCCAATCAGTCGGGACTCGAGTGACACTCTGTGGATACCACCGGCCAAACTCTCGGCCGTTCGAGCCACACGTATGGTACAAGAGGGATAACGGGAGGTTCCTCCCAGCTGCCGATGGCGAAACGAGTCGACGATTCGATTACCATGGAGGGCTGCGGTAAGCGTGGTGGTGCACCGTAGCACAAAGGGGGGATTGAGTCAGGGCGGCTTTTTTGCTTGGTTGCCTTGAGCCCCGAATCATGCGCCCGCTCCAGAGTAGGGTGACCGTACCCTTCCGTACTCGAGTACAGTACCTCACCTGGATTGCGTTGCGTTGTCAGTGCGGGGCAAGTTGACGCGCGGTGGAGGAGCTGGCGAACGGAGGCGGTGGTATTTTTATTGGCTGTGTACGGTAGTACCGGTACCGGTTCTCTACGGTAGAGGTGATGTTGTGCCAGGTTTGTGCCTATCGGTGCCGTATGAGTCAAGTTGAGATTTCGAGCGGCTTTTACGACCGTGGCATGATATGTCATAGGTAGGAGCATTGTACATGTACAGTAAGTACAGTAAGGTAATGTGCAGCACAGCATAGCGTAGAGAGAGAGGGCTTTACCCATGGATACCGTATTGAGTTGTACCGGTACTCGTGTACCGTACACGATTTGTAACTCGTGCCTCCACTTGTGGAGTGAGGTGAGAAAAGGGTGCACCTGGGGGATGTCGGCCACACCAGTGATTGGTGGTGGTGGTGGGCGGCTGGAAACTGTGGTACGGTGCCGTTATTCTACCGCTCGCAACGCCTCCCGTATTGAAAAGCACTGTACGATGCCGGTATTACCGGACCGTGGGCAATCCGGGGGGCCCTTCCTGTGGATATCGGTATCATATCGCACTGTGCTGTACAGTACGAATACGGTACCGTACTCGATCCTTCTACGCCAGCAATGTGCAACCCTCACTTCAACCTCCAAGGGAAAGAACAAATCGTACAGATGGGAGGGATCTTGGAGAATTCCGAATATCTCGTTCGAAATGAATCGGATAGCTGTGAATACTAGTAGGCGGTTCTCCTCTCGAAAAAGCCTCCCGGGACGGATCTGGTGAGGGTGATTGTGGTGGGGAACGATTTCTGGTGTTGCCAGCCAGAGGTGGCAATTGGCAAGCTCCCACCACCACATCTTGGCGGGATGCTCGTTGGGCTTTTTTCCCGGAATGGAGAATTCCCGACGAGTTTTTAAGTCACGCACGGCAGGGGAAGGCTACCCGTACGGTGTCCGTGAAATCGGGTTCAAACGTTGAGGAGAATTCAGGAATTTTGCGGCTTGCATGAGTGATTCCGAAAGTATCGTTATCACCGCACGGGTGACCAGCCGTATGAATGAATACCTGCCAGTATGATACGAGTATTAGAGCGCAGCACAATTTACCGGTAGAGTACTCGAGTACAGTGTACTCGTACTCTGTACGAGTAAATTTAAGGCGGCAGCGGAAGCCCGTCTCGTCGCAGCCAGCCGTTTACCGTACCGTAATCCCCCCAGGCGGCAGGGATCGACACGAGGTGTGAGCGAACCATTGCGGCCCCGTCACTGAAACTTGTGTACTCGTACTCGTAGTGCTCGTACCATTGTCCAGTGCTCCATATTACTCTAACAGTATGAAATATACTGCGGCTTATCCGTTGGTGTGCCTCCTTTCAGTCGCCACGCCGCGCGTCCGCATCGCTTATCCAAAGGCAAGGTCTGCAACGGCTGACGAAGGCTGTTTGTTGCTGGGCTGGTCACTGCCACTTGCTGCCTTTTCTTCTCCTCCTCTCTTTCCCCTTCTCCCTCTCCCTTCTTCCAAACAACCTCGCTCGCCCTTCCAGCCTTCTCCTCCTCCACCCTCCACCCTCCACCCTCCACCCCCCACCCCCCCTTTCCGCCCCGCACTTTATCCATCGTACCTCATCCCCATCCCGCCTCGCCCCTTTCAACCACTCACCTTATCACATACGCACCGTACCAGCCTTGTTGAGCACCTTCTCCCATCCATCGCAGGGCCCCTGTGGAGCTCTCGCCTAACTGCCCGGTACCAAACACTCTTACATCATTCCCCCGGCCCTCCCTCACCCGCCACCAACCATCACCGCTACTATAGGCTGGCATCGTCCAACCCTGCTTGTCATCTTGATCAAGACCTCTCTCGACTCTATCGCACCATCTGTTAGCCTGCACCCTCTGCGCTTCGTTGCCGAGCATTCACGGTCTCGATAGCTTGAGCAAACAATAAAAAAAAAACATTATGCTTCCCCCCTTTGAGATCCGTGGCCTGCGTTGGCCGGCCGAAGATCCTGAGAGTGGTGAACCGAAGGGCTATCTTCGTGATGCGTGGCCAGAGATAAGACTTGAGACTCACGAAGAGTATGACAATCTTATTCGCCAACATCCCGAGACTGTTTTGAGTTATTTGGACGAGGATGATGGCGATGTCATCACCGTGAGCCAAACCCCCCCCCCCCCCTTCCTCCTTTGTTTTACCGCGGCCTTTGGCTTCTTTGTTTGCTGTTTGGGTTGAATGCTGACTCGTGGCTCCTTTTAGGTCGGTTCTGCCGAGGAACTCTACGCTCGCGTCGAGGACGTGTTTCCCACGCACGGCTCGGCTATTTTTGACTTGCTCTTGGATCGGACCCACACGGATTACAAAGCTGCGCTCGATATTTGGCAGAAGCGATACGTGGATGTTAGCCATGCGAAGGCGAAAGCGAAGGGGAAGGCTCTCGCGGGGTTGGGCGAGTCGGAGCCGAGCACGGCGAAGAGCGGTTTGCTGGTCGATATCAGCGACAATAATGATGCCTCTCATTTTAGTCACAGCGAAGCCGGCAGTGATGCCTATACCCCTCAATCACCGCTCTTGACGGCATTTAGCAATGAACTTGAGAGGATCATGCAGGAGGCTGCCGGACCAGGGGAAGGCTCTTCTATGCGCGCGCCGAGCCCTCCTCCTAGTCCGCCCGTTCCATCAATCCAATCCACCAATCGGAACGGGGAGATGCTTGCGCAAAGCCTTCGTGAAATAGTCCGGGACATAGGGCGAGTTGCTCTCGAGTTTCGTAGAGATGTTCCGTCGCAAACCAGGCCAACTATCGGCGCTTTTAATAATGCGTTTTCCGCTGCGCTCGGGGCCTTCACTTCCCAGCTTCAAAGTGTGGCGCTTGATGCGGCTATTGCGGCCAAGAATGCGGCTCAGGTCACGAGGGATATGGATACCTCGGAGATGGAGGCTCATGGTCGTAGGGTGAGGGAGTTGGCAGAGACCATTGGCCATATGGCAGTTCAGGGAGCTGGTGTTGCTAGGGAAGAGGTCGGAAAGGCGCTCGGTAGCGGTTCCGTTGAGGGCTTTGGGGATCTCGTGGAAGCTGATGCACAGTTCTCCGCACAGGCCTCGGAGCAGTCAACAGCAAGCAGCTACAGAGCCACCGTGGAGACTGATGATGAGGAGGAGGAAGGCGATGCTGCTGGGAAGAATAAAAGGAGCGAGCAGAAAGCGAAGGCGAAGTCTGTTTGGGAGCTGTCTGACAACCTCGAGGGAACTGGAATCATTCCCGTGATGGGAGAGGTGCCATCTTCCAACGATTCTGATAGGATTCCTAGCCCCGCCCCCCCGCTTTCCATTTATGGGGAAGCTCCTCTGGATGAGTTGCGCGGTCGGCCGCGCTCCAGTGCCCCTCTTTTGTCTACGTTTGAGTCCCCTGCTGAAGAGCCACCTTCCTACTTCCCCCGTGCTGTATATCCCACGCAACCTGAGGGCGTTGACTTGTTTAATCCTCCGGAGCCCGCCCGCTTTGGATATAATCACCAATACCCGCCTCATCATCCTTCTCCTCATGCATCCCCTTTCCCACCGCGTTTTCCTCCCGATTACTTTGGTCAGGGATTGCGGATGCCATCACCACCACCACCACCACCGCCGCCCCCACCACCACCTCCCCGTATTCCCCACAGCCCAGCTCCTACATCCCCGCCTTCTCCCCCGATCCCACACTATCAGATTCCCCAGCACCCGCGCCAGCGCCACCCGACACGTTGGGGGTCGCCGGAGCGTGGGTGGGGCATGGAGGAGGCAAGACCCCGTCGTTCTGGAATGCCGCCGGGATGGCCTTTCGGAAGAGATGATTCTGATGTCTCGATGAGAGGGTCGCTGAGGAGAGAGGATTCTGACGTTTCCATGAGAGATGCTGGGCCTCACGAGGAAGAGTACACTCCCAGCTCGGAAGGTCCCAGAGATCGGCGTGTGGGACGAGAGGACAGGAATAGAGATCTGAGACCCGCCCCTCGACCGATTCGTCGCTCCAGTACTTTGAGGGATGGCACTAGGAGAGGAGGGCAAGCTAGAGATGGCTGGGCGATCCCCCAACCACCAAGTCGTGCTCCTTCATTTGGGTACCCGAGTAGATCAAATTCGATCGCATCTATGCCCCCTGCTCCGGCCCCCCCAGGCTTCGGCAATTTCCATCTCAAGCCAACTTTCGATCTCCTGTACAATCACGTCTTTCCCGTGATTTGGGCCATAGAGCGTCGGTTTCCAATTTTCGCTCCCAGGATCTAGTTTCCCTAGTGAATCCGTTTTTGACCCCTCCAAGACAGCCCTCCCCGTCCGAGACTGCTCTTCGAGCTTCTGAATCGCCACCTTCCCTAGTGTCTTCTATTCCAGGTGGATGGCCTCGTGCCACCGTTGTGATTCCGCCACCCCCGCCTCCTGTCCCAATGAGCGCCTTTAGTGAATCTCCCGCCGACTCTTCGGTCGCATCGGCAGTTGAGCACGGTGCTGGTCCGATTGCCCCCGCAGAGCCGGCCAGAAGACAACAGACCAGACCCAGGGAGCTTCATGAGCACTCCTCTCCACACACAAATCCTTTCCTTGAGCGCAGGAGAATGCGTGAGAATAGACTTGGCCTGGGCGCTAGAAACTGGGGGGGGCAGTCGCACAACAAAAGGACCATCGTCCCTCCTGTCGCAGACCAGGAAGATAACGGGATTGACAAGTGCGTTGCTACGCTGATTGAGATGGGGTACGGCGATGATGGAGGCGAGAGCGCGGTTGAGAGATTGAAAGTTTACGCACAGATTGTAGAGGGGAATGTGCAAAATGCAGTAGAGATGTTGGAGGAGGAGAGGGAGGCGTGGGAGAGGAGGCAGTAGTGGTTTTTGCTCGTTTGTATTTTTGGAGGGTGGTGGAAGGTGGTAGATTGGTAACTTTTGCTGGTGGATGGTTGGTTGTGAATGAATTGCTCTTGCTAGTCATCTCGCTAGTATTATTTTCTCTTTTTTTTCCCCTCTTTGCTTTTCTCTATATTGTTTGTTCTTGGTTGATTGAATACAGCGTATGTCGCCCTGATTTATGTCACTTTTTATCCTCCTCTCTTCTCCTTTCAACTTGACGGGTCAGATCAGATGCCGTATGATTGTTTTTTTTATCCGCTAGTCACGTTCGTTGGTTAGGAATTCAAGTCGGCCAATTGGTTGTTTTTATTAAATTTATCGCGGAAGTTCTTTTTTTATATATATATCTTATTGTGCTTGTGAAGTCTCTGCATGATATCGATATAAATTGCATTAGTAAACCTGAGATTGCTAACTTGGTACCCGTCGTGGAGAAATGATCTCCCGCGGATTTCTATGTATCTGTCGTACGATGTGTAATCTAGGCTGTTCTGGCTTGATGGGTTATCCCCTTGAACGCGACAGGGTTGACTGGAATAATTATGTGTGAACAGAGGTGGCCCATTTCATTTGTCTCCAGACGGGGGCAGACGGTGCCAGACCTATCAACCAGCCATCCTTCGTGAGGTTTGTTGATACCACTTACAGCCACTACGCTGCTACGCACGCTTTATCCTGCGGTAGTCCTAAGGGGCTCCTGGTCCGCGCCGCCTCTGGGGGCATGATATCACGGGTAGAGGATGGTCTCTGCTTGTGAAGCGATTGCCAGGGAGGTATCGTACTTGGGTTGGTATGGGTATATTCCGGTGGGGTGTCTGCAGCCCAATATCGCTCACGGCAATCTTTTGTGAAAAAGGTTCGGAGTGTTTCGTGATGGATCGCGCACGGTGCTAGCGTCCTAGTTTGCGGTCCGGGGTGAGGGAGGGCAGATGAGCTCTGCAGGATATCACTTGGCGTTTAACGGTTATGCCGTCGTTCGAGGGACCCTACGGTATCTGACTTTTCGAGTTAGTTGGGAGAATGCTGTCATCCTGGGCGGTTGTTCCTACCCCCACTCGAGTGATTTATTATGATAGTGGTTACTCACTCCCGTACGGTGTCTCGCGTTACATGTACACATTCATGTGATCCCTTGCGGGGGGGCGAGGGGGGGGACTACTGAGGGGGTTATGCGACTGGACAGGGGCACTCGTTCCGCTAGGGCAGGTTCTGACGTAGGATTGTGATTACTTTGCTGTGATTCTTGCTCCGTTGAATTGGCGTTCTTTATTTTCCTACTAGCTCTCGTACATACATTGGCTTGTTGGACCGATGGTCTCACGGGGGGGGGGGTGGATTGGGGCAAGGGGTGGCACCGATCAACCCATTGATAGGATTGCTCTATCCGTACTTTAAAGTGTGTTGTGGAACTGGGAATTTGCAGCCGTTATAGCACTTTGGATTCAAGCCCGCGACAGGGAGAGGTCATTTCTGTTGCTACCCTTCCCCACCTTAAAAATTTATACTTCTGGAAATTCTACCCGATTCACCCCCCCCCCCCCCCTCCGTTTATGATTCTAGAATCCGCAAGACATTCACCATGTAGGTGCCTCATAGAGGCCAGGCAGGCTAGATTTCTTCAATCCCAATTCGTGTGGGGTAGGATCTCCCCGATACTCCCCCATGCGATCAACAGTCCACTATTATATCCTGCAATGGGGAATTCACCTCCCGGGTGCCTGGGAATTGCACTGGGACCACTCAATCGATCTGCTACATCTTAGGATATGAGTCCGGAGCGGAATAAGGTTATTATACTCTACTTTTTAACAAAAAAAAAAAGGTCCGATGAGAAAGGCAGACAGACAGACAGACAGACAGCCGTCGGGAGGAATCAATCACGCCACTTGTGCATTAGCAGTGGAGAGCTCGAGTGAGAAACTGTGAGATGGATTCTGGCATACCTGGAGAGCTCCTGAATCGTGCCGGTGGCGTAGAGTGGCGATTACGGTATCGTACGGGTGCACCAGCTCTGGGAAAAGTTTGCAAACCATGGGGGGATAAACCGACTCGTTTTATGGGAGTTTGTCTTGGGGGTTGATATTGATTGGAAACACGGTGAGGTTAGAAGTCGAGTTCTGAAATAGATTACGGGTGATATCTTGTATCATACGGGCATTTACTATATCACACTCTACAAGCTAACAAAGCATGGCCTGGGCCGAATCGAGCCGGCAAGCCCCAATGAATTTTGCGAAGAGATGGGACACTTGAACCTAAAAACGGGGAAACGGGACACAGTTCTGGGGAGTACGAGGCGTGATCGCAATAGGCTGTGTTAAATTCATTTTGCCCAACTGCTATCGGAATGCATTCCGGTATTTCTGAGGGTGTCTGAACGCCCGGGATGGCTTTTCTTTCTTTCTTTCCGAAGATCTGCTTATGATGCAATGATGCTTTCAGAGCGGCAAAAATTTAGCAAAAAATCCCATCCGATGAGCAAGATCTTTATCCGATATCGCCAAAAAGGAAGACACCAGGGACTTCTTTCGGGAGTGAAGATCTTGCCTTTACGATCCTCGTATCTGGTCCTTCCGCTGGCTTTCCAGTTATTATCCATAGAAATAACTCCAAGAGTGTAGGCAACTTCTGCCCGATACTACTCTCGCAAACATCTTAGACGGGGTGGGGGGTGGGGATGGTGAGGTTACTCTCAGAACAGGAGTATCCCCCCAACCAACCAACCAACCAACCAACCAGTCGATCCCGAGACGGGAAACGTGTTTTGTCAAACTACCCTCTCGTTAGCTGATGAGAGGGGTTATGAAGGGATGACGGAACGGGCTCAGGAGGAACAACCACTGCACAATCTCTCTGCCAGACACTCCTTGGAACGCCGTGCAATTGCAATTTTTGGCAACTTTTTGTTCATATGTGTGTCCTACTTTTTCTCACCTTCCATTCCTCTTTATCAGTGCTTCGCTCACCCTAATATTCCGGATTAGATTTTGCGAGTGGCTACCTTCTCCCCCCCCCTCCCCCAGTGTACCGCACATATTATACTCTGCGCGATTACCACATAGGCAGGGCTAAAATGCACTCGCACATCCCGCTCACATGGAGGAATACCTTCAAGGTCGATCTCTATCGCGGATAAAGCACTACCTGTATTTTACCTATTTACCCTCCTGCCCCCCCCTCCTCCTCATCCACCTCATTTCTCCCATTCTCGACAATTCCGATTCCAAAGATACCGAGTGATTATGCGTGACATGAATATCGTGATCCTGGATTGCGAGTGCCTACGCCATGGTGAAATACTCCCGGAAAGGAATAGCCTAGCTGAGCGGGATCCTGGTGTAAGGTCTCGCTAGAGAGTTGTAAGTTCCTTTGCCGTAACAGTTAGTATATCTATGAGAATTCTGCTAGGGGGTGCACACCGGGGAGGACTCTATTCCCCCCTGTGAGAACGTTTTATCGGGGCTCTTCAAGTACAGCACAAGCAGTCCAACAGAATACGAAATAGTTGGATTTTTTAAAAAAAAACTAACTTAGACAAAGATAAAAAACAAGCTACCAGCCATCACCAACATGAGGAACCGACATTCTCTCCGCCCGGCCATGAGTGGTATGGTGAGCCGAGGGTCGGGCCAACACCGGGGACGGGCATAGTATTATATCGTCAGAAATGAGCGATATCATAACCTACACCACCCCCTCGCAATTTGGTACTACCTTCCCCTCCCCTCTTCTCCCTCCCCTCTTGCCCCTCCCCGCCAGGCTCTAATACGCCATCACACATACCCGGGCTAGACCCGGCTTTTGATCCGGGGTCAGCCGGGCTCGTGAGTTTAGGAGGGGTTAATTTTTTCCTGGTCAGTACTAAGATCTCGAGCACGCTTACTAGAGAAGGAAAATTCTTGCGACTGATATTGGTTCTCGAAGATGGGTTAGGGACTAGAGGACTTGTGGAAGTAGGTGTTAGGCCCGGGCAGTATCGTAAGGTGGCAAGATTTGGAGCGAGTTTGGAGCGAGGGGGGGTTTAGGATGTTGGGTTGGGCTGGCGGGTTAATCCCCAGCTGGGGAAGTTCCTTAGGCTTGGGGGGGAAGGGAAAAAAGTGGGACTCGGGGGTTAGGCATGTATGATAGTCATTCTTTTTCTGGGGGATAGAGTGAGTAGTGGCGATTTGAGGTTGGATCTAGCACTCGGTCCCCTTCAAGGTACCGTTCCAACAAGTATGGATGCACACACGGACTATACCAAAAATTCCCGATGAAGCCTCCGCATTGGGAGTACGAGCCTCTCCTCGTGAGGGCCCTTTCTATTTATAGAGTCCGGGTATCCATAGGCCAATACTGCAGCCTTCGCCTTGCTCCCGAATGGCTAACTAGCTCAGGGAAACAAGATATCAAAATCACCTTCCCAAGGGAGCGCTAGGGAACCCCCCAGAGCTGATACTATAATCCCAGAAACAGTTCCTCTTTTCCAAGGGGTACCGTAAGAACTCAAATACAAGAGAAATGTGCTAGGACGTTGGAATTCCCCTTCTCGACAAAGCGTGGGAAAACCACCGCAAACTCAGCCCTCAGCTAAGACAAAACAAAAGGAATATACACGGCGCCATACTAGGAGAGGCAACTGCAACGTCCTAGCACATTTCTCTTGTATTCGAGTTTTTACGGTACCCAGAGCCCCCCAATCGCCCAAAAAAGCTCTCGAAAAAGTGCGATATCATGTGTGGGGTTTGGTCGGACTTAGGGGATGGCCTGCCCAGCCCTGAGCGGCAGCTGCAGAAACGTGGGCGGTTTCGTGCCGGTGTCGGCATCGGTTTAGGACTGCATTCACGATACGGTAGGAGGGTTGCATAGGGTGCCCGAGTAAGCGGCTCTCAGCAAGATGGTCTACCCGGCCCCGACAATAAATGATCAACGGTGGCTTTGGGGCCCCTTATCACGTGCCCATCACGTTTTTAAAGATTTCACTGACAGCAGGGGTGCCCTTGCCCAGGTTGAATAAGCCAGCGCCCCCCCCCCCCAAGGGAGGCCGAGCCAGCACTAAGGCTAACCCTGCGCCCAGTTCTTTCAGTACCTTTCGCACACCGTTGACTCCCGTCTCCCTCGCATCAGAGCTTTAATACGGTACGGGTACGGCACCAACTGTAGGGTTTGGATCAGGGTATCTCCGACCCTATGCTCATCCTCTTCGTCCCTGAGGTCACCTGCTACACGGCGAGGTGTTTGAGTGCCGGTGTCGTGCATATGCCGGGGTCGGGTTCCAACGTTTTGGGCAAGTGAGGCTGCCGACCTGAATTTGCAGGTGATCACAAATTGTATCCGAGTTAGGAGTAAGCAGGGCATTGCATTAGGCTTGACGCTTACGGTACAGGTACCGGTAGGATTGGCTTTTGGGTACGGTACCGGTAGTGGAGGGTACAAGCATTCGTATTTCTACGGGGTGCCGGGAAAGCTGGGAAGAAGCATTGTTCACTCTTCAAGTTGAGCCCGACCGATCCCCTAAGTTTTGGGCCAGCGTAATCCCGCATTTGAGCAGGACTGTTTCAGATTCGCTTTTGGATTAGATAGTACCGGTGATATGAGCATCTGAGCCATCTGATGGTACTATAGGCGATGTTTGGTATGGCCCAAGTCTTTAGAGGGGGGGACGGTGACCATGACATTGTGGTGGGTTCGTTCTCGTACTGTCTGGGTGGCTAGAGACCGATTCGCCAAGTGCCCCTCGCATTCATGCACCGATCCTCTGCTCGTCCTCGCGGCCCTCGGCACTAGTACCGGTAGCCTCGTTAAGCACGTAAAAGGGACCCCACGAAACACAGCTCGAGTACTAGTGCCGGTGCAAAGATGTCGACGAAGCTCACAGCTCCATCTTCCGTCAAGGGGGCGACCACTACCGTACGATACGCCACACCGCACCGCCACCCTCCGGTGCAACCAAGACCCTTCCTTGACGTTCCTTCCAACGCATTGATACCTGTGGCCAAGGCCGTTCTGGCGGTACGTTTCCCGTGGATTTAGTGAGATGATCCATGACTTCATGGGTCGTGCGGGGGAAGGATTTTCCGGGGGGATAAGTTATGGCAGCCGAGATTGCGATAGGGAAGTTTACCGATAGTACGGGTGCCGGTACCGTATCGCTTTTGTCATCGAGTGGGCCAAGTGGGTTGCCAGGACATGCTTCTTCGTGTGCGGGCATCTGGAATGATGGATGGAATCCAGGCAAGAAAGCCTCGAACAGAATACTTGTACAAGTACCTGCGCGAGCACTCGGGCACGGTACTGTGCCGATATTCTACGAGCACTACCACACGAGTACCGATACTGGTATAGTATTATTATAGGATGCCTAAATGTCGGCGCCGGGGTGATGAGAGTTTTTCTTTTCCCCCCCGTCTCACATCCCATCCCACTCTCGCTCCCACGAGTACGAGTACTCGCACAGTACTGGTACAAGTACTCGCACTGGCGCCCGTGGCTTGTACTGTACGAGTAATGTACCGTACTGAGCGGACCCAGCCCCTTGCGCATAATGCTGAAAGGAAGTTGGGAATAGGAGAATAGTTTTTCCTTCAGAACTGTGTTGTCCTCATGCACCAAGGGGGTCCCTCGGTAAGCTCCGCTGGGGAGGGGCACCTGTTGGAAGCGCCCTGTTTGAAGCTGAAGCTGGGTTGGCCTTATCTGGTGGTCTGGTTGGACGGCTATTTGTATTTTGTGTGGTGTAAATTTTTTGTGCCGGTAAATTAATTGCACTTGACACGGGTAGACTGCCGTACGATGCTGTTCCGGGTGGTGGACTATCACTCCGTTCCTCCTTTTGAACGAGAGGACGTCGTGAGCGTTGCCCAAGCGCGGATTCTCGCCAGGCTTTGATTTCCCCGGGCTCGTGGTAAATCATGTACCGGTAGAGAAATGGTGAATTGTATCATACTGCATTGTATCGTCTCGTAGAGTACTGTACTAGTACTGGTACCACGCACCCTTGGCCCGTCCCTTTCTTCTCCCCCCTTTCTCTCCCTCCGTTCGAGAGAGGGGGGATCCCGCACCGTGGTCATGCTCTTGCCCATCTGGCCTTCCTTCTTCCTCCGTGTTTGGCGGACCGGGTGTGGTACGCCCCTATTTCACAGTGTTTCCACTTCTCTTCCACCCTTTTGGTCATTCCCTTAAACTTGTTCCATTCCACCCTATTCTGTTCTGCATCGCCTCGGCCGAGCACGCTACGCCCGACTTTCATTGTTTCGAAATTGGTTTTGTCAACGAGGCGCAGGGGGAGAGTCCGTCTACGATACGGTACTCGAGTACCGGTGCCCCTCTTGATTCTGAAACTCACTAGGACTTTAGCCAATTCCTCCATTCCGCTGGATTCGGGCTGGACGTCTAATTTGATACTGTGCAATACGCTTTTGCTATTCTGGTGGTGGTGGTGCTCCACATGATACCGTGAGAGAGGAAGCGAGACGAGGGCACTATTCCCCATTCGCACGGAAGCAGCTGCGAAAAGAGTAATTCTTGTCATACCCGCTTCCGCTGCGCGCACCCGCCGGATACCGGTACAAGTACCGGTATACTGTGCCAGCTTTTTACCCGTGCTTCTCCCTTTCCCTGTCCGCTGCTTGAACCGCAACCCCCTCCTTCGACAAACGTCGTGAACCTTTACCTCTACCTCTTTCCTCATCCTAACCGCCATCCCATGAGAGGGAGGGAGACCACGCATAATGTCATTATCTATGGGTTTGTTTTCACGCCGAAAAAACTCTGAGGACAGGACCTTGAGAGCGGCGTTATCGTCACACCATGCGAGCTCCTCGCCTTCCCCGAATATCGCTACCACCTCCCCCTCCGCGCGCGGTGGATGCTCACCTCTTCCGCTGCCCCCGCACTCTGCTCCACCGACCCATTCGAAAAAGTCAAGGCTCCTCACCAAGGCCCATCCGATAAGGGTACCCGGGTACACGGCCGGTACTGGGGGGATTGTCTCCGCGCCGCATCTCACAAGAGCAAGAACTACAAACTTCAACTCACTTACCTCGGCCCCGCAGCAGCACCACCACCACCAGAGGCAGCCCTCCATACCGGGCTTAACAAGAGCCAATAGCGACGCTAGTGGGTCATGGCGGGCACGGCCGTTGGATCAGCGGGCGCCGCAACCGGGTTCTCGTATGGAAGGGTTTCCGAATATCGATCTTTTGAGCTTTCCATGCCCACCCTCGCCGTATTTACCCCAGAGCATTCCGTTGCCGAATTCGCCCGAGGCGCTTCGGAATCGCTGCGGCTCCGGTTCTGGCCCTGGTTCTTCGACCCCTGGGCTTCCCCTATCGGCTATAGGGATGGATTGCGGGAGCCATTCGAGTCATGGGTTTTATGGTTCTCCTGTGAGCGGATATCCGATTAGCCCTCCCTTATCACCTGAGAGTCCGCTGGGGACACCGCCGGGCGGGTTTGATGAGAATGTACACAAGTCGGAGGGGGAGCTGGTCATGGAGATTGCTGGGTTGAAGAAGGTATGACTTGGTTATGCACTTTATGCAGAACGAAAACGTGGCGTTATTAATGCATTATTAACGCATCGTGATATAGGCGATTAGCACGAGAGACCATGTGATTGCCCGCTACGCTGCCAATTTCAATATCGGTGAGATTAACGATGCTGTCTCCGGGACGGAGAAGTCTGAGGTTTATATCCTTCCTCGAAAAACTGGTCTGGTTGCACTTTTTCTAATCATCGTAGGGTCAATGTGTGAATCAAATATTGGCCCACCGAATTCACGACCTGGAGATGGCAAATTTGGAGAAGGATAATGAGATTACCCAGGCGGCGCGAAAGATGAATGGTCTACGAGAAGCGCAGAACGCGGAGTTGGGCTCTCTGCGAGAAGCCCACGCTCGTGAGGTGCAGACTCTGCGGAGCGCCCTCGAGCGGTTGGAAACCCCTGGCGGGGTTGGGCTAGGAGACTTGGAAGATTTGGACCGCTATCAGCGCCGGGAATCTGAACTAGTGGATGTTGTGAATGGAAAAGAGAAGGAGCTTGAGCTGCTTCGGTCCAATGCTAATACTCTCAGGGAGCGAGTTTCCGTTTTGGAGAAATCTGCCACCGAGAGGGATCATGAACTTGAGAGTGCGCGGCGGCAGATCTATGCCATGGGCGAGGATCGGATCTTAATCGGCGGAAAGCCGGCATTAGTGGCTATTTCGGAGATGGGGCTCGCAGATACTAGCAGGAGATTAATGGATGAGATAAGGAGGAGGGAAAAAGCTGAGAGGAAACTGGCCGAGTCGACAATGAAGTCTCGACCGGATCACGGTGCCCTTCTGCTAGGGGAGCGGAGGAGGAGGGAAGAGATCCATACAAATACTTGGAGGGAAATGGAGCATAAACTGGCACAGGAGGAGCTCAAGAGTCATGAAGCTCGAAGGAAAGCAAAGGAAAGCATCGATTACGTGCTTGCCGGAGAGGAGAAGCGACGAGCGGAACTTAGCCGGCAGTTCAACGAAAAGCTTGAGGCGCTAAGGCAAGAGAAGGAAGTATATGAGAACCGGGTAACGAGGATGGAGATAGAGCTTGAACAGGCCAAACAATCCATCACAACGCAGCGAGAGGGGAATGAATCACTCATCGAAATGACCACGAAAATCAATATCCGGCTAGGCGAGGAAAAGAAGAAGAACAGTCAATTGGAGGCCAAGATTGGCCAGGTTACGGAAGACGCACTGAATAGTGTTTCTGGATCGAAGCGCACATGTCAGGATTTGAGGAATGCAGTCGAGGATCGTGGGATCCGTATAGCATTCTTGGAATCCGAGGTTGTAGCTTTGAAACGGGAGAAGTCGGCAATCGAAGAAGCATGGCACTTGTTGGAGTCTGAGCTGGAGGGTCACTTGGCCACATTAGCGGAACGTGATGAGCGTATTAAGGACCTCGAAACCGAGAACGGCAATATTCGCGATCGCCTGGACGAGTGCCAGCACGATCTGGAAGAAGCGCGCAAGGACTCACCCGACCGGCCAGTCCTCGGCGATTCAGATAGTGAGACCAAGCGAGAACTCGACAACATACAACAAGATCTGGAGCTCTATAAGCAGGACGTCAAAGCTTACAGACGCGACGTTAAAAAGCGCGACGCCCAGATCCGCGACCTAAACCGCACAGTGGCAGACCTCGAAAGTCTCCTCGACCGCAAGCCCCCGCCCCTATCCCCGTTTCCGTTACCTCCCTCAGCGACCCTAGCCCCAACATCCCGCTCCTCAACCCCAACGACCGCGGGCCTGGTGGAAGAAATCGCCACACTAAAGGACAAACTTCGCGTCTACGACCAGGAGTACCGAAATACGTACGAAGACCGCGAATCCTTGCGCAAAAAGCACGCTGCCGTGACGGCCCAGCAAAACATGATAATCACGGATCTCGGCTCCACAATCCTGAAGCTGCGAAAGGAAAAGGAAGCTACGGAGAAGGTGATGAAAAGAATGCAAGCCAACTTCTTACAGCTATCGCAAAGCGCTACAGTCGGCACCTTGGCTGTCATCAAGAAATACCAGGAAGTCCCGCTGCCACCGCTACCGGATGGCGCTCCATTATCCCCCGGATCTCCGACCTCACCTAGTTTACCGGTCCGACGCGGCTCGCGAAGGAAGGATAAGAGGCGGAGTGCTAGCATGGGAAGTCCGGTTGTTGGAAGCGTGGACGGGGGCGAGGAGAAGGAGAAGGAGAAGGAGAAGGAGAAGGAGAAGGAGAAGGAGCGTAGGGATAAGGCTTTGAGTGTGGTTAATGAGCCGGACGGGGCACTGGGGGAGGAGGAGGTTATTGAGTGGTAATTTCTTTCTTACAGGCGTATTGTTGCATTATCTCTTTGTTTCTGCTAGTCTGGGGTTATACGGTATGCATAGTGTCGATATCCGGGGTGTAGTAGTATATAGTTCCCATCTTATTGTCATAGCGGAGTTTTTTCTTCTTTTTTTTCTTCTTTCGATTTTTCGGCTGCATGTTCCCGGGGCGTAGTGTCATAGGTTAGCGGTATGGGAGATGCACATGCTGCGGTGGGCTTTGATCATTTCTCCTGCTCTCATGGCCGCCTTGCATTATTCGTCATAGAGTATCACTCGATTGTCTTTCTCGCAAAATGGAACTAGCTTAGGAGGGAGATTCGCTGCACCTGATGAAAGCAAGTAGCCGGCCAAGTACCTGAATAATTCATGGCATCGGAATCCCAATCACATTCCATCATGCAGATCAAGCTGGGAGTGGACCCCACCCCCTTCGCGTCCTCCTGCCCCCTCCCACCGCCGCCCAGACTGTCGGGCGTTTCAGCATGGCACTGCACTGTGCGTTATGGTGCGCTAGCGGTCCCGTAGCTTCTCGGCGCACCTACGGTGCAGTATCACCATTACTCTAGTACAGTATTGTCGTGCGGCAGAGACGCGGTGGAGAGAAGATTTGTTGGGGGGGTTTTTTTTTTTCACCGGGGATTTTCACTTTTTTTTTTCTCTCTTTTGCGTTATGTGTGTGTGGGTATCGTAAGTAAGTTGGCCGGCCGTGGTGTTGAGGCGGAAGTGTAGTCCAGTGTAGTTCCGATTAGTTAGTGCAGTGTTCTGACAGAAGCGGTTCACTGGTGCTGTACTGTACTGTAGATTCTGAGTTGAATGGTAAGAGGGTATCACACAATATTCGAATTGGATTCCACTACTGGTAAAGTTCGTAGGATTCTTCCTAATGCCTTCTCTCTCTTTCTTTCTTTCCTTTGGCTTCCTTATCGGGTTTACGAACGATCTCGGGGGGACAAGTACCATAACATCCCAGTTGTTGAAATGCATGGCCGGACGGGACAGTCTTATCCGCGCGCTAGGGTACGGTAATCACACATTGCACAGCACCATATATCACACCCCCGTCAAGTACAAAAATGCGGAGCCCGAATGATCCGCCCATCGGTACATCCGGCAGCAACTCACCCACTCGTCCCTGCTCGGGATGAAGCAGGAGAAACCGAAGTTCCCTCCAGGATTGATAATTCACTCGCACGGGTAGGTGTATTCGCCAAAGACGGGGTCTATGGAACATGCCGGGGCTTAGAGCGCATCTGTAAATCCGTCTGTCACGAAAGAAAAGAAAGAAAGAAAGAAAGAAAAGGAGTACTAAGCATATAGGTGCGAAGCTAACTTTTGGGTATCGCACCGTCGTTCGGATGTGACTTGGATGACTGCCCGGGCAGGTGGTAATATTTGCAGAAGTGGAAGTAGCATGGCCTAGACCACTGCTGCCAGAATTCCCGAAGCAAGTCTCTCGAAGGATGGTGGTTCTGGTCGCGTTACCATATCTTGAACACTCCTTATCGTGTTGACGGGAGGTTTTGGTAATGAAGGGCATAAAGGGATTCACATCCGCTGTATTCGGAGACTGCCTTATCCAGTCGAGGTGTGTGTGTGTGTGAAGGATGTGCAGACTGCTTTATTCTCCGGGGACGTAGAAGGTGGTGATAGGAAAAAAATCAAAAAAATCATCTGGATACCGGTGTATTAAGTGTTGGATTTACGGCGTTGAAGGATAAGCGGCTGACCCGCAGTGCTTGGCTAATCCAGGACGATATCTGTATTGTGGTATTTCTATTGCTTTGGTCGATCGACTTGCTACTGTAGAGCTTAACTTAGCCCGTTCATGAGCTCACCTAGCAAGCTAACTTACACGTGTGAAAGCCGCTCCTGGTTACCATATTAGGAACATGTGATGGGGTGGATTGATCGTTTTGTCTTAGGATATCGATGGCTGGTAAGCAGTTTAGTGTGAGCAGCCTCTTGATTCGACCGAGGACGTTCCTATCCACCCATTCATATCATAGCTAACGTATACTCGTAATACGGGAAACTCCCCATCATGCGTAGCACTTGAGCGGTCCAGCAAGTATCCCACGCCCCCACTATCCCCTTCCAACATTTCCTATCGTGCCGTGATTTATATTACAAGGTCCTCGTTGCCCCAATATCACAAATTCTCACTCGTGTAGAAACCCCCTAACCCCCTAACCCCCTAACCCCCTCCGCCAACCTCCAACATGCTCGTGCAATTGTGCGGCAGAGAGCATATGATGCTAACCCAATGCTTCCGGTATCGATCGAGCGCGCGTCTAGTTGCTCCGCGAGTGGGCGACTCGGAGATGGTAGTGGTGAGACTTTGGGTTCGGGGATGCGCTAATTCTCCACCGGTGGACGGTTGGGTTGGGTTGGGTTGTGGGGTCTGTGGTTTCTCGATAAGTATGGTGCAGCTTGTGGCGCTGCTGTGGTAAGCGGGGTGTGGGTGGTGTGTGTAAAAATATTTCCCGGGGAATCAACGAGTCCTGGATATTTCTCTGGAGGCAGCGTGGCTTGAACAAAGGTTAATAAAAATGAGAAAAAGCACGAGTTGGAATAGCGGGCTTCATCTGTCTAGTTATTTTACTACGATATTGTGGGATTGCGTTATGTAACGATAACCTCGCCTCTCTTGGCACTCCGTCGAAGATCCTATAAACAGAAGCATTTCATTGTTCCTCCCAACTCGGCCCGCCCTACACTCGCACTAAACAGAGGAAATGGTTAGGGGATAAATCAGTGACCACCCAGGGCCGACCTCTCCAACGCCCAGCTCTCCCAACGCTTCCAGAATACCGCCATGTTCGCTGCTACAAGTAGATCCATCATGTAAAGACCGTCGCTGTGGCAGACCAGCATTCCCAGTTTCGATTTACTGCTGGTGATCACCTCGGGCGCCTCCCTCCCCGGAGCGGCGGAGAGGGCGGTGGTGGACGGGAGTTTGAATTCTAGCACACTGAGCAGGGAAGATTTGGAGGGGTGCGTTGGAGGGTAGTATTTGCACTGCTCACTGTCAATTCTCTTCCAGATGGGGGGCTGGCAATGGGGGGATATCACACCTTCAAGAACTTGCCCCCCCCCTCATCCTTGAACCCACATCTCCCCCGCTCTTCCCCCTTTCCCGGACTCCACAGCGCATCAAATACATACCCTCTCTTCTTCATTTTCTCACTCGTGGGCGCCGCAGCCGTACTTGCCTTTTCGCGGGAGTCAGAACTAGTGCTTGTGCTCCTCCCCCTCTTGTGCCCAATGTTCTTAACCCGTGACCAGAACCCCGTCCCTTCGATCCACATTTCCCGCCTAAAATTGACAGAAACGCGCTCGCCCCAGTCCATAGCCGGCTCCACGAACCGCTGATACCCCGCCGTCATAATATCTACCAGGATCCTCTGTGCATCCTCCTCTGTGCTGCCGGGGGAGGAAATCCTTGCTACGTTCCACTGAGCACCTGACGCCAGATCACGACGTACGATCGTCATTGTTGGGATCGGACGTGCCGGGGAGCGGGAGGAATGTCTGGACCCCGTTATGGATTGTGAAGACCACCTGCGGTGAGAGGGCGGGCGGGGCAGCGGTGGTGAAAGGGTCGAGGGGGAAATATGGCTTGTGTTAACGACCGGTTCAACGTGGATGTAGTACAGGCTGGCGTTTATATCTTCTGCTGTGACGGTAGACTGTAATGGATGGAGAGTTGTCAAGAAGAGGTCTTGGCTGCTGGGTACTCGGACTATGTATAGAATCAAGGAGGACAATATCGGGGCGTTGGGGTTTACGTATTGAGGTGGGTTGTCTGCTAGGTTCAGAATGGGAGTTAACGAGTCCGCCCGGATCGCCGCCATGGTTGGTGGGCCTTGCGGCTTGGGGCCCTCTATGTGGTGCTGATAACTGAATTGGATAGGAAGCGAAGAAAGAGGGAGAAGCAGAGGGAGAAGAAGAGGGTAAGAAGAGGGTAAGAAGAAGTAGAAGAAGGATGCTATGGGTATTTGAATTATATCTCCGATAACGTACGGTAGGTTCTGTTATGCGGCTGAAACGGAGTCTTCGTCACGCGGATGTGGCGCAGCCTCGGTTTGGGTGCTCCACCGTATCCGTGGCGGGGAGGAGAGGGTGTGGAATTAATATCTCCGGTTCTTGGGTTCTGGGATCCAGGGGATCAGAATGGATGGCGTTGAAGTGGGAGGGGAGCCGCCTTGAATTGGGCATTCACTATTGACAGTATGCGCTTTGCTTCTGTAACGCGAGCTGCACTTTTGTTGTAGGGTTAGGGTTATTACTTGGATTGCTGCATCGTTGGCTGCTGTGACCCTACTGTACGAGTACTCTACTCGAGGAGACTTGGCGCCAGTATTTGAAGCCCATATAATTACCCCCGCCAGGGCTACTGGCCACCCTTCTTCAACTCTTCAACCTTTCCTATGTTTTCCAGAATCTCACAGTAGATTACCGACACAGAGCTCTGATGTGATGCCGCGTTGTGGGTGGCTGCCAGGTCTGTACTGGAGCGTTACCGGCAGACGCACCGGGTTCACACTTGGTGACTACCGTCCAGTACGGTACGGACATATAGCATTTACTTTTTCATTCTCCTGCTGACCCGGTCGAACACAACATATACCCGTGAATATGAGTAAACGCTCCGGAGCTACACTCGGACCTACTGTACAATGGGGGGTCCCTCACGTTCAAATGCGACTTTCACAACACTGGCAATCACCTCCCGATACCTTGTGACTTGCACAATCTTGGGGATTGGCCAATTGGAGTCCTTTATTCTAGCTCATGAGTCCTTTATTTCTTGATTACTCTCACGATGGTTTCAAGTCTTCATTTCAAGGGCATTTTCGTTTGTCTTTGCCTTTGTTTTCCGGATGTTGTTTCATCTCCTTTTATCTCTTCTTCCATTCCATGATCTGCCTTCCCCCTTCAGCCCCTGTTTCATACTCATTTCACTATGGCTAAGTGAGATTCCAGTCTCTCCAGTACACCCACTGCTTGGGCGTTGCAAGCTTCTTCAAACTCCTGATATTCATCTTTGCTGAGGCGTACCATGTAAGATATCATGCCTCGGTCCTGTTGAGCTGCCTTCATGCTAGGGAGAAGAAATAATCGAGGGTAGAGAGGGCCTATCATTCCTTCCCAACACCAGCTCTCACGCTGCCTCTCCGTTCAGTTTACTTCTATGCTGTAAACACCTTGTGCTAGTGAGGAGGAAGTGTTCTCAGCGCCTCTGGCTGAGGCTGTGGCTGTTTTATCGCTAGCTGAGGTCATTTTCAAGTTATCATGTTACTGTAGCATTATTTTTTTCCCCCCCACGACATTGCCCTACCTCCGGTCCCATCACCTTCGGCCCTCGTCTCCATCATCGTTGAGCCTCCTGTTGAGGACCATAATAAGTTGCTGCCTGCCTGTGGCCCTTTTTTAAGGTTCTATTCGGTCCTGAGGTCCTCGACTGTAGACAGTGCGACCGTAACCCCCTTTCCAGTCCTGCCATGTCACTGACTGGGTCTACACCCACTGTGCCGAAGAGGAATGGAACTTGAAAGAGAGCCAACAAGTATCGAACGACAAGGGACATGACTGACACGGTGGCCCCAATCGGTGAAAACCCGCTATGGAGGATTTTGCTCCTCCTATTATTGTCCTTGCGTTACATATGTGTCTGCTTTCCCTGCCGGCTGATAGACGGGAACTCTGCCACTCTGCCACCGGGTAAGAAGCAGTGTTCGCAAGTTGCTAGCCCGGCTAGGCTTTGGGACCGACAGGGCTGCAGTTATGTGAAGGTTTCCGAGTGATCGAATGTGATTGCCCTGATTTCGGGAGTTATCAGGGCATGTACAGTGCATGCATTGGCATGGATCAGACAGGACTCTAGTGTATGCCTCAGCAGTCGCTGCGCGTACGTGACTATAGTGGGTGATATGTCATCTTCGCGATATCTTCTTATGGGTTCAAGTATTGATTCGACCCAGCCGCACCGAACCAGCCTGTAACTAAATTTGGCTAATACCCCAGCACCGTATGCAAGTTAGAGTTGAAAGACCCCCGAGCGCAGATCTGAGCATATGCCCGGAATCTAAACTCCTATTCTCGCATAAATAGTTGTGTTGAGCCGGATCATCAGGATAATCAAAAAAAGAAATAATTCGGGCCGGGGAATTATTAGGATGAAGCGTGTTCGGAGAATTCGAGGGTTCGTGATAATGCTAAGTGGTAGAGAAAAACGGCATGATAATCTAATGATAATAATTGATAACGTGCAGGCACTTCAACTGGTGCGGGGAGTGCATCGGGTGATAAGGAATTGACCAGCATCCGCGATACCCGATGCTTCAAACTTTGTTGAAATGTATTCTGGTTCTATTTGTGTGTCCCAGGCCTGCGCTAGCTGGAGATGGAAGATATCCTTAGATATTGCATCCTGATGGCGGATATTTGCGAATATCTGCGGATGTCTGTTGGTATTTGAAGATATCTGCGAGCATCTTCTGATACCTGACTTGCTACCCACTGGAGGAAAATATCTACTAACCACACGGCACCTGCTGAAAGCCTGAAGAGTTTAGGAATGGGAATGCAGCGCCTGCGAAGCCTAGGCTAGTCTTACTTTGGCCTGGCTTGGTCGGACCGTACATCTGCAGCCTATCTGGGGGTGTACCTGGCCACTTGTGAACACTGGTAAGAAGGTTTCTGGCTCAGCCATGCCGGGCATGCCTGCACATTGTGGTGGTGCGAGGGTTGGAGTGGTGACCTAGATATGCGCTGGGGTCGGGGTGAGATTGGGGGGGGGGGTTGTCAGCGATCCTGTGTCTTGGTCTGCTGGCATGAGTAGGTTGTGTGCTACTGTACTGTATTAACTTGAATAAGAGCAGCACGTCTCAGGACATCTGACTTTCCGGTTTTGGCAGGGACGGGAGAAAATACCAGCAAAATAAAACCACCCCTTACCTAGAGGAGAAATCTAGACATCCCTTATCCAAGTTAGTAGGGTATCCAAGCCTACCTTATGACAACATCTCAGCTGGGCTGGACAGCGGCGTCCCTCCAACACAATGTTATATTAGATTATTCAGGTTTTCCACTGTGGAGCAGGGTTGCAGGACGGGTTTGCCCGTGGCGGTGCTTTTTTATATTTATCTGTGGGTTCTGGGGGGATTAGCGAGGCATGTGCGGATTTCGAGATACAAGGATGAATAGAGGTTTTTGAATTTCGTAACAAATTATTTTGAATGTAGTGTATCACCCATTTTAGCTATGCACGCGTGGAGACTATTGACGCGTACACTAGCGTTCTATGTAATCCATATCAATGTGTGCTCTCGGGTATAAACGTATAAAGGTGTTGCCGAAAACGCACCCTACTTTTTTCCCCCCACCATCCCAGCCGAGCTCAGTCTTCATATAATCAGAGTGCCAGTTCTCGGTTCTCTACTCGGAAGCACACCCGGCTTTTGCCTACCCCCCCAATAAGGCTCGTGCCCTGAAGATCCCAGGAATTGCTGCAATCACGTGAGATCACTCGAAAGCTTGCAGATGTCTGTGATGTCTGGAATGTACTACGCATACTAAGTGACTGATAGATTTCATTCCTGGGTCAGGAATGAACTTGAAGCCATGGGCTTGCATTCTCTGGTCGGGAATAAGCGGCTTGTGAATGAAGGCTGGTATGGAATGATGGCTGCGCTGAACTTGGATGTTTGTGTATATATAGTCTCTGTTTTGTTGTTATTATTTGATCACTGAACATAGGATCGAATACGACTCTATTTAAGGTCAACTTCAGTTTTCAGTCTGCGGCCCTGCCAGGTCGGGCCGGATGGACCCCAGGAACCAGGATAGGGACCGCAGTCTGGCTGGGCCAGCTTCCGAAGGAGCGCAGGCCAGCTGGGTCAGGCCAAAAACCTGACTAGACCGGTCACTTACAAACACTATATACTCTAGAGTTAAATTAGTGATAATCCATCCAATACTTGTTACCACCCCAAGTGAGATTCGGAATCGAGGCCGGGGGGTTTCATGTCGCTGAGAACATGGAAAAGATGTTTGTCACAGATAGAGATTAAAATTTAACCTGAGATATTGTTACATAAAGAAGATTTGGGGGTAAAAATAGGGAAGCACCTGCTCACAAAAACTAAGCGGAAAAATAAGCTGCCTTGTAACCAGGGCCCGAGAGGCTATCTGGATTGTAGGTGAGTGAGGAACAAGCTCTGCTCCGAGTAGGGTTTGTACATAACCTTTTGAGCTCAGACATTTGCACCCGAGCAATACCGCTAAGCCCAAGCGGAAAAACCAAAAGTCCGAAAGTGTAACTCTTTGTAGACGCTTCAGAGGAATAGAAGCTTCACAGCATAAGCCAGGAGCCCTTGCCATTCCGGATTCGCCGTTCTTCTCTCCCATTCCCCCTGATACGGCACCGTTGAGTTTCTTAGGTTTAACTCTGGTCTATGACTGGTGACAACATCGCTCGAATACCAGTTTTCTGGCTGCCCGAGTTGGGCTCACCTTCAGCGAGTTCCTATATTTGTAACACGGTAACCTTGTAAGCTTATCAGATATACTATGTTGAAACACCAGTCGTCCATGTTCAACCCGGTTACGGGTCCATCCAACCGAATGGTCCCCAACGATTTGAGTCGGACCACTCGTGATACAGAGTGATGAGAGTCTAGCGCAACGGCAGTCACCAAGCCCTGCCCTCAGGCATGGGGCGAGCACGGGCCGCAGGGCATCCCGCTTGCCGAGACGAGTTTGGCGAGGGAGCCAGCATAGCGCCGGGAGTCGTGACAAGGAAGCGAATACTTTACAGTCGGACCTCGCTATAATAAATCTCTCTATAGGGAAAACCCGGCTATTACGAACGAATCCTCTACGGGTCTACTCCCCGAGAAAGTGGGTGCAGTAGCCGTACACCGATGGCTTCAGGCGATTTGAGAGGAGGGGCGGATCCAGGGACAGAGGGAGACACGAAGAGCGCTAACCTTACCATATATATTCCCGCCCGCTGTGGCGGACCAATTATGATGCCCTACCAAATCATTAAATGCACATGGGAATATTCCACAATCACGGGAAGTCACTCGTTTGCCAGCCCAGCCCACCTGTTGTACTGTACAAGTACAGGTAGGGATGAGACCTGCGGAGTGCAGAATTGAGGACTTGTTGGAAATAGCAGTAGATGGCCGCACCTGATGCGGGATGTGCTCATACATGAAGGCGTCAGTAGCATATGTCTATACCCCTGTAAGACGCGTATGCCATGCAAACTTTCTCATCCCTGTCTTTTTCTTCCCTTCTATCTTCTCTTGCGAGAGAATATCTTCCTGTACTTTACCTCTCACCTCAAGTTCTTGATCTCAGTCATCTTTAAGCAATCAATCACAGTCTTTCTCTTTACCTGAGAGAAACCTCCCATCTCCACTTGCGTGATTCTACTCCGCTGCGTAAACCCTCACTACCGATCATTACCTCCATATCAATCATTTTCTCAACAGGACTTGAAGAAAATAAAGATTTGGGAGTATATAGTAGATGCAGAAACAGCTGTTATTCAATCGGAAAAATCCCAGTCTCTAGTGCCTAAGACTTAGGTGCTTATACCCACAGGAAGTATTATATCTACCTGCCGTAACACAACTCCCAACATTCCATTTCCAACGTCCTTTTGTCATATTGAAGCAAATCACCCCAACACCCACCCGTTATGGTCCCAGCGGTGGAAGAAGAAAGCTTTCCCCGGACCTTACAGGACGTGGACGGGTCCTGCGATACTCAGCACCAGAATAATAGAAATTACCTCTATATATAATACCACACTCAGTATGATACTTTGTAAATTACGCTCTCGCATCCTTACTCTCACATAGCCGGTCCCTTCCCGGACGAGAAACGCCAAGAGTAGGTGTTCAGGAACACGCGTGAGGTGCGCTTCAGCCTCCATCGCGGGTACTTGTACTACCGTGTGTTCTCTTCTGTCTTGGGGCTCGTAGGGCACCGTACCCGTCTTTGGGGTGGTATGATACAAGTCCTGCGCGGTGGGCTGTCCACCCCCCACATCATCGGACAAAAAGCTCTTCACTCATAGCAGTCGCTGGCAGGCCCGTATCTCACAAGAGAGGGGGTGCTACACAGGAACAATTCCCCCTTACAAATTGGTTGTTAACCCCCATGATGCGACTGAAGAGGAAAGAAATAGGGAGTAAAAGAAAAAACGTTACTAGCAGCACCGTGAAGATAGGCTCACTACTGAGGCCAACTTAAGTCCAGTCTTCATTTCTCAAAGTTTTCACAAGATTACGCTTCGCCTGTGTCCTTGAACTTTATATCATAGTATATACCGGAGTGAAGGGTCCACGTCTGTCCAAAGGGGGAAAAAAATAAAAATAATACCAATTATCTTATCCGATAATCAAGATCCAAACGCAATTGTAGTAAATAAAAAAAGGGGGGAAGAGAGAAAACATCCAAGTGGTCATTTCTCGCTGGGTAACTACCTTGCCGGCGGCCCCGGGGCATGATAACGTAAATTTATTATCACTAGGTTCCAGCCAGAATTGCCGCGTGCCATACTTTGCGCAGCACTGTGCTGTACTGTACGAGTACAGTACTGTAGGAGCCTGATGACAAAGGAAACCAACACAGCGCACAATCCAACACACGGCGATTCCACATCGCAAAACCATGCGCGAAGAGACAAGTAACCAAAGGCCACGTTACAAAAATCCGTTCCAAATTTTTTTTTTTTCCAAGCGCTACTTCAGGCTTCTGAAGGACGAGCCGAAAAGCACAGCCAAAACGGGGTACAGTACTAGTACAAGTACAGTACGAGCCTGATACAAGTGTCGGATTTCCCACACTGCAGTGACGCCGGTTAAGATAACCATCCACAGCATTTTACCGCCAGCTTCAGCGGTGGAATATAGTATAAAACATCGGCTCCTCTGTTGAACCCCCCCCCCCCCACCCCTTCCCACCTGATCACTGTTTGAAGGGGAGGGTGATATTTCGCGTACCGGTAGTTGGAAGAATACGGTAGGGAGGTACCGTATCAAATCGTAGATAGAATACGGTAGCTTGCCGTTCTCACGCCATCGGTTCTGAGCGATACTGTACTGTGCTGGTCACCTGAGGCACTGAGAATATCGGTGCGGAAAGCAACGTTAGGTATTAGGGCAAGTGCAGGAGGGAGAGAGAGCCTGAGGTGTTCAAAGTGTCATATCAACAAGGGAGATGGTCCAAGGTATCATACTCGTACAGTACCGGTACGGTACTCGCTGTATCAGACCTTGATGGATAATTGGTCATTTAGGTTGTAGGGGGTTTCATGCGTCATGGCTTGCCTCTGTTAAGCTTCATACCCTGTCACTTCATGTCTCGCCCCGGTTGCCCTCGGGATTTGGCATCTCTCCGTCAGGGGAAAACTGGGCCTAAAATTTCCCAGGCACTCCAGTGCACACATGCCTCTTTTTTTTATATTTATTTTTTTAGCCCTTCAATGCTTGCTAAGGTCTACGACCGGCAAAACGGCTGTGGTGTCTGTCACCTCCACACTTCATCCTTCGCCGGGGCTGCCGAATGCCTGTATCTCAGAGAGGGAGAGAAAGTGGACAGGGGTGAGGGCGGATAAGTATTGCCCGCGAGAGTATAACAACTGCATCGTTTGTCATTAGGTCATGATCCCTCCGTTATGCGTTATCTTGCTTTTGTTTATATCTCCTCCAACCGTTTTTAGAGTGTGGGGTGGGTATGACACCCGGGTGTGATGCATTACTCGTAGATAGCACTTCTTGGGGTTTGCGGTACCGGTAGACTACCGTACTGTGCTATGATATCATTGCCCAAAGTGAGGGCTAGGGTCAGCCGTCTGAGTGAGCGCCCATGACCCTCATCTCTACTGCATCCCGAACCTACAGAGCCGATGATAGAGTGTGATAATCTAACACTATTGAGCATTCAATTTTTACGAAAGCAGATATAAACACACGGTCTAGTGCAAAATGCAAAACTAATAAACACAGAAACGTAAGGGAGAAAGTAAAATGACGAGAGATTTTTTCCGTCTCCCCGAGACAGGGGAGGATGCGAACCAGTATGCAAACCAAATGCGGGGCCAAATTAGGAATTTGTGAAAAGTATCATAGAAGAGGGAAAGAAGTGAACCTGCCGAGCCGAAGGGGATAAAAGAAACAGATCGGATAACCCTACCCAAACACCATTGTGCAAATCCGCACCCACGATGATAATTACTTCAACCCGCCAACCCAAAGAAAAAAAAGAAAAAAAACTTATATAATCTCCACCCCCCCATCCGCCACTCCACCGCCCCCCTCGGTGGTTGCCTCAGGCTCACTCCGACTCCTAGCCATGTCCGCACTTCCAACCTCTTCGCTCCCACTCAGTTGCCTATCCGGCGCACTCCTCCTTCTCCCGCCACTGCCACTGCCCCAATCCCACACCCCGCCAGCGCCCTCGCCATCCGGGGTCCCGGGCGCAACGGTGACTCTCGGGATTACGTCAAACGGAATGTTCACGCCACCAATTCCCAGCCCCGGACTTCCTGGTCCCCCACTGGCGACGTGGCCCACGGGCTCGGATACGACTCTACTCATCCGCGTAGAAGAACACCTCGGCGAGTCGGTCACCTGCAGCATCGCGATCCTGGGCGATCGCGCGCTGGCGCCACCGCTGGACCTACCCCGGCGCATGCTGGCCGAGCTTGCCGCGCCAAAGGACGATCCCAGCAGTGGGGAGTAGGGCGATGCGGAGGGCGCGGGAGATGATATTCCGTGGTGTGTATTTGAGGAGGGGGAAGGGGGAGATCCAAGTATTGGTTCGGACCAGGAGAGACTCGCAGAGCGGTAGCGTGGCCCTACAACGCTGCGGGCGACGGGGCTGGAGGATAGGTCGGTATCGCGGGAGGGAGCGTAGCCGGGTGAGAACGGAGGCGGGGTTGGTAGTGGCATGTCCAGGTATCCGCCCTCGCCCGGGTAGTTTATCGGAGTTTGTGGCTGGTTGCTACCACTGCTGCTGTATAGTGAGAAGTCGCCGTAACGTGCGGGGAGGGAGCTTGGGTGCGGGTTTTGGAAGGGGAGGCTCTGGCTTCGACCGTGACCAGTGTTAAGCATGCGGGGTGGTAATGGAGATGGGTGGTGGAGGTGGTCCAGGCCGGAGAGTGGGGTCCTGGCCCGCGAGTGGGGGCGTGGTGCGCCGTGGCCAGCTCCTGCTGGAGGGAGGTTCCCCGGGAATGTTGACCTGTGCAGGAGCTCTTGCGCAGTGGGGGGATTCGGCCATTGAGGTGTTGGAACGGCAGGTTCGGATGTCCAGGTTTTCTTGAAGAGCGACTGGACGTAAGATAATATCCAGCCCTTCTTTGATGGGGGGGAGCTATCCGTTGCCACCGCTGCCGCTTCTGTCGGTGACTGCAGGGGGCTTGGAAGTGTTGCGGGACTACGCATCACCGTTTCCTGGGTGACTTGTGAATCTGGTGGCTTGGCATGGACTTGAACGTGCGTTTGTCCCGGAACCCAGGCGCGCGGGAGTCTCGCTGGCTTGTACCTGTATTCGATACGTGACCGGTCTATCAGGGGCATCGAAGCGCGAGGGCTCCGTCCCGGTGTTGGCGTTTCTCCCCAGGGATCCTCGGAATCGGAATCGTGGGCGCGGTCATCGTTGAGAGGCGGTGTGTTCCATTTCCGAGTAGCAGAGGTGTTTCTAGAATCAGTCCCCGAGCGCACAGGTGCTCTCGACTGCCGTTCGTCGTCGTCTTGGATAGGCTCCGGTTCATCATGAAGGGTGTCATCCTCCCATGTTGCCCTCCTGGAGCCCTCGGGAGATGATGTCTCTGGAGCACTATCACTGGTGCTACCACTCCGAAACATACTACACCTAGCCCCTGCCTGATCGTCATTTATGGCAGTCTTTATATCGTCTAATACCCTCGCTAACTCTTCGATCTCTACCTCTCGCTTCTTCGCGTGCTGTAGCAACCTCACCCCATGAACCTCGTACCGCCGATAATCCGATACCAAGAACCTTGCATTTGAGCGCTTGCAAGTCTCCATGTAATCGAAGGAACCGCAAAACATTTTGATTGCAAATTGAAGCCACTTCCTGATGTCCGACTTTCGCATCCGAGATATACACACATCTTGGACAACACTATGCAGGACTAACGTATCCACATGGATATTCTCATCCTGCTGACCACACCGGTCGACAAGTGAGTATGCCAACAAATGCCCAATGGTGTTGTTGAAATCCCGTCGCCCACGATCCTTCGCTACCAGCTTGACGCTGGACGGCAACCCCCTGAAACCTGTTACTAGCATTTGAACTGGAATCTCCCGGTGCATGAAAGCTAGCAGACATAATAGATTTCTTGCTTCTTGGTACCTATCGCTGCGCTCCTCCAGGTGATCAAAAATTATATGGAAAGGCTCCAAGTCTTCTCGATCCACAAATGGTCGCTTTCCGTACTTTTTTAGGTAATCCGATATCGGGCGTTTATTTCGCTTGATGCAACTCCCGGCAGAATGTATCGTGAGTGGGATGTGCCCTAGGTGTTGCACTAGCTGTCTTGCCGCCAAAAGCTCTGGATCGGGTGGGTTCTTGATTTGTGAGTAGTGGAGCAACATTCTAACGGCTTCGTCGTCCGTGACCGGTTCCAACTCCAATCTCTCCGGGGCGCCCAGCCGGGCCGATCCTGCGAATGATGAGTTAAGGGTGGTCAGGATGATACTTCCCGCTTTACTCTTGGGTATATATTCCGCTAACAAGTCCAATTCTTCGTTCGTTTCCACATTTGCCCCGTCAAAGACTAACAGCCAGTCGTCATGTTTCTGAAACCATCCCATAACCCGCAACCGAGTAATCATTTTCGGATCGTTGTTCAAGCTAACATTACTGTTGTTCCCACCAGAGTCACCCAGAAGCCCTAGTTCTTCGGCGATCATACAAAACCCTAAATCCAGACATTCGGTGGAAAGAGTTTGCATCATGGGTTTGCAATCGATCCAGAATGCACCCCCGGGATAGTAGCTTTTCCTCCGGAAAAAGTACTCCCTTGCTAAATGGGTCTTTCCGGCACCGCTGAGTCCGGAGATAGTCACTGCGCCCTGGGTTGGCGACTGAAGGATCGCATGCAATTCGAACAGGGCCTCCTCTCGGCCTTCGAAGTATTTGTTCTCCTGTAGCGATAACGGTTTGACGAAGGGGGTGTCTCTAATTGCTAGCAAGGTAGTGGGTTCAGGGGTTTCTATGTACATTCGTGAACCGTCAGTTAAGAAATAACTAGTAAAGAAAAAGAAAAAAAAAACATGGTTTTGATATGCTTAAGAGATGATTTTGAAACGAAGACGACAACAAAAACTCAAGGCCTGCGAGAAACCCGTCCACGACTAGAAGATCTACGGGAAGACTCCTCGGGCTCGGAAATAGAATCCGGAAAAAGTGTATCACCTTGTGCCATTAAAGCTCTCCTACTTGTACCCGCATCTGGCGATGGACTTCTTGTCCTCGGCATGATGGGCGGAGGGGATAATCCAACATCAGCATGAATATCGTACTGAATTATATTGGAAAGCAAATCATGCTTTGCCTGGATATTGCGACGATCCTCCTGCATCCATTTCATCTCGATAGCGGGCGGAGCCAGTTTGACAAAATCGCACAAACAACCCGCGAGCGTGTTCCAGCCAGGAGAATTCTCGTCCCGAAACTTGCACATTTCGCTGTGCGACGCGTGAATGGATGCCTTGCCGGCGTCCGGTAAGGCCTCTGGCACTGCTGATGCATACTCGACAATCTATCCCGACCCATCAGCTCTCCTACTCTTTGGGTGGATGCGAACGTGAAACCACATACCATACTTGGCCCCATTCCCGGAATGGAGGTTTTGAGTTCCTCCCAGAAAAAGAATAATCGGAAATCCCTGCTGATTCCTAAGAACCCATCTGTGATGTTCTGGAGGGTCTCGCTGTTCTTTTCGAGAGCCGTAATCAGTGCGCTGTTGCTGTCGACCCAGCTCTTGGACGAAACCATGCGCACGAGCATCTCGGCCATTTTCCCCCACCGCGCCAGATCCGCGCCCATATGCGGGGTCCCGAGGAAGAGGACGCCGTAGGTTGAAACCTTGATGGACCGAAACATGATGTTATGGCTGAGGTTGCAGCTGGCCGAGTAGATCAAGCCCTACAAGATCAGTCTCTGCCCGAAGCGTAGAACACACGAAGGCGGAATACCCTTTTAACAACGATACCGCCTAAAGAATGGCAAATGAAAACAATCGGTCGCCGTTGCTCGTCCGCTTTCTGCAACACCGCCGGTCAGTGTCAACGACCCCTTCAGACATACCGCGACGCGGCAAGCACCAGTCAAACAAACCCTCCGATAAAAATGCAGTTCCGAAATCAGCGTGGTCGCGTGATGGTGTACCATATTGGTGCTAGTACTCTCAAACATCTTGGATGGGTCCGCATCGTAACCGTAGGCCAAAATTCTAGCGTTGGGTACCTCCTCAGGAAGCAGATCTTTGAGCCAGAAGACATCTTTTTCGCCCGGCTCGGACCCTTTCGCGGTCCATGTCCTGTAAACGTCGCCTTTGAGGCCGTGAACGGCTACGATGCTGTTTGTCCCGTTGGTTTGTCGATTAGCGAGGGCAAACAGGAGATGAAAGATGAAAGCGAGAGGAGGCGGCTGACTCACTCAACTTTGGGATCCTCGCCCTTCCAGACGAGCTTAACTCCGATGCTAGAGCTCTTTGTCGACGCCTACCCACTCAATCAACACCGTCAGAACTTTAAACCCGCATATGTATAGATGGATAGGGGAACAACAAACCATTTGCCGAAGAACCTTGAAGCTTTTCGGAGCAACTTGGAGGGAGAGGGGTGAATGAATATAGAAGAGATATAAGTTTTGTAGGGGAGGGGGGGGGGCAAGCAAGTGGCAATTATCCCGGACTATATATAAAATATTTTCCCAACCAACACCTACGTAGGATCAGAGAAGTCGTGGTCAAAATGTGGTCAAAGTATTTTTATTCCAAGCCTCCACCCCTCTCTTCCACTTTCTCTCGAGCACGGGGATCGGGGCATGAGTGGTACAGCCGCGGGGACAGGGATGCTGATATTCGAAGGAGGTCCAAGTATGATGGATGTATTCCCCTTTCTCTCTACACATGATACCCCTTAGTTACCGCAGGCCTTACAGATGCCGGCAACTACTTGTACGATGTTACAGCACCATGTTCGCCCACATCCTATGGCGAACTCCCCAGACCAACAACCTCGAGTGGAGGGGTCATCTTCTGCTGCGTAATGTGTGCTCTTCAGGAGCTTCCATCGAAGCCGCTCAAAAAAAACTAAAACTTCCAATGTGCGCGGAGACCCCGCTGCTGTGGGTGATTCCGTCCTGAAGCTGGGCAAAAAGTGCACTTCCCCTCGCACAACCACCACAGCTTGGAATGAGCCTCTCTGCTGGGGTGTCTCTGCAGTGGCTCGTTAACTTTAACTGGTTGCCACAAAATAATTTGGCGAAAAAAAAGGAAAAAAGTACTTGGACAAGTGCGGTGCTCACGGCTTCTAGTCGAATCATCATACTTGGATGTACCCCATTCGCCCTGCGGAACGGACAAAGCCTCACCACCCCATGGCTAGGCCCACTCTATCAGCATGCCGGTAGTCTACTGTACCGCTCACTCCCAGATACGATACAGTCCAATCTTAGCAACAAGGGGGACGCACTATAGGTTGCCCCTGCCACCCCGGAATAATAGGAACAATGGTGATTCTCCAAATATCTCATCAAGTTCTCACAGTGATACCTTAGCACACTCTAGGGGAGTTTTTTTTTTGTATCTTGCTAGATTTACTCATGGTAGAGTGGCTGTCGCCAAGTAGATGCTTACTATCATATGTTCTTGGGGTTACTGGACAGTACTACAGTAGACGCTTCTTTTGTCACTAAACCCGTACGAAACATAATGTAGGTTGCCCCGTACTTGTACCACTATAACTTACTACACCAGGTGTATTACGATTTATAATGCACTCGTACACGAATACCGTACCATACTTGATCAGTAATATTTCTTTTTCCTCCCATCTGCTCTGCCCTACCCTTCCTCTCCTACCACTCGTCGTTTCAAGTTTTTCCTTTTTCGAGGCCACTCAACACCAGGCATCCATCCGCCCAGCGGGCGGAAAAACAAGGTACCGCAAGGAGATCTCAAGTATTGTGACGCGTAATGGCGAATTTCTACTCTCGAGCCTCTCACGGTATATCATGCCTTTTTTGCTGCTGCAGTCACCTGATGATTTGAAGTCAGGGGAGAGGAGAGGAGTCACGAATGTTAGGGATGCTTACTGAGCCTCCCACTGAAATGACTACCGGTAGTGCCACCCGCCTGGTAGGCCAGGAACCACTTGGAAGTATCTTCTCGAGTGGTCCCCCTCTTTCTGCGCGCCAGAATTCAGGTTTCGAAGATTGTGGGAAAAGAGGAGAAGGAGGGGGGCAAAAAAAAAAGAGAGAGAGAACCGTGCAGGCCCTCATGTGCACAGCAAAAGATCGGGAGCAACTTTCGTCCGAAAAACGTCAGAGACGTTATGTTTAATGACACTTTCTCTCCAATGCCCTTGAAAGAGGAATGCCGGGGGGAAGGGGGGGTATCGCATGCCAATGTATGGAAAGACTGCTATGATACAGTAGATAGTTGGGTTGGCTGGCGAATGTGCGAAAGAAAAAAATGACATAAATAAAATAAAAAGAGAAGGCAGGACAGCGCCCCGAAAAAAAAAAATACCAACGCATCAACTCTCTCCGCCCTGTTATGGTAGACACATATAGATTCCGCCTCTTAAATAAAGCTCTAACCACTCCCGATCGTGTAGCACCCAAAAATCCGAGGCCCCCGGAACAAAATCGCCTCACCTAGCAAGGCATACAATCGTTCGGCAGTCTTCACGAAATATCACTCGTCCAAATGAACGCACCGACGCGAAAGACTCACCCATCCATGGTGTCCATCAACCGTCAAGCCTCCGGATTCCGAGTGATACTTTACATCCCCTGCTTTATAATCTCGGCGCACCTCTCCCCAATTGCGTAAGCTGCCATCTGGGTGTGCCCTTGGTTGAGAGTGGGCATCACGCTCGTATCGGCGACCCTTAACCCCTTCACGCCACGGACATTGAGGCGCTCGTCGAGCACTGCGAGTGGATCCGTTGCCTTCCCCATTTTGCAGGTTCCCCCGGGGTGGTAGCCTAACATCATCGTTAACCCAACGTCCACAAACGATGACGGTGTGAGGAGGATGGTCTAACATGTTGTAGCATTCCTCTTCACGAACTTCTTCCACTCATCCCTCGTCCGCAAGTTATGATGAGCAGCGCTGGCCGGCCAACTCCCGCTCACTACATCTCTTGTTCCGCTCCCCTCCATCACGATCTCGTTACCAAGCCTACAAGCCTCTGCCAGAACCTCCAAATCCAATACGTCGGAAAGATAGTTGTGCTCGACGACAGGGTTCACGCTAGGATCTCTACTCCGCAGCCTCACACTGCCCCTACTCCGAGCACTGAATAATTCCGCAATGATTGAGAAGCAAGACTCCCCGTCGTGTGGGAAATCTGAAAACTGTTTCGGACCCCCGTAACACTCTGTCGTGAAGAACTCGATGTTTGGCTGCTTCGGCGTGAGCCCCATGGGGTCCCGCCCAGGCAGACGCGGGGCGGAATTCCATAGTGCAGAGTCGGAGAGATGTTCGTCGAGGCGAGTGTAAGCAAAGGCGCCGAATGGAATTACAGATAGCGGACCCTTTTTGTGCTCTTTCCAGAGTCTATAGGATGCCTCGCGGGCACCCGGGGGGTATAATTGGTCGTCGAGTGTCAGTCCTGGTTTGTTTAGCTCGTAGAATATGAGGACGATCTATTTCGTGTTTAGTTTGAACCAAAAGTCACAAGATATACGTTAAGGCTTAGATAGCATTACGTACTACATGGTCCATGAGATTCTTTCCGACACCGGGTGAATCGAAAATCACGTCTATGCCCAACTCTTCAAGTTCTGCCTTAGGGCCCACACCAGAGCGTAGGAGTATCGCCGGGGAGCAGTAAGCCCCTCCGGAAATAATTACCTCCCGCCTAGCTGTCAAAGTGTGCATTTTTCCATCGCTGTCTATCACTTCCACACCTGTTGCCTTAATCTCATCACCGTCAGTGTTCTTGTCGAATACTACCCTGTCAACTGACGTTTCTGTTTTCAAAGTCAGGTTCTCCCCTGCGCCTAGTAGATAGTTCGCCGCAGTGACCCTCAAGCCTTGATATGTCGTTCTCACAACATGCCCACAGCCATGGGGGTTGTCGCCCGTACTAAACATGTCTGGGTCCAGCGGGATGCCCTTGGAGACGAACGAATCCATCATCATGTTTGATATCGGCGCCAGCGGATACGGCTCCGTGTCTAGAGGACCTGAAGCCCCGTGGGCCTTTGGGTCGTGCTTCATCCAATCGCTGGGATGATAATTCTCTGCCTGCAGACCCGCTTAGTCTTTCTCGACGACGGGATTCACTGCCTTATTTTTTTGGCTCTCATATCACACCTTTTCCATGCACTTCCAAACATCATTCCCACTCCACCCAGGCAGTTGCCAATCGTCGTAATCTTGCTTTGTCCCTCGGACGGACAAGGTCCCATTGCACCCACTCGACCCACCCAAGAATTTCCCCCTGCTAGCGTTCACCTGACGGCCATCGAGGCCGGGGTTAGGCTCCGTGATGATATTCCAATCAGCGTCAGTACCAAAATTTTTGGAAGCCCTATTCTTCTCGTAAATTGGACTTGCTGCGAAGGAGGGAAACTCGATATGATGTACGTACCCCCCAACCATCTGCGTATTCTCTAGGAGAGAATTATGTTGACCCGCCTCGATGAGGAGTACGGACACATCGCGAAGCTCGGCTAGTCTCGCGGCAACCACGGAGCCAGCGGTACCACCGCTAGTATTTTACCAAGGGTTGTTAATTCTTCCGCTCCCTTTCTCTCTCTCTCTCTCTTCTTTTTTTTTGCAGAGGCTGAAGAGCATAACTAACCCGCAGATAATATAGTCATATTCAGTACTTTCCGGGGCGGTATTTCCAGACCTGGAGCACTCGCTAGTATCACACTCGTAACATTCGTCTGAAGTGGGGATAAGGGCACAAACATATCGATTGTTGGTAGAAATCCGGTCTCGAGCACGGCAAGTTGACTTAAATTTGAATAGCTACTAGTGCAATTGAGAAATCGGCGGTTATCAGGAGGAGAAGGAATTCTGCCAACGGTGGGTGATGGAGCAACTAAATACCCGCCCCGTCACCCGTCCGGGGACCATTTTTATCTGTTAATCTATCTAATCTTTCCATCCATGTCATATCAGCTACAGCACATGCAACCGCTCGTGTGGCTCCAGATGCCCACTTGCCCACGGTAGTTTATTATGAGCGCTGTACCGCTACGGTACCGTTCATCAACCGTGCCGTACAGCACAACTTGCGGGGGTGGTTTTAAGAATGGAGAATCCTTGTTTCCAGAATATGGTTGCGAGAATGTAACGCATGCTAGTGTACTCGTACTGTGCAGTACTGTTTCGTAAATTATTAGCATCACTAACTTTATGGCGCAGAAGCCTCCGTGTCACAGTGCAAGTACAGGACAGTACTGTACTCGAGTATCCATACAAGTACGAACTTGGCGACAAAAGAAACGGACCCCCCCCCCCCCATTTTACCCCAAAAATGGCCGATTTTGAGCAATCACAACTCAACCAAAACCAATATAGAACTAACAAAACTAATGTCATGATGTAGGCAATTACCTAGACTTTCTGGGTAGATTTTATCAGAATTTTCTCACTCCACAAGAAGGGCTGAGAGCTTAGAGTAGAGATCAGATCTGGTTGCAATGTATCTTTTGTATGGGAGGCCCATACAAAATTGTAAGTACCTTTTGACCACCACCATTCCTTCTGGTATTGCTCCATGGGCATTAACTAAGAGGGCTTGTCACTTATAAAAAATAATATCTAAATAGCTCTAAAAGGCTCTGGAAAATTTTGAATTTTTTTTGCAAGTGATAAAGCTGAAATTTTGTGAAGTGAAAATGCACATTTTTGGTGTAAAATGGGGGGGGGGGTCCGTTTCTTTTGTCGCCAAGATCGTACTATTCACCCACCCTCCCGAGGATATTAAGTTATAGCAACAAGTATCGATAACCAACCGTCCATCAAAGGGTCTATTTCCCAAGCCTCAATCACGAACCGTATCTACAGTACCGGTAGATTAAAGCACTGTGAGATTCCACATGTACTGTACCTGAGAAACAAAGCTCATCCGATGCGATGCGTTTTCCCCACAAGGAGGGGGACGGGATGCACCGCACCGGTAATGTTCGGCTCTCCGGGTTTATTTCCGGAGGGGTACCCTATTTGTTTTTTTTTCTCCCGAATCGGGAAGGTTACCATAGATCGCCGTTTTATCCATCTGATCCCGCCGCTGTTCTCCCGTAACGTTTGAATATCGCTTATTTGATTTCGCTCCACCTTCCATGGTCGCTATGAGTACTCGAGTACTTAGGACGATAGGCGTCGCCCTTTCCCCCCCCCCTCCTCTTTGGAAAGCGGGGTGAAATTGATGAATTTTTCTATCGTATTGACCTCGTTTCTTTTTTACATCTTTTTATCTAGTGTAGCGACCCCCTCACGAGAGTGTTACAGTTACTTTCTTAGGAACGGCAAGTTCCAAGAGTTTTCCTGCCCCACTTCGGGGCGCCGAAGGTGTTATTCGTTCACCATCTGCATATCATTGGTTGCTTATGATTTTCATCGCTTGTACGGCACGTCTGCCGTAATTTTGGTTCCTCACCCATGTCGGAGCAGGTTACTGGAGGTTATCCTAATGATCGTTAGGGTACGGTAATTGGGTTAGGGCCAAGTGGAGCTTGACAGTCACGTATTTCCGCCTTTACAAGTATATCTAGACTATACATAGCCCCTTCGTAAAGTAGCTGGTAAAGACGGATCGTATCTCTCTTCACACACACCTCTATCCCCACAATCCAACCCTACCGTAGCGGCTCTATATAATAGAAGAATTTGGCAAAGCTTGTCCGCCCTTTTCAGCCTCGGTATTAGCCAGGCCAAGATCCCACCCTCCCTTGCGCCTCCACGTTAAGCTTAATTTATCCCATCCTCGTTCGCTCCCCGGCTTTCCAGTCCACCAGAGCGCGAGTGATTCGTGATGATATGGTAAGAAGGGGGTCGGAAACGCCATAAATTTAGGAACATGAATACACACAAGTGTCGTCGAAATACGTAGTTCTCAACCAAGCTTTATTCGAGAAGATGTGCTGATGGTAGTACAGTGCCGAGTATGCGATGGAGCCTACAGGAGCAGTAAGACTTGGCGGTCTGAACTGGGTGCCTGGCTTTCCTGCTCGTACCGAAACGTCATCAGTTAATTTACCTTCCGACATGACTTTTACTCGTAGGGGGGAGGTAGACTATGGTCTGGTCTCCGGAAGGAAGTACCGATATCACATCAGCTAACAAACAAACAAACTAAAGAACTAACTGTGGTATACCTCTCGAGTGGTGTGGGTAAGATAGAATGATACAAGTACCGGATGTCACTGCACACTACCCGTAGAGCAGAATAATGGGCCATCTGTTTATAATTAGATGGAAACCTATGATACAGCGCCAAGTCTCTGCGGGAGCCTCATCTTTTAAGTTAAGGGTTCAAGAAGGGCGTTGTTATTTATAAAACACGAGTCACGGGTGGCCGTATGGGAAAAAGCGGGCCTAAATGTATAACCAATATCTTACCCACCATGAACGTCCCATTAGTAGCCCACAGGCCTTCGGTCTTATTCTGTGCAGTACCCACCCATGATACCTGCCCAGCACAGAGTACCATACCAGTACAGTATTATCTTTTTGAGTGGTGGAAGAAACCGAGATCCATCTGGTCTCCTAGCCTTATTCCCCCCTGCAATCCCTAACTCCTTCCGTCCTCGGAGGTTCTCTCCGGGGGTTGAGGTTGACCTATTAGGTCTCTAGCTCCATTCATAATTCAGCTACGGTATCACACTCGGATACCCCCACATGAAAGCAATCATCATACCGAAGCTTGGATTGTGCTGTACTGTACGAGTACTCGTAGCGGTCCCAGGTGTTTGCCGTGCCGCCGTGGCCCTTGACACTCGCAGTGAACCGCCCACCATAGTAAAGACAAACATTAAGAGGAAAGACCCAATGAAAGAAGGAAAAACATTACGAATATGATTTCCTTTTTCCTTGAGGGGGATGATACACAAGAGATTCCCTGTAAGAAGGGGGATAAAAAACGTTAAGAGAAGGGGTAGATTCCAAAGCTTATCTATGATCGACATTACTCTTTAAGTGCCCGAATTGAAACATTCCGCGTACGGTGCTCCTTGCGGAAAGCATTCATCACGAAACATGGGAATCGTGGAGGGTAAAGATATATCTAACGTTATATCCAAACTTCCGACCCCCTTGAAAAGAATGGGAAGAAGTGCTGTAAAGAATTCATTTTCATACCCGAAGGAGACTTCCCTAGCCACATTGAGTCCCTAGGGCGAACGTATCACTCTCATACTTGCGCAGCGATGGCTAGAAAATAGTATCAAACGGTGCGCTCCAGGAACCCCGATTTAAGCCAAGGAAGGCAAGACAATAGGAGCAGCACATTTATGGTGTTTAGCTCTCTGTAATTTTTTTAAGCTGGCTAGTTCCTACAATATCTAAAATCACGATTTCACAGAATCCCTTCGAGTATATCCCAAAGGGTAACTCTATATAATCCAACGCAGTGCAAAAAAAAAGGATGTCCCCATCTCCATCTATAATATTATGATATAAATAAATAGTAATATCTAACACCTCACTTCTGAATACCCATCCTATGATGTGCCACAAATCATGATCTCAAATTTCCAAATTTTTAGAACTGCTCTGCGGAGGACTATAATACTTACGAATCATCATCTCAAATCATGGCCATATTGAATCACTAGGAGGGTAAAAAAAAACACCCCCTTAATTCCAGGACGGTACGGTAGTGCGAATGCCGTGCACAGACTCAGCCAAGAATATACTGGTATGATAGAGGAATTGATAGGTTACGATGCCTATGTGTCATGAGGCTGGGCGGTCAGGCAGCCCCGCTCTTCGCACCTTATGTATGCCCTTCGGCACTGGGTATGATAGTGGATTTGGCTCGTTTCGCCCTCCAAGACCGTTGGACGCAGGGCATAGGGCAAAACAGGTTCTTGGAGATCGGGATGGCTTGGGGTTGCTCGGGGTGAGAGGGGACCACGATGTGCTGATGGAGTTTGCTTCCCTAAACCCCGGAAAGTTGCCTGAAGCCCCTTTCAGCTTCAGTGCTGCTGCTGTAGTTATTCGGATATAAATATACACACATCTCCGGTTTGTCACTCTGCCAGCATCTCCTCTTGTTCAGTGTGCTTCGTTCATGTGATCTCACCCGCCCCGTTGCATTCTCTGGCTGTTTCCCCAAAAGTTTCATCCCCATACACCCCCCACGCCCGCACCCCGCGCACCCCCGACAAAGCTGGCTAAGGGTATCAACCTCCGGCTGGGCCCCTCTACCTTATTCACCATGATTTGGTCAACTTGTCGGACCCGCCAAGCGTCAGCGGTTCAGGGACAGGTCCGTGATGTACTTGGACTGCCTCACATGCAGTCACTCGGTTTTCTGCTCACAAGTGCTCTATCGGAGGAATATAGTACTAAGTAGTGTCCGGATTCGTCAACCCTTGATATCCCGAGCTAGCTGTGGTAGCGCGGAATAACACTGCGATATCGGCATAAGGATGGCACTGCACAGCACTCGATTATATTGGCGGGCATCAGCTTTACCAAGAATCTGCCCAGGAGACGTTCAATAATCGAAGAGGGGAAAAAAAAGAAAAAAAAAACAAAGACGCAAAGGCAAACCTCTGATTACCTTGGAATACTCGAGTACCGTAGTGTAACAAGGGAAATACTTGCTGCATACTATTTACATTTCCCCGAGGCCAATGAGCCGCCACATCTCCTTAGGCCCTCTTGTATTATAGTCTAGCCGTTGCACCCAAGTACGATATCGTCTCCGTTAATCGCGTTAATCGCTGCGAGGGGGGAAGTGCTGGGCGCTACATTTTCGGTATAACCTGACATCATACTATGTAACTCGGCTCGTATGATACAGTACGGTACCGTCAAGAAGGCCAAACAGCGTGCGGCTCGTAGGTGAGGCTCCATCTTGCCCAGATTCTCAAAGCGTCCTCCAATACCACTCTCACGTACAGTACAGGGAGTCAAGAACTATTGCCATCCAAGTAACTTGGGGCCACTCCTACCATCTATATTTCTATCAGCAGCACAAAGCCCCCTCCGTGCTTCTGGCACGTCAGCTGTACCTTGTAATAGCACGGCGGCTCACCGTGACGCCTATGCTCCTTCCCGCGCTTCGCACCCACATTTGTAATACATTTGCTAGACTAAAGGATCCGGCGTTCAGCCAGTCCCCGGAAGATCCCCAACATACCCGGGGCTTAAACTACAATAAATTTGGATAGCGCGATTTTTGCCAACCCACCAGACTCTGTTTTTTTTTTTTCCGCCCGGTCCAGCTTCTTGGAAATTACTGGGAGGTCTTATCCTCCCGATACTGTGCTCGAATGGTTCCCCCATCGAACACGTCCGTCACAAACGAACAGACGACATACCAAAAAAAAGAGAAATATTCCAGTACTATACAGTACTCTACCTCTCATTCGGGTTCCCCGTGGCTGCGGATCAGCCTCCAGCACCAAACGCGCATCTCTGGTTTTCTATTCGCTACGTTGGGGATTCCGGCGGGGGTATTCTGTGTTTCTATCCACACGCTGGGTTCCGTAGGGGGCGGCGTTTGAATCTGTCTGTTGAGCCTGAATACTGCCTACAATAACGGGTGCCCATAACAACGGACATGGCAACGGACAGACAAAAAAACGGAAACTGGGTTCAAGGCACAGGGAAATGAAATCGTAATTTCAGAACTATCAGCATTGGGACTGAGTGATAAAGCAACCTCACAGGACAAGCATAGCATAGTGCCAGAGAATTAAATAATAATATAAACAGTTTAAACAGGAACATTAATAATATTACTTGACTGGAATACCTGTCCAGATGAATCCTTTCCGAATGTGATAACTCTATAGTAAAGTATAGCTGATAACCATCCTCACTTATCCCTAATACCTAGAAAGCATTGATTTCCCCACCTCTTGCAATCATGAACAAGTTCATAATTCAACTCAGTCTTTTCCCCTATTATATCAGGTCAGTCTAAATTAAAAACACATAATCACATTGGATGTGCTTTTGACAATACCCCTTTTCAAGATACAAGACCTGGAATCACCACACCCGCACCCCATGTGGTTCGCACATGGCCAATTACTTGTGTGTCTAGATGATCAGTTAGTTTTTAGGGATGCCCGAGGAGGGGTTAAATTACCGATCGATTGCTGTGATGTATCATGTTTGTAGGATTACCGGTGTGACCGACCAACTCTGGTTGAAATAGAGAAGAAAGAAAGAAAAGGAAGCTGTGATATGACAGGATCCAAAAATACCCAACCCCTTCCTATCCGTGAGCTGTATGCTCCCGCCATATCTAGGATAGCAATCACACTGTGCTGTAATTACGGTACGAGACGATATAGTTCAGGTATAGCGACTCCCACCAGGTCTCTGCGGCGAATTGTCAACTGTTGAAGGTGATTGCTATCATGGGGGTAATGATCGACGGTGAGATTTTTACGCGGTGGAACGGAACGGCTTGAGTGGAGACATAAGGTTTGGCTTAGGCGGAGATGGGGGTGGTGATTGATTGTCGTAGGCTGATGGAAAGGAAGAGGTTGAAGAAGAGGTTGAAGCACAGGAAGAGGTGTCCCGTGAGAGAGAACAGAAAGGAAGAAAAGATAGGGATCAGAAAAGTTTCCATAGCTTATGCGTCCTTCAGCAGTGCGTACGTATACCATTGCAGCCTCCATGTGTGGCCATCAACTACTATTTCCAACATCAACAGGCAATGCCAATCCGAGTGACTGCCTGTGACACCACTCGCTTACCCTCGGCTCGGCTCGCAGCTCGGCTCCTAACGAGCCTCAACCTTGATCCACCCGCGTCAAAATCCTGAGCTTCAGAACACTTCTATCATACTCGAGTACGATACGGTACCGGCACAGTATCAGTATCCTTCCCCATAAGCTCCATACTCCCCACAAAATTCTACAGCCACCAATTCCCTTTTTCTTCTTTTCCCAATCCCTAACTGGCCAAATACCCAACAAATAAGCAACGGATAAGATAAAACTAACCCTTACAAATGAGGCACAACTCTCACCGGCTGCTCCTCCCCCTCCTCCTCCGAAGAACCTACGCTACGACCGCAACCCCACCCCTAATCACAAAAACCACCATTCCAGCGGCACACACAGGCCACATAACCCTTCTGACCCTCTCCCACCCCTCAGCCAAAAATGCCATCTCAAGCGCACTCCTGAACGAACTCCGCCAGCACATCACCCCCCTCCTCCACCCAACCTCATCCTCACCCTCCACCCGCGCACTGGTCCTCGCCAGCAACGTCCCGGGCGTCTTCTGCGCGGGCGCGGACCTGAAAGAGCGTGCGACATTCACGCCAGAACAGACGGCAACGTTCCTCGCGAACCTGCGAGGCGCGCTACGGGACATTTCCACCCTGCCGATCCCCACGATTTCCGCCATCAGCGGGCTCGCGCTGGGCGGGGGACTCGAGCTGGCACTGGCGACGGACCTGCGCATCCTAGGCACCCGCGCGCAGGTCGGCTTGCCCGAGACCAGGTTGGGAATCATCCCTGGCGCTGGGGGCACCTACCGTCTCCCGCTGCTGATCGGGGTTTCCAGGGCTAAGGATTTGATTTTCACGGGCAGGAGGGTTGGAGCTGAGGAAGCGCTGCGTTTGGGATTGGCGAATAGGGTTTTCGAGGTCCCGGAGGGGGAAGGTGGGGAGGGGATGGAGGTGGTTACGACGGCTGCCGTGGAACTTGCCGGGGAGATTTGCGGGGGTGGGCCGGTCAGCCTGAGGATGGGGAAACGGGCTATCGATGGGTGCTGCGAGGAGGCGGAGAATAAGGCCTATGAGGGTGTGGTTGCCACGGAGGATCGGAACGAGGCGTTGAAGGCCTTCAGGGAGAAGAGGACGCCCGTGTTCAAGGGCAGGTAGTCGCTATCTTCTTTGGCGGGGAGAATCTTGTAAATACTAGGGGGATAACCGGGGTAATGGATACACAGCTAGAGCTGGACCGCACAAGCAGAGTGTGGGGCCGAAATACGCATTGTGAGTGTTTCCGAGTGACAATGCGTGATAGCACAAGAGCTCACGGCACGGATCACAGCCAAAGACCGCAGGCATCCGGGGCCACTCCCCACCACCATACAAGATGAGAACTCCCACAAAAATTTCGCCCTCAGTATGCATTTATAAAAGCGGGGGATGAAGAAACACATTTTCCTCCCTTCACGCATAAACACCCGCTCGCTGACCTCTGATCCGCGGTTGGGTTGGTGACGATCTGATCGGTTAGAGTTCGGCTCGCATGATACTCGTACAAACGGTGCAACCTCAGGCAAAGAATGGGCCTTAGTTTACGAGTAACCTTCCGGGAGGGGGTCAAGCCAGAATATCATGCTATAGATTATCCCCAGGCTACGATGCGACCGGCGGCGGCGACCACAAGAATTCACACAGCCTCCCCGGCTTCTCCGTCTTCCATATTGACATTATTATAAATGCAAAACTCCGATATTGCAATTCACATTCCCTCACGAAAACCCAAACCTCAAATTAGAGAAATTGGAAAAGTAAAAATAAAAAAAAAAAGAGCCACCAATTCACTCTCAACCCCCCTCCAATCATTCCCTAGCTCTTATCCACATTAGCCCTAGCATCGCCCGAAACCTCCCCCTTCATACCACCAGCCCCTTCATACGCCTTTCCAGCAGCCTCAGAAGCGGTACCCTTCGCCTTGCCCGCGACCCCACTCCCCACCTCCCGCGTCCGCGCCGCGGTCCGCTTCGCCGTCTGTGCGATCGCCTCGCCGGTTTCAATCCCCTTGAGTGCTGCGCTCCCCGCCGCGCGGTCGATGGTCCTGACAGCTTCTTTGGCGGAGTCGGCTATGGATCTCGACAGCGTCGATGCGGTGGTTAAGGTTCGGGCCGGCCTTGATAGGTGCAGGTGGAGGGGGCGGAGGGGGCGGAGGGCTGTCATCTTGTTTGCTGATGCGGTGGATGTTGTGTGATGGACTATTTGTGTGCGGCAAGTCGAAAGGTTCGTGGCTTTTGAGATGCGTGCGATGGGTGAGTTTTTGACGGGCCGTTGGGAATTTATGTCGCCTTGCTTTGGTACCGGTATTTCTCCCCACATACAGTATCATGCCGGTATATATGTGCCCATGTCGTGGCTGCTGGATGTGCGATTGAGCTGGTCGGTCGTTGAGGATTGTGCTGCGCTGATAGTCTTGTGACGTCATTGGAATAACGTATTTGTGATGTCAGAAGTAGCTACCGTAACTACTTGTATCCTAACCTCCCAGGTCCCAAGAGCAAGGAGGGGCAAAGCTACGAGTATTGCAGGATGGAGCTGACACGGCGGCGGCGAAATAAGTCTCTTTTTCTGGAATGGTTTTCTTCTCGGTGGTCGGGGCGTTGGAGGGAATTTTTCCAGAACGAGTGCTCGAGTACTCGTAGACTACTGGTACGAACTTTGGGATTGGCATCCCACGGTATGCCAGTCAAGAGATATCACTCACTTATTATTCTTGGCAACCAGGAACCTACGCTTGGGGATCCTAGTCGGAGTGTAAATAAGGTCCACTGAGGAAGCCGGAAATTTTTAGAGGAAAGGGGGGAGATCACCCTTATGGCACATACCCTATTCGCAAAGACAGATGGTTTGCAGATTTTGGTGCGGGTTTATTCTTGGTGAGTTGGGTTCGCAAGTTTGGTCAAGATTAGTGACTAGGACTATTATATGTTGGGCGCCGTGGTGACGGCCAGTGAGCGCCCAACACCCGCAACGCCCGGCACAGCCGGCAAACACTCCATCCTCTACGAGTATGAGCATTTGAAAAATACATACCTCCGCCCTTTAAAAAAATATCAATCAAATCCCAAAACCCCGAAATAACCCGCCCAGAAACCCAATATCTCCCGTGCCGCGAAAAACCTCATCTAACCTACAGTGTATCCACACCTTCCTTCCGTCGGCTTGGTACAATGTCTACCTCAACCCACCCAAAAGACAGTATTCCGTTACCTCCTCCTCATCCGGCCACTCCTGCACCAAAACCCCAACATCCCTCAACACCCCCTGCCTGATGCTCTCCTCGTCTTCCCCTTCCTCCTGCTGCTGCTGCTGCCCCTGTTTCCCTGCCGGGACTTCCAAAAACACCCTTGCGGCAACAATCACTTTCCTAGCCATCGGTTTTTCCCTGTCATCCAGCCAGTCCGCGACGCCGGTGGTCCACTCAATGATCCTCCCGATAGCACGGTACCTTCTCGAGAAGCCAAGCTGCCGGACGTATGCATGGACTGAAGCTGGTGAGGGCGTCAGTAGCGTGGGCAGTTCTTCGTCTGCGATCAACAGCTTTGGCCTGCGTAGGCCGATGTTTTTTTCGAAGATGTGGATGACCCGGTCTACCGGGTCTACGCCGTCCCAGAGCACGTTTGCCTGCAGACGGGTGTTCTTCTCCGCGGCGACGCACAGCGCACGCAGCGTTTCAGAGTCTTCGTTGACGAGGCGGGTCATTTTCTTGTATACTTCCCAGATCACGCGAATCCGATTTGGCTTGTCGTTTGCTTTCTTGGAGTCGAGCGTTCTAGCGAGTCGCGTGAGGGCAGTGTTGTATGCTGGGGTGTGCGCTGGTTTCTGCGCCAGGAGGAGGCGGATTGCCAATTCGATCTTGTCGTTCCTGCGGTGGAGGAGGAGGGATATGTATGCCGTTAGGATGCGCGGGTCTGTGAGCTTCGCGGAGGGGGAGGGGGAGGGGAGGGGGTAGTTCCATGTCTCCAGTATCCAGTGGGCGTGATTGAGGTCGTTGTTGTGGGACACCAATAGTGCGAGGAGGCGGCGGCTTGGAGGGACGTTGTCCCTTTTCATCATCATGAATAGTTCGTCTGCGCCTGGTGGGGGAATAGGGACGTATACACCCTCGTTGATGTTCCTTGGGGGCGGAAGGACTTCCTTTGCCTCGCCTGCGACGGCGTGGTAGTTGTTCTCTCTTTCTAGACGGCTTAGAGCGTCGAGACGGGGCTTTTCACGGAGGGACTTTTTCCGTTCAACGAAGTCTGCGTGCATCTGTCGGCGAGCGAGCTTCTCGGCGTAAAGGGCTTTTTGGATGAGTTCTTCCCAGACATCGCGGCGAGGAATGGTGCCGCCCTGTCGACAGTCGAGGAATATGGCCCATGCTTCGTCCATGGTACGAGTAGCACGAATACGGGACGCCCAGATGGAGGCCGGGGAGGATGAGGTGAGGTTCCGGAACCTAAGGTGAAATGTTCTGGTCTGAACGGTGGGCGTATCGTCTGTATCTCTGCCTGCGAGAACCAGGGCAGAGTAATCCCAATCATAGAGGGGATATCCCGCTTCTGTCATCTGCTGAATCACCTCGGCAGCACGGGAGATTCCAGGTGGAATCCGACCCACCCGGCCATCTCTTTCAAACGGCCAGGGTGGCCAGGACGTGACCATATCCCGAACAGTCTGCTTCTCCGGGGGTGTTTTGGCATGGGCCAGCTGGACAATTATTACCGCCCGATAGCCTTCCCGTATGAGAGAGATACCCATAGCAGCCATCTTGTGCAGAATTAGAAATTGGCTGCGCTGAAGGATCGGAAGATGAGCAAAGGGCCTGTCGGGTGTTGGTAAAGAGAAGAGGGTCAATAAGCGGTTATAGAGCCTGGTCACTCGAGATGGAGAGCGTGGCTTTGGGGCGTCTGGTCGGTGAAGATGGGTTACAAGAAGTTTGGCGACCATAGGGATGGCGCGAGGCAGGGCCGAGCGCACCCTTCGAAGCAAGCGGAGAAGGAGGAGAACCGTCGTCTTGTCATCGGAAATCGAGAGGTGGTTGGATGGGAGTAGCATACTCTCGACCATTGGAAAAAGAACTTGGATGCTGTCCCGAAGAAAGTACCTCCGTCGGAGCGTGAATAAGATGAGAAACGGTGGAATCCGATATGTGTACCTTGCCCCTATCGTATTCCGGGGCGACGATAACTGTGCATTCTTTGCGTCGTCCGAGCCAAGATCTTCATTGCAATGAGATGCTTGAACCCTTCTTGGCTTTCCAGAGATTTGGGCGCCATTCAGAATTTCCTGCTCCTCTAATGACCCATCAACCACCTCGTTCCTGACTCTTGTGCCCAAATCCAATCTATGCCCCGCCAGCCCACCATCCCTAGCAGTGAGAACCCATACCCACACCAATACATCCTCAGGTGTGTAGCCCCTCCGCTCTAGATAGTCTCTAGCGCCAGGGGTGAAGACCCCCCGAAGAACCATCTGGTCGTGATCCTTGCTGAGACTATCCGCACTCCCCAGCACGGGAAATCTAAAGGACGAGTGGGGATAGAGTTTGTATGCATAATAAATCAGGTTCATGGTGATACCCCTTAACGAGTAGCGTTCCCTTTGAATCCCGTTCCGATCAATGTACCTCACTTTTACCCCTCCAAAGTATATACCCTTCGACGTCCGTCTGGGATTAGCTGGCTGACATCTGCTCTCTCCGGACCTGCATCCGGGCTTTAAAGGATCCACATGTGAGAGGTCAACCTTGCCCGATGACTTCATGGGGATGTCTCTTGCGTGACCAATGCTTCTCAACAGCGAGAGCAAGGAATCATCCCCTTCCCCAGCCAGTCCATCGCAATTACCAACCCGATCCTTCTTCCCCTTCCCCTTCCCAGCTGCCCATCTCCCAAGCTTCCTTTCGGGATTCTCTCCCGAATCTCCGTTCCGGATGGTGCCCCAGCCGTTGACGCGGTCCCCCGCTTCAGGGTCCCCACCGTCGATTTCCCGCTCCCGACCGGCCTCTCCCTTCCCGCATTCCCCCGCCGATGCCGAAGCGGAATTCCTCCTCAACCCTCCCGCCACCCGTAATCCACCCGTGTCCAAACATCCACCTTCAACAATCCAATAAAGATGGGAGAGCAGTGCACAGCTCAGTGGACGGTAAAGAAGTACCCTACGCAGCGGCAGGGTAAATACGGGAAGTGACATTCATCGAAGTTTTCTCTCAGCGGGTGTTGGACGTCGGGGACGGGCCAATGGCGGGGAAGTGGGGGGGGGGGGATTCGTTGGATTCCGCTGGAAAAAAATTGAAGGGATATGCTTAGTCATCCTGATTTGAGAAACGGATTTGTAGGATTGTTTGCTTGTATCATACGGTAAGTTAAGTTAAGTTGACCTGGAAGGGTGATATCAACAAGCGGGCACGGCACTCAAGTAAGTTACAAGTTGCTATACAATACAGCGGAATAGCGATAGGGAATTATCTTTAAAATGGGGGCTTCATAAGATAGCTCGTCTTCTTTCTTTCTCTCTCCTCCCCTGAGTGAGACTGTATCCTCTGTTGCATGGTAAGGTTAGCAGGAGGTGAGGTAAATTTATGGCGTTCCGCCGGTTGTCGTGAGGGAGGAGGGAGGCTAGCGGCGGAGATGATTCTCCAGTGCGGCGCGAGAGCTGCTGCAAGCGAAGACGACATCTCCGCTCTCGGCCTTGATAGGTCCGCCGCCACGGGAATACTCGAACACAGTATGATACGAGTATGGGAAGGATACAGGTACAGTAGGGCAAAAAGTCGAGACGGACAAGATGGTTTCGTGTGTGAGTGGATATGCTGCTACCGGTACTTGCACAGGTGATACTTGCACAATAGATGTAGACCATCCCACCTCGTGAAAGGGGAAACAGGCTCAGCACCGGTACAGGTACAGTAACTCGCTTACAGAGAAGCTATCATGCTGTACTGTACCGCAGACGAGGAGAATCCCAACAAATGGACGATGGAAAGGGAGAGAGGGCCCAAAATCATCACAACCACACACTGCACCCGTACCGCCGCCGCCCTGCACACTCCCCAACACGGGGAAAATAAGCAAAGAAAGAAAGATGATAGTGAGGGGAATCTCAATCATCCTTCTCCCTTACTTTCCCTCCGAGATGGGAGAAATAAAAATACACTTTGCTCCGGTTCAGCGTTCAGAAGGGTTCTCCCTTAATCGGTTGCAGCCTCGCTTCCCCCCAATCTCTGTCTGGCTCACAGCGGGCAGTTAGTCGCGTCCCCCATTCCGGAGCCAATCTTTGGATCCTCACTCCCTCCTCACCCTCTCCTCAAATCCTCCCATCTTTCCCCCTAACTCACCTCCTCTCTTTCTTTTTTCCTTTTGCTCCCCCCGAGGCCCTCTCGCCATCTCCCCTTAATCGCTGCGTCTGATCCCCATCGCATAAGGCTTTGTGGCTAGTCGGGTGCATATTCGTGCTCTGTGGAGCCGTTCCCTTGTCCGCTTTTCACGTCGCAACCATTCCTTTCCCCTTCTCCCTCCCACCCGGTGGTCCTCTCCCCTTCGCAATCTTCACTCGCACAACCCACGCCGGTCCTTCCTTTGAGGTCACGCTTTGTACGGTGGGTACAGTGCGGTCCGTCTCTCTCCCCCCCTCGCTTCCCTTGACCTTTTTTCACTTGCTTTCAGAAGGAAGGGGAAAAGAAAAAAGAAAAAGAAAAAAAAGTCGAGCCAGCCTGGATCCGGATTTCTAATCGGATAGCCAATCGGCAAGTTTATTTGAGAAAAATTTAAAAAAAAATTTAAAGAAAATTTAACCCCCATCCCCTCACGCAAAATTCGACCCCCCCCTCCCACACCGCATCATACTATCCATACCGCCGACTCTCCGTCGTAGTTTGTCCCCATCGCTGGACGCTGCTGTACCTTACTCCCATAAGCTGCAACCAACTGCAACATACAACCGCAGCAATGGGAGCCGCAAACTCTCCCCCCCCAGCGCCCGTAGCCGTCCAAGACGCCACTAGTAACTCGAATCTAACGGTCACCACCATGACAACTGCATCTGCACCCGCTGCCGAGAACAACTCCACGATAGATGCCTCTCCACGGATCCAGCAGCAACAGCAGCAGCAGCAGCAGCCACAACAGCCCCTGTCCAGTCCTGCTTTCACTAATGCAAACTCGACTACTGGGAAGCGAAAGAGGAGCGATTCACCTTCCGCCCCCATCGTCTCGCCGACACAGCAGCGATCGCCTGCAAAGAAGAAATCCGACGACTCCATAAGGCCCGGTAGCGATCCCGCCATGATCACGACCGTGGAGGATAGGGCGTCGCAGAGGTTGCTGTTTATGGAGGCTACCATGAGGGATCTATTGACCGTCCTGAAATCGTGAGCCTATCCCCATCCTTCCCTTTGTTTTCACCTCATCTCCTCACCCGCCCCTCCTGACACGGTGCAGAAACGACCCCACTCCTTCCATCCTTCGTCATCCCATCCCGAATAGCGCGCCTTCGCCCTCCGGCGCGCCTCCCATCAAGCGCACCAAGATTTCGCCCTCGTCGCCCAACACGGTAGCCGAGAAGCTGTTGCGGGTGACGTACACGTCGCTAACCACCCTGCTCTCCGATATCAGTGCTGTTTGTCGCGAATTGCTAACCTCCGCTGATAACGAACGGCCGAACGGTACCCTCGCTAACGGCACCTCTAGTATAGCTTCCGCCAGTGCACTCCCCTTCGTCGTCCAAGTCATTCACTTTGAGGAGTTGGCGAAGCAGGTGATCACGCGGGAGCGTGTACGCAGGGCCGATTTGTTCGATTTTGTTGAAGAAATGTCCGCGGATTCCGTCACCGTGAAGCCCGTGGGAAGTAGGGGAAAGGTAGCGTTGACCGTCATGGGACAGCATGGTCCGTTGTTTTCATCGTTACAGAATCCTATCAACGCTCTGCCCGTGGGCGATTTGGCACCCTCGTCGAGATCCACTTCAGCATCCGCATCCACATCCCCCAAATCTTCAATCTCAACAGCCCCTACATCCACCGTGACCTCTCCCAAAGCTGAGCCGTTGAATGAGTGCCCCGTCTATACTCCGCTGAATGAGTCTCACCTTCCTCCGCTCATCTCCACGGTCAAGGCAATCCCATCAAACGGCCAACTTCTAAGGGGTGGTAAAAGGTTCACGGGCAAGGAGGGAGCCAAGGTTTCAACTTTGGGTGAAGCATTCCCCGCGCCACGCGGCTTGCCACCGTTGCTTCCCCCGAAGCCTGACCAGCCTAGTGAAGTAGGACTGAAATGGGGCGGAAAAATTGGGGTCGGAGGCATCAGGGTGGAGAATCCGTCGAACGATAAGTCCGAGGGCTGTGGAGACTGGCTCTCGTATAGGAACAATATGTCCCCGAATCACCCGTTGGCCCGACTTGAACCGCCTAGGTCGAGAGCACCGCTACCGGCAGATCTTGTAGCTGCGTATAGTAGTTTTGCGCCTACCAAGGACGACTCTGGATCAAAGATTCCGGCTGCGGTCAGGAATCGGGTGTGGTGGGATAGGGCCGGCAAGCAACTCTTTGCCAAAGAATTTGCCGATGAGCCTTCCCTTCGCCAGATGTACAGTCCATCCGATGGAAAGGTCGCTGTGGTTGAGGCCCGGACGGAAGAGATGGATCTGGACGAAGAATTCCGGAGAGCGATTGACGATTGGGAGCCGGACAAAGAAATACCCATAGACGCCAGATTGCTCGATGGAGCGGATGGAGCAGAGGCGACTATGGCTGGGAAGAGGGTGGATGGGGAGAATGGAGCGGACGCGGATGCTGCAGGTACGAAAGATGACCCGGAGAAAATACTATCGGAGATATCCGACTTGCTGCAAAGTCTGCGCGACCAGCAGTATACCCGCCTATCCGTTCTTCCCCATGGCCAACCTGCCAAACCCGGAACCGTAAATGCACCGGTGCCAAGCACACCTCTGGCGCCCGGCGAGGAAGAGGTCGGGCTGTACAATACCATTCGGGACAGGCTAGCTCGACTCATATCCAAGCTCCCGCCCCACCTGGTAGCAACCATCGACGGTGGCCCTGGCAGCGATCTCGCTCTCAGCGGCAAACTCCCTGTTCTCGCCCTGCCCATCTTCAAGGGCACACTCCCCGCCGATGAATCCCACCACCCCAAAGCCTCGACCCCGCAAGTCCAAGGCGCGGCGATGGCGGCAATGAACGCAGCTGCCGGTCTCTCACCCGTCAACAGCGCACCCGTAGCGCACATGTCCCCAGCCCGCAGCCAGCACCATCACCACCACCACACCCCGGCCGCCTCCCGTCCAATGTCGGCCCTTCCAAACATCAGCGTGGGCGGCGCCCAGTTTCACGGCCACCAGATGCCCAACTATCGCATCCCCAGCGTAACAACCCCACACCACTACCCATCCCCATACGCCCCCGCCCCATCACCAATGCCCACGCCAACCCCACAGGGGCAATACCAGCCCCCGCCCCCACGCATCGTCAGCCCTCTCAATCACCGCCAACCCGCCCCCCCACAGCAGTTCCATGGACACAGCTTACCCACGCAGACTTATCAGAATTCCCCCCCGCCGTACCAGACCCCGCCACATCCGCGGCGCACCGGGGTCCCACCACCGCAGGGACTTGCGGCGGTTGGAGTTGGCTATAGCTCGCCTGCGTACAACAATAGCACCGGACTGCGTATGGGCGTGCAACATACCCCGCAAAGTATGGGCCCCGGAGCCGTATCTGGCGGGGGGAGATATACTGGCAAACGGAGGTAGGTAGGGATGCCACTCTTGTTTTTCCTTTTCCACTTTTCATTTTTCCCTGAAACGGAAAACAAAAAAGATAAAGGCTTGGGTTTGTTCTTGCTTTGCACCTTTCTCTCTCTCTTTTCTTCTCTCGGATGGCCGTGGCAGTTTGGGTTGTTTTATTACTATCTTGTATTTTTTTCTTTTCTTTTACCACTTACTTTCCTACCCTTCTTTTTCTTTTCTTTCTTTCTTTTTTCTTCTTCTCGTGTTCAACTCTACCCTTCTTGTCATTTCCTTGCCAGCACTTTCTGTTGACAAGCTTTTCCCATCCCGTTTTTTTTCTTTTTTTCTTCTCTCCTAACTTGCCACTAACTCGCTCTGCTTCGTTACGTGTTTCGGAAATCAAACTAAATTCTATTTGTTTTCACTCCTTCATGTCCCTTCATTGCTTCCTTTCCGTTGGTCAGCCAATCCCCGACATCACGTGGTTCCCGTCGTCGATGTATGCATGCAAAAGCTGTGTGCTCCATTCGGAGATGGACTAGCTTAGTCGGTTGGTTGGCAGGTTAGTTGGCAGGCTGGTTTGATTATCATTATCAGCAATTCGGTTTATAGAGACGTTTAGTCACTGTATCAAGGTTTTTTTTCTTCCGAGTTTTGTCGCGAGATGTAGAGTAGAGCAAAACGCCATCATGGAACGAGTCGGGGACGGTAATGGCATGTCGTGATTTCACTATAACAGGGCGGCTATCTTGGGTGCGGGTGACGCCTCCAATCTAGCGATCGATGACACCACACAACCTGGTACCGGTACCCCTGCCTACCCGGAAGTCTACTGCAGAGTACAGTACAGTACTGTACCAGGCGAATTTGATACCGTACTCGTACATCCCAACCCATCGCCACCACCACCACCACCACCGCCACAACCACCACGCATAAACAAATCCACCCACCCCCCGAACACCCACTCCCCACCAATTTACCCCACAAAGACCCGCATCCCACCCGACGCAATACAAGTACAACTCAATAGAGAAAAGACCTCCAGAAGTAACAAACGCGCAATCACGTGATCTCGCGCAGCGCACGTGTCAAACTTCGCCCTCACTCCATCTTCTCCCCCTCGCACAGCACGAAGGGCGGTGGTGTCGGTTTCAATGCGACGGAATTACCATACGTTCAGAATGGAATATCGGGGGGTATCTGTCGTAGGGATACAAGTACTTGTCTGTGGTACGAGTATAGTAAGTGCTGCAATGTGGGACACTGGTGAAAAGACGATGCGAGAAAAAAGAAGAAAAAAATCAATCTCTCGATTTCTCGGATGTCATTCTTATGGCTTGTCCATGCTATAAGTCCCTACTTTCACTATGCCCTCTCAAATCGCACGCTGCTCTTCCAATGTATACTGATGGATGTGTTGGGTTGGTATGGTATTTTGGGGCTCTGGGTTCGTTACGGGGTGGGTGGTTGTGATATTCGAGTGATTGGTTGTGATTGTTTTGTATCATGGTCTGTGGTTTTCTGCCAGTGTGCCAGTGAATGAGATAGTCTACCGGGGTTTATCATATGTTGGCTTATAATGATGGCTCATTCATTCATCTGCTCTGGTGAACCAGGTGGGGAGCGTTGCACCGTCCCCCTACACTCCAAAGGGAAACCTATATACGGTACGAACCCCCCAGCATCTTGGCCCTTTCTACCATGATCACAGAGTGGTGACGCCCCTCGTCTTCTTTCCCAAAATCTCCTCGAGATGCTCCACGATCCTCTTCTCCTTGCCGCTCTTCCCGCCACGTCCGAAAATGCCCTCAAGTTCCAGCAGCCTTCTAACCGTCGAAACCATGCTCTCCTCAAGGGATGTGTACTCGCCCAACAACTCCCCCCCGAGCTCGCTGTCGATATCCACCGGTGGATTACCCTGTGCGCCCTTGTCGGCTGGAAGGCGTCCGCGGAGTTCCACGGGGAAATGCTTTCCCATTATCTTCACGACGGCCGTGTTGGAGTATCCGGGCCTACTCAGGATTATGCGCTGGTTGGAGGCTGCGGGGGAGGTTAGCGCCCGGACATGCGCACGGGCTACGTCGCGAACGTCGATCTATGGTGGCGGGGGTTAGCATAAAAGAAGGGTGGAGGGGTGGGGAGGGATGAGGGGAAATACATATTCGGAGAAGAAGGTTGGAGGGATTTCGCTAAAGGTTCCGTTAAAGAGGGAGTATATACTATCTGTGGTGAGATTAATTTTGGACAGGGATATCACTGGCTGGATGCAGGGCCCTGTTATTGGGCCCCTGGTGAAGCTCGTTAGCACGCGAGACTACTGTGTTCTAGTGTGAGAGGGGGTAAAGTGGGTAGTCCCACGGTAGCATCACAGAAACCGAAAAATGCGGCTTCTTGGTCTTCATATATTCCCAAACCACCTTCTCCGCCGATGTCTTTGCGACACAGTAATTGGTGAGCAAATTCTTGGCCTCCCGAGCCATCCCATAGGTGGTCTTATACTAATTAGCCCAATACACCCATTGGACAAGAGCGTTTGGTGAGCCCCTGACATACCGAATCCCAATCCCTAGGCGTAAACCTCTTCGAGGTGGCTCCCCCGGCCATAGGATCGAATACCCCCAGAGCACAAATCGAAGAAGTGATGGATATATGCTTCACCTTCTTCCCAAACTCGCTGACAGCATTGAGAATTCCCAAATTCCTGGAAGCGTATCAGCAACACCACGCGCCCTTCGATATAAAAAACCAAAGAGAGAAGCGTACCCCCCAACATTCGGCTCCAAGTAATGCTTGTCAAAGTCCGTATTCTCCTTCGACATTAGGGGTGCGGCGGTGTGAACGACATAGTCGTATTCCGTCTCTTGGAATATCCGGTCCCAAGACTCTTGCTTGGTGAAGTCCGACAACACAATGAATCTGGCGCTCTCTTCGTATTCGGGGTTGAAGGAGCGGCTTAGGTTGGCCTTCTCTTCGGAGCGGACGGTGCCGGTGACGTGGTAGTTTGCTTCTATTAGTTGCTTCAGGACGTGAGCCGCTACGTAGCCGTTCGCGCCTGTGAGGAGGACTTTTGGTTTGGTGGTGGGTTCTTCGACCGTCATTTTTTTTTTCGGTGGGTTAATGAAGAAGGGGGAGGTTGGGATTTGGAGAGTATCGTAGTGTTCTTGGGCCGAGTGTGTGAGACCTTATAAAGACCTCACGGGGTCTATTACCTGCACCGGCTATCCTTTCCACGCCATGAACGCCCGGTCTCACAACCGCTCCGGCCGGACATCGAACCTGAGCAGCCAGAAGCGCGAGACCGTGTCCCCCCCCCTGGAATCTGATGTGGTTATAGGCTAGAAGTGTCCTTCAACACCATGATGAAGGGGGCGCATGGAGTGTGTTTGGGACCTCTTCCGATTCCAATCCACTCCTGGCCCATAGGGAAAACTGGGTTTACCCTAGGTCCGGTACGACATTCGGTAGGTGGACCACTCCCGAACGATGCGAAGCGGTTCGACCAGACGCCTACTCGGGGACTTCCAGTTCATGTCGCGACTAGACCCATCGGATTTTAGTAGAATTACCGGGTTACCGCAACATCAGGTGTTTTATATGTTTCTAGCCGTAGTGATCTTCAAAGCGTACTATAGTAGGATAGCATGGGTTTATCTAACTTGCTTACAGTTATCCTTGGCAGGTCCAGTACAGCACTGCGCATATCCTAACTCGTAGCGCTAGACATCACGCCTAATCACTCATGCCCCCCCCCCCCCACCGCATTCCGCCTACGATGCACCCGCCTACTAAAATCGCACCATCAATAATGCGGGTACGTACTGTAGCCCCGTCAGGAATCATCAGGCTAACAGCTTTCGGCAGGCCGAGTGACCGGGACCCCCCTGGGGCGAGATGTGCCTAGCGCATTGCGGGGAATGAACTTTTTTACGATGCAACACCATAACTTAAACTTACCCCACGTGGCGCGGGTGTGGCGGATGTGGGGGGGGAGGGATGTTATCCTATCGTGTTGTAATACCGATACAGTGGTGGCACTCTTGTGAAAGAAGATACTCGAGTACACCCTGTCGACTAGCGCATCCATTCATCTGAATCGTTGCGCCTCTATTCGGCAACTGCGCGCCATTCCCCTGTGGGTTTATGATTGGCAAATTCACTAACTTGTCCTGCGGCTGACTTATCACAAACCCCCAATGGTGTAATAACGTGGATTGGCGATTAGGATGCCATACCAGCACCATCGTATTAATGGCACAAAGCCAATCGGCCCCTTTCCGGGGAGATAGAGTTTATCCTTGGCCAAAAGTTTAGTCCACCGGGCCGCTTGGAGGGTCTTACAGAGTACGGTACTATCATAACCGACGGTGAGTTCTCTAAAGTCTACTCGAGTAGGCCGAGGATGAAAGGGCTCACTCCACAACCCACCTACCGGTGTCCGTCCTGCTGAGTTACCGTGGTGCAGTATCCTGCTCGGCGGGTCAGGGAACTCTATCAGGGGATAAGGTCGGGGTAATCAGCGGGATCTGCAATGCGTAAAGCTCACAAATAACTTGGTTATGCTATAGAACTCGTAGCGATGGTATCATATCTCGAGTTGCTGGGGGGTAGATACCTAGATGGTTGGCACACCCATCGTTCGGAGGTGGTAATTTTGGCTTAGGGTTAATAGCGAAGAATGAGTGACCTTACGCTTCTTATTTTCATGGAGCGAAGGGTGGATCGGGTCTTGGCGGAATTCCCGGGGCAAGGGTCGATAGTGCAGTGGGCTATTGTAAGTCAGGCGGTTTTTCTTTTCTTTTCTCAATCTCTCCATTTCTCACAATGGTGTTGGTTTGTGCTCATTTTCGATATCACAGCGCGTTGTAGACTCTGGCGTCCGATTCTCAGGCTAATAAATCCAGTCAACTCTAGAGCCAATCTCTGGGCGAATCACTCCATTTCTAGGTGATGTGCTCTGGGCAATTAGAACGGTATTACAGTGGCGATAGATTCATGTTGACGGATCCGACTGGGTATGATGTGATGCCAGGACAAGGTATCAATTATTTGGAACGCAGGTTTTTGCCTAACTACGGTACCGTAGCCTACCCTGAAAAAGGCAAGGATTAGGCATACGTTCTCCAATGGCATGATATGATATAGTATTAGCAGGGTGTCGCGCACCCTCCCACCCCACTATTCGTTAACTGTTGCCTGGGCTTTGAGATGTCTATGAGGGTTATATATATCAGACCTAGAGCCAAGTTTCCCCCCCACCGCTCATGCACGTTGGATGGGACGTCAGAGGGTGCACTTCACCGGTCAATCGTTAGAATTTCCAAGTAAAATATGGAGAATATTTCGTCTTACTCCTCCTACAATGTAGATGCACCCGCTAATAATCCGCAGACTTAGAACCACTGGGAACGCCGAAGGTACAGTACACATGCGAACTGCTATACCGGCAGGAGGAGAGCCGCATGGTGCTAAAGTGATTGAGTACCGTATCTCCACATAAGATTGGTAGCTGGAAGATGTTAAAGAGCCAGAGGAGATGGATGGATGTTCTTCCATTCGTTTCGCCGTATCCTCGGAATGTAGGAGGAGCATGATACGGTACAAGAAGTGACCCAAGGCATAAGTCAGGCGCGAGGGAACTATAACCCCCGGCGGGCGCTGGCCGTGGTGGAGAGCTCGTTTCGGTCCGTAGGGTACCAGACCGCCACACCCCAGGTACAGTATCATACCATGCACTATTGGGAGAGGAGGGTTACCTGTGGGCTAGGGTGCCAGGTCGGTGATCGGAAAAGAAAAACGAATAGGGTTCGCGTTGTACAAAATTTCGATAGAAGGGTATAATTTATTAGAGGGCGGAGGTGTGCGGGGTGCTACACGCCCATATGATAAGCGTAGAACACATCGGTAGTTTGATATGGTGCGTGCCGTCTACATCTCCATTGGTGTGGCAGGGGACGTAATGAGGGACGCAAAGAGGGACACCTTGGCATTCCAGCCTCTATACCTCTATTAATACCGCTATTGTGTTTAGGTTTAAAGTCTGTAAACAAGGTGATTGTTTTATCTAAAGTGGTGACCTACCGTAAAAACTCGAATAATTGTCACTGGTGCTAGGAGGTCAAAGTAGGGTGTGGCGTATGTAATCTTAAAAGTTAGTGCAGATCTTCAGAATTGGTACCTGTCTCAGACTATCAATCAGTGGCTTTGACCAACATTTTCAACCTCAACTCGTATTGCAAGACTGTGAAAATTAATTTCAGCATGTAAATAAAGCAAAAGGGGGGATAAGTTTAGGAAAAGGAGACCTGAAAACTATATCTTAAAGTATTGCTATCCTTTTCATGTTGACTTAGTAAACGTGATCCTACCTTTCATCATATGGAAATGCCACCAAAGCCAGCCGGCTGAAGGAAAGTGCAGCCCATACTGCCCCCACTCTCTGCTGAGAGATTCTATGCGGGAGTAAGAAAGAAACCCGGTCCCAAACGAAAACAACTTACAGATACAATCCGAGTCCCACCCCAACGCGTTGAAACACACTATCGATCCTATACAGTTAGCTACAAATTAAGAGTTCTTTCATATTGGGCAACAGCTAGCATACCGATAAGTCCAACCAAATTTCGAACCCCTACGCCAGCCGAAACAGCAGACCGATTTAAGATTTCTAAAAGAAATCTCTACCGTTGGAGGAAAGAGGAATGAGAAGGAAAGTTCAATGAACTTAAAGGTAGACAATTCCGAAGTAGAGGGGGAGGACGTCATAGAACTTGGGAGAAGCTGGAGTGTGAGCTTTATGATCAATTTCAAAATCACAGAGAATCTGGTGCTATTGTCCGACGTGGATGGTTTCGTCGAGTCAGCAAAGCGTTATTTATGGAGCACTATCCCAAGAGTCAACTTACCAGTTTCCCATTCTCAAATGGATGGTTCCGACGGTTTCTAAGTTGGTACCAGATTAGTTTACGCTTTGTAATGAATAAAGCAAGCACTCTTCCTAGTGACTTTAGGAGTACCATTCTAGAATAGTTGAAATACAACTGAAGAAATTCACAACTCTGATGTGATGATGATTTGGGATTGGGAGGCGAACATGCTGCTGTAGGCCGATACAAGCTATCAAATATTGCCAACATGGATCAGACATCATTACCATTTGAATATTTAGAAGGGAGAACTTACAACAAAAAGGGAGCAAAAACCATTTGGGTTCAGAGTTCACAATCGGGCTGGGATAAGCGTCAGGCGACTATTCAGCTCACAGTCTTCGCAGATGGTATCGCACGAGTGAAACAATTGATTTTTTTTCGGGGGAAAGGAATAGGAGGAGGAGTCATTACCGAACAGAGATCCTATGATCCGCGAGTCGTAGTAAAGTTTAATGCGAAAGCATATGCGAACTCATCTAATATTGTTGAGTGGTTAGATGAGCAATTTGTTCCTGTATTAGACAATCAGCCAACGCTTCTCACTCTAGATCTTTTTGGCGCTCACAAGACAGACTCGGATGAGGTTCTCGATACCTTTCGCGCTAATGATATAACTGTTAGCATTATTCCTGGTGGTTGTACGTCTCTTATACAACCTCTTGATGTTTCTATCAACAGACCATTCAAAGATATCTTAAAGGTAAATCTCACATACCTACAGAAAATAAAAAATACTGACCTAAACTAGGAAGTTCTAGAGGAAAAACTGGATAGAGTGGAGGAAGAGGAGGAGAAACTATTGTTAGCTGGAGGAAAACTAACAGGTAGCATGATAGGAAGAAGAGGGGTACTTACAACATGGACCGTAGGTGAAGCCTGGGAGCGCTTCTCAACTCAACGGCAAGAGGTTGTACGAAAGAGTTTCCGGGTACTAGGTTTGTTGCTACCTATCGATGGTACCTGTGACCATGAAATATCAGTAAAGGGTCTTGATAAAACCTATCTGGTGGAGGGGTTAATGAATTCGGAAAGTGGAGGGATTTGTGATACTACAGATTGTATTCTGGAGAATGAGGTTGAGCTCGATGAGGCAGAGGATAATTTTGATGTATTCTATGAAGAAAGTTAGTATCATGAAATGATATTGTGCAATTTATCTTGGCGAGACATACCTTAATTGGACTGCTTAG